ACGACCACATTTTTCGTTTGGACAGTATTTGCACTGACTCCGTGCTAAATTTTCCTTCTGCCGAATCAAGTATTTCCGGACATCGATAATGTTCAAAACATCCCACATCCAAGTGTTTGTTTACTTCATATCTTTCTATGGTACTCAATACAGCTTCAGTAAAAGCATCTTCTTCAGTTAAAGTGGACGCTCCTTGGAACAAACACGAATTTAAAGCATTATATGCCGTCTCACTTTCTCCTTTTAGGTAGACTTTCGGCCTTGCGAATTGTTCTTCCGTATAAAACTTGATTTGAGATACAGCCTGGCTAATTACAGATTCCAATGACCCAGCATAGTAATCAAAAAGGGTTGCTAACTCTATAGTTTCAGAATCAATATTAACATTCATGTATACATCGAATATCTCTTCACCGTCCAAGGAAGCTTTGTAAACATCATGAGTGAAAATCAGGATTGTAGTTATGTCCATCAAGAATGCCTTGTACATCATTCGGATGTGCTGTTTCATCATAGATTTCACCTCATCCGTTATGTTTATGATGAAAGTACGTGGAAATGTCTTGCATTCCATATACATTTTACCATATATGAATTTCAGGAATTCGGGTCTTGTCTCTGCTTTGGGCAAAACCACTTTCTTGGGAACCATTATTTTTTGTTGTTATTAGTTGTCTAGAATATGAAGATTCTATTACGATTGTTTTATTACACGTCAGTTCTAATGAGGGTTTAGGTCCGTCGACATACACAAGTTTGCCTTCTTTGTTTCTCTCATCTTCGCTGTGTTTATGATCCATTTTCTTTGTCGACTTCTCAAAGTTCTGTTTGGTTATTTGTGCTGATTTGAGAACATCAGCTGCTGTAAAGAAACTCTGGGGTCGCTGATACTCGGCTTGAAAGAGATCATCGAAACCATCAATCTCCTCGTCCTCTTCCCAAATATCATCTTCGTAGCTATCTACCACGTCAAACTTTAATTGCATACGATGTCTCCGTTTTCCTTTCTGTTTCTTTGTACTGAGTTGTACATCGGTATTGTGAAGCGGTCTGATGTATTTTTGGTTGTGTGAGAGAGAGCTTGTGATCGGAGTTGGTAGGAAAATTTCAACATTTATTTCGGGTTCAGAATATTCATTGACTACCTTATCCTCTGTTAGTTCGTTTTTTTTCTTTACAGGCAAAGAGGGGTCCTCCACGCTGGAATCATTGAAGTATCTGTTTTTAGACGGTAGGGTCTTTCTGACTGGTCCCTTAGAAGCGTAAAATCCCAGGCAATTGGCTGTTTTTCGTAGTTTGTGTTTTTCAGTGAGTTGAACATTAGGCCCTTCCTCGCTGAATCCCCCGAGGAGTATGTGTTCCTTGAGGACTGTTGGTAGGACCCAGCGGCCTTATTTACTGAGGGAGTAGGCCACGTCGTCAGTGGCAATACCAAAGTCCTGCAGAAGTCGAAGGTTAGTGGAATTCTTAACTTTTCTTACAAGACATGAATGTTTTCTATACGTCTTTATGAATCTGGAAGAAGAAATTCGATTATGAATAATACATTTGTACATAAATGTGTCCAAACATAGTTTGTAATCAAATATTTTTTGAAATTCCTAAGTCAGTAAGTAAAGAGTAAAATTGCTCTTATCTAGATTAATTCCTACAAGTGTACAGTTTAAATGGATGCTAAGGAGCAAAGGAGGCACTAACATACGAGGAAAAATTTTTTAGACGTTCAAAGCAAGAATTAAACACTATATTATTTCAAATGCCAAATTGTGACAATATTTTGGATTTTTTGCTTCGTTGAAAAGAATTCAATTTCAGCAGATAGGTAGTTCTCGTTGAAAAAGACATACCCCCCCCCCCCCATAAAAAAATGACGTCGTAGAAAGTCTAGCGATACAATTTTGTGTAGCACTCGAGGAAAACTTCAGAATAAACTCTGAAAATGCAGGATGAAGCAGGAAATATGTAAAAAGTGAGGCCTGCAATAGTCATGATTTTATATTGATTTTAATCAAAAGTATTTTTCTTTCAGATGCCATTGAAAAGTATTAAATAACTCTCAATAATAAACTTGATTTAAAATATGAAACATTTAAATAAATTTACAAACAACTTCCTATAATTAAAGTCTAGAAATCTCTAGAGTTCTAAAATTACAACTTAACTTTTAACCTTGAATAAATCAAGAAGTAAACATTTTGTTTGTTTTATATTAAATGTAAAAAAAAAAAAAAAAAATACGATTTTGAAAGTGCGAGAATACATTTTTTTTTCTTTTTTGTTCTTGTTAATTCATGTGCTTGGAAAATGAGGATCAAAATGCATGCAGTGCTTTTGTTCTACTTGCCAGAAATCTGGGAACCCCGTCTGATATACTTCATGTAGTAATCCAATGCAAAATGCTTAAGAAAATAACTCAGTGTATCTATAGATCTAGTATTTGTCTGTTTTTGTGTTGTTGTTGTTTTTTTTTTTTAATTCAAACATTATATGTTACTTTTAGATACAGTGATATATGTAAACAAACTTACTTGCTGTGTGACGCACGCAAGGTATTCCCCGAGTAGACACCACATTTTCTTGTTTTGTGCACCATTCTGACAAGTTCGCTTTGTATTTTAACTTCTTGGTTTCTACTCTCTTGGTTTTGCGTGTGTCAATTGCTGTCCAGAGAGTAGCTTTTTGTATAGAAAGCTTTTTGTATAATTGCTATTTTGTTGTGCAATAACTAGGGAATTTCTAATTTTAACCTGTGACGTTTAATTTACACATGCTTTCGGATGGCCTCTGTCATGTTCATATATGTACATTTATATATAAGAGGTAAATCAAGAAGTTGTATATTCCTATATATGTTACCATTTAAAAAATATAAGCAATGCTTCTAAATAAGTATAAATTCTTAACAGTTGTTATTAATAGACTTACAATTATAAAAACTTTATTATTAATTAATTACATAAACTATTCTCCTGTAATGACTTGAACTTTTATATAAGCGTTGTGGAACGCATAGTCTCAGAATTTCTCCAAACTCTCTATGATAAAAGCCTTTGATACGGTTAACTCAAATCAGGCAGAAATTGGAAGCTCCTGCTTGTTACAAAACCCAAAAAGCAGAAAGGTATAACACTTCCATGGAATACTATACGTCACAAAAAGTCGTGAATGATAGTGGGATAATACTTTAATTATAATTCAGAAGAACAGTTACTGTACAACCAAATTCTGGGAAGTCAGAACTATTTGCCAAATATACCTGCTTAAATGAAATCGGAATTAATTTACTCTCAAGGAATTTGGGAATTTATACATTTGGTAAAGATAATTAACAAAAAGAAGCATAATACCATAATAATAAGTCTCTGAGCATTCTGGGGATAAAAAAATCAACTTTCTGAATCTAGTTATTCTTGTAGGTTTTTGTGTAAAATTTTCAGATAAATAATTAGGAAAATTTATTATGAAAACTATTTAAAACATGGTTGAGACGAAGTTGAGAAACTATTACAGACTAAAAGTGTCCGTGACATGTAAACTAGCTATATGTCCTAGTAGTTTAAAAAGCTGATCATGTTTTTTTTTTCTTAACATTATATTAGAACAAGTTTAAGTGATTGCATGCATGAATACATAATTTGCATGCATTTTTTTTTCCAGTGTACGTAAGTGATTTCTATTCGCTAATACTTCATTGTCTATAACATTTTTCCTGGGGAAATATAGCAGGTACCTATGTTGAACATTTACTTTATAAAATCAATATGTACACTTTACATGATACTTTTATAATTTTCTCTAATTCCAAAAAAATTGTCATTACTGTTCAGAGCTTCTTTAATTCTTTGTTTTCATAATATCAATTTAATTTTTAAAATTTAGATTCTACTATAATTATCTTTAATAATTAATTCAAGGATTTTCAGAGTCCTTTTAGCATCTGAAAATCTGCAAGCTCCAGATTTCGACATCGTCAAAGCTCGACAAACTAAAGGACCACTTTCCTCATATTTTGAATACAGCTCAAAAACATATGGATATCCGGATTACCCTTCAAATACATACAATATACCTAATTATGCCCCGTTTCTCTCCAAAATTTGTATCAGCATCAATTTTCTGTGTACATGTATACTGAAGTTTGAAAACATACGATTTCTGTCCGTAATTTAGAATGACCAATTGCAAGACTGCGTGATAAATGAAAACAAGCAAGATGTTTTTTTTTACGTAAGTTCTTCAATTACATGTATCAGTTCTTCAAATTGTATGAACACATATACATTTCAGAAGAGTTAAACATATGAAATACTCGTATACCTATTACTAAGGACATTTGGATGTAACCAGAGTTATGTATAAATAAAATTTAAAAAAAAAAAAAAAGCAACTTGTGCTATTTTAGTATATGCGAGTGGATGTGGTAAATTATTCATAGACACTGGACACACGGTCACTTGCACCAAATTTCCGCTTTCTTTTACTAACGACCTTCACTCCTGGCCTAGCCATTCAACTGGGTAGACGTTTAATACCAATATTTATAAATTTGCGTGTCCCAGTAAGAATTACAGTTATAAAATGAACATGTAACTATAAAGTCTAGTCTGTTTTAATACTGTCTGTCTAAGTGTGTCTATATCTATATATTGTCTTTGTTTGTGTTGTTACAATGTTTTGTGTAATTTTAATATTTCTTTAACATCTTAATTATAATATTCGAAACCTGAACCAGTCTTTGATATTTTTCTACCACTGGCTACATGCACAAAACAAATACAAAATCAAAATATGTTAGATGTACTGGCATTGAACCTGTCAAGGTGTTATTCGATTTCTGCAGGGAAAGGAGATGTGAAATAACAATTACAAAGCGATGGTTACAATTACTAAAATTTATTTTCTATTCAAAATCTGTTTTTAAATTCTCTTTTAAATATACATGTATATAATTGTTACTGATCAACTGTATAACTATTTTTATCTTTTCAATTGAATGGACCAATATTTCTTTCAATGAAAAATTAACTTAAATTCTTTTCATCAATAATTTTGACAAGTCCAGAGACAGTATGCATGCAATGCTTTTTGATATACAGCATTCGATCTATAAAACACGTCAGGTCTGCGCTGACATCCCTCTGGAATTCTACGTAAATTTGGGACGCTAATTCATCCATACGCTCAGTAACATAGTTTAAACTTTTCTGTGACCTTAAATTCTGTTGTTTTGCAAACACAGCGGTGTATTCGGCAAGATGTCGCATTTCCAGATAAAGCTTGATCATATCTCGCAGGAAATCTTTGAATTTAGATAAAATATTCGTCTCATTTGACTGGTATCTCTCCAGTAAGCCTGCAGCTTTAGCAAAGGATTTCCATCCCAGAGTCCGGATTCTTAAACACAAATAATGAGTCTTTCTTTTCATGAGTAAAGTCTTGGAGTTTGCTCTTTCTGCGCGTTGATTGACAGCAAATTGAATGAGTTCCGGTTCCGTTTTCATTTTCAGTGAAAGCAATGGATCTGTAGCGATGCGTTTTTTCGTAGTGCGGAAAAGGTCGCCGTGTTTCCACTGAGAACAGAGGTCACTTTCTTTGTGATTTACTCCGTAAATTCCACGACACCCCCAGCAGAAGTTAGTGCCACAGACACACGTCATACTGTAGCACCCGCCCTGTTTCTCTATAAATTGATGACATTTAGGACAATTCTTTCCGCGCACCTTGACCTCCGCGGATGAAAAGTCTTCAGTATTAAATTTTACATCAACTCCCTTTTCTTTCAATAAATTCCAATATTCCAGTGATATTTCACACGGGGCAGGCCAATGGGGAAATTTGAAGCAAGCAGGGCAAAACTTTGTCCCACACTCACAGATGGCGTTGTATTGTTTACTTGATGTTAAAGATGGTGAGAGGACACGACCACATTTTTCGTTCGGACAGTATTTGCACTGACTCTGTACTAAAGTTTCCTTCTGCCGAATCAGATATTTTCGAACATCGGTAATGTTCAAAACTTGTAAAATCAGTGTGAAGTCCACTTCTTTTTCACAATCAAATTCGGGGCACAGAAGCTTGGAGAAATTTTGTTGCTTTAGATGTTCTCTCCAGCAACTTCTACAAAACCAATGGCCGCAGCACTCCATCGCGATTCCTGGTCTGTTCTCGTTCATTGCCTCAAAGCAGATGTAACATATTTCTGGTGGAAGAGCTTCAAATCCCAGACCTAACTGTTCGCTGGATTCATTTCTATCTCTGTTATTCAGCACAGTTTCAGTGAAAACATCTTCTTCTGTTAGCGTGGATATGTTACTTCGGGCCGTGCCTGCATTTAAGGCATCAAATGCTATTTCGCTGTTTCCTTTGGGATAGTGCTTTAGCTTTGCAAATTGCTCTTCCGAGTAAGATTTTACTTGAGACACCGCCTGGCCAATTACAGACTCCATTGATCCAGTGTAGAAATCGAAAAGAGTTGCTAACTCTATTACTTCTGAGTCAATATTTAGATTTATGAAAACATCGAATACCTCTTCTCCGTCCGAGGAAGCTGTGTAAATATCGTAAGTAAAAATCAGGACAGTGGTCAAGTCCATGCAGAAAGCTTTATACATCATTCTTGCATTCTGTTTCATTACAGATTTCACCTCATCCGTTATGTCAATCATGAAAGTGCGAGGAAATGTTTTGCATTCCATATACCCTTTACCGTAAATAAATTTCAAAAACTCTGGCCTTGTCTCTTCCGTGGGCAAAATAACTTTTCTTGGAAGCATTACTCGCTGGGATCTAAGCTGACCAGGGTCTGGTATATTTGTTTTGTTTTCTATTGTTTCCTTGAGCTGTGATGTGGGATAAGGTTCGTCGACATACACAAGATTGCCTTTTTTGTTTCTCTCATCTTCGCTATGTTTATGGTTCATTTTCTTTGTCGACTTCTCAAAGATCTGTTTGGTTTTTTGTGCTGATTTGAGAACATCAGTTGCTGTAAAGAAACTCTGTGGTCGCTGATACTCGGGTTGAAAGAGTTCATCATCGTAACTATCAATCTCTTCTTCCTCTTTCCAAATATCATCTTCATAGCTATCTACCACGTCAAACTTTAATTGCATACGATGTCTCCGTTTTCTTTTCTGTTTCTTTGTATTGAGTTGTACATCGGTATCGTGAAGCGGTCTGATGTATTTTTGGTTGTGAGTGAGAGAGCTTGTGATCGGAGTTGGTAGGAAAATTTCAACATTTATTTCGGGTTCCAAACATTCATTGACTGCCTTATCTTCTGTTACTTCCTCTTTTTCCTTACTAGGCAACTGGGGTTCTTTCTTCACACTTGAAACATTGAAATACCGCTTTTTAGATGGTACAGCTTTTCTGGTTGGTCCTTTAGAAGCATAAAATCCCAGGCAGTTGGCTGTTTTTCGTAGTTTGTGTTTTTCGGTGAGTTGAACATTAGGCCCTTCCTCGCTGAATCCCCCGAGGAGTATGTGTTCTTTGAGGACTGTAGGCAGGACCCAGCGGCCTTTTTTACTGAGGGAATAGGCCACATCATCTGTAGCAATACCAAAGTCCTGCAGAAGTCGAAGGTTAGTGGAATTCTTAACTTTTCTTACAAGACAGGACTGCTTTCTATACGTCTTGGTGTATCTGGAAGAAGCCGGAAAAAATAATTATAGTTACTATTCATTTGGAATAATTTTATATATGTACATGTAACTATCAAAACTTTTTACCACCAAATAATTTTGAATTTCCCCTATCCCAGTCGCTAATTAACAGTATATCACAAATTAACTTCCAGTGGCCTGTACGTTGTAAATGAATGGTTAAAAAATGTAAAGGATATTGAAAATTCCCTCAATACCGGATGACCACCCCCCCCCCAAAAAAAAGAACTAGCAAAGTTACCTTGCAATTGAATGCACATTCAGTTCCCTAGCTGCGAGATGTTTTATTTGGACATATAAACCCCCCCCCTTTTCCTCAGAAAAAGCCCACTTGCATTTCAAGTCTTATATAACTTGGTATGTAATTTAATACATTTTCTTGATATACAAAGTACTTTCTATGTGTTTTCTTGAAGCTTTAATGAAAATGTAATATTTAAAATGGAGATTCCACCATTTGCTGCAATAAATCAAGCAGTGCCAAGTCTTTCACAAAACTCCTATTTCTAAGCATACATATGTATGTAAATTTTGAAAATTTACACCTGTATGTTACTTTATAAACATATTCTCTCAATTTCTGTATTTTTTTAAAAATATTTTTTCATATTGTTTTTTTTTTACTTTATCTATACTAATTTAATTGATCTACTAGTCTACTTACTTGCTGTGTGACGCACGCAGGGTATTCCCTGAGTGAACTCCACACTTTGTTGTTTTATGCACCATTTTGAAAGAAGTCAGTTGTATATAGTGTTTTACTTCTTTGTTGATGTTGCTTATGTCGATGATTCTGCCTGTGTTAGAAAAAAATTGGTGTTTTATCCGTTTAAATAGTTTTCAAATATTTACATTGCCGGTCTGTGGTGCAATCTTTGCATAAATTTAAACGTCACGGTTTAAAATTAGATTATTAGAGTGTGCGCTTTCGGGTAGCCTCTGTCATGTACATATTAAGATGGTACGGAAATGCCCTATATATGTACAGATATGTATAACAAGGATTGTGGTATATATATATATATATATATATATATATATATATATATATATATATATATATATATATATATATATATATTGAAAGAGGAAGATATGCAGGACTTCCCCCTGAATCTAGAAAGTGTTCTCAATGTAATATGCAGGAGGTTGAAGATGAACAGCATTTTTTGCTTATATGTCCAAAATATAAGAATGAAAGGTTGCTATTAATGGAAACAATTTCAAAAATCAACCCAAATTTCTCCTCTTTGACATGTACCTGCTGAAAAACTTGTATGGATTTTGAATAATGAAAATAAAGAAATTTTATGCTTATTTGGAAAATTTATTTCTGAAAATGGTAAAAGAACCAATGTATAAATACATCTGTCATCATGTACATGCATGCTTTTTCTCCAATTTCACTTTATTGTATTTTTTTCCTGAAATATATTACAATTTTAAAGGGAAAAAAAACCCATACAAATGTGTAGATACATGTATGAACATGTTGTAGCATAACATATTTGTATTGTCTTGGATCAATGACAATAATTTGGACACTTGACACTGGTATTGTCTTTGATTATGAACGCTGAATACAATGTTATATAACTGTTTATGTAACTGTTTATATAAATATTTATTTATATAAAAACAATGTATATTGTGAATTATGTTTAAATTGTGCATTTATATATGTGGAAATGCCTCTCGGGGCCCTTGATTGGTAAATAAAATATCTTTTATATATATATATATATATATATATATATATATATATATATATATATATATATATATATATATATATATATATATATATAATTTTGTGCAACCAACATTATGCACATATATTTGGGATCGAAACTTAACAGTCTTCTAGCGTCACAAAATTAATTGACACAAATCTAATTAATTTTGTCAGATTGTGTATTTTGCGCCATGGCAACAGACATTTGGTAAGGATTGTCAGAGCCAAAAGAAAATAAATAATTACCCCCCCCCCAAAGAAAAATTTATTGAAAATAAACTATATCCCGTTTTATGCGTTTGTAAATTATACATTTTGACGTTAATTTATGAATAAATTGAGAAGTTGTTAACTTTTATAAGTACGAGGACTAAGCAAAAATACCCTTGAGCTCAACTTCTGAAAAAAGATGAACTTGATCGAGCCCTTCATTTGCCCCTTTACCTACAGATCACTCAAGTTGTTTCTGTAAAATTTATTACCCATGGCCCGAGGAAGCAATTTCAGTTGGGGGTGGGGGAAGGGCACAACCAAATATTTTCAGCTGAGCTAGGAGGGGGGGGGGGGCACTACCAAAAAAAAAATTCCTTGACAAGCGAAAAAAAAAAAAACAGGGTCATTAGGCTATATTGTTCTGGAGACACAAGCATATAGTAGCTATGTTTTCTATAGCCTTATGTCTTATAAATATGTCTTATACTAAAAAATTTAAGTTTGCTTTACTAGCCAATGCCCTGAAATACTGAAAATAACACACTCATTTATTAAAAAATTCCATATATCTAGAAATGATTGTATTACATAATTATTGTGTAGCCAGTGGTAGATATCAGATAAAGACTGAGACTGGTTCAGGTTCAAATGTTTTAGTAAATATGGTAAACAAAAACCGGGACACACAAGCAAAGTAACAAATACAAATGATTGTATGATTTATGCATATCTTCACATTCTAGAGTATTGTTTAAATGTATGAACAATTGATGATTCTTATAAGTTGTGCATTGCAATTGTGTTTGCGCCAATAAACAGGCGCGGATCCAGGAATTTTTTCAAAGGGGGGGGGGGGTGGGGGTGGGGGGTCCACCCCAGTCAAAACAAATTTCCAACCCAAAAAATTTCTTGACCAAAAAAAAAAAGGAAGAAAAAAAAAATTAATTAATTCCTTTCCCTACCCAGAAAAAATCTTGATAAGCAAACAAAAAACAAAAAACAAAAAAAAAAGTAAAATCCATTTCCAAAACACCCATTTCGTGGTGGTGATGGTGGGGTCCACGTTTTCTAGGGGGGGAGTACAAGGTCGTTTTTTATTTTCTTCAGTATATACTTGTAGTAACTCTGCAAATTCCAGGTGGGTTTGGACCCCCCCCCCCTCTAGATCCGCGCATGAATAAATATTGTATTTTATTGTATAATAGCGAGCGCAGCGAGCGGCGCGAAGCGCCGCTCGCGAAGCAAGCTCAATAGACTAACGTGTAAGAACAGAGAAAATTCGGAATGAAATCTGTACATACGTCAGGCAAATTTTCTGGTGCAACATTCCCAGAATTCCTTCGCTACCAGGGTTCCATGCGAAATTCTTACAAAACATACAAAAGACCAAGGATAATTATTTATTACCGAGAGATACGTTTACTTTTCTTTCTTTGCAAAGAGCTTAAAAGAAATTAAAATAATTACATCTACTCCACAACGTTTTTCATTTATTATTGCAAAAGATCTTTAGTCTCGTTCAATCAGACGCTCGGCTGTCTCCGTAAATTCCGACGTCATGTGACGTCACAGTCTAGGCTGTGTCTCGTGCGGTTTGACGTTTGAAGAGGCGGATCAACAGTGTAAGCTGCTATAGATAGCTTTTTGATGATACAACTGCGCTCGCCCCAACGGTCACACCGTAAAACATATTAATAAAACAAGGTATCTAACTCCGAATTACATGGAGTACCTCCCTCTCCAGAATCACAGTCATTTACGCTTTCAGAGAAAATGCACTGGCAAACTGTGTGTGTTTGTTACCATTGCCTTCATGTTCTACCGAACAGAATATTGTATGGATCGAACTACTCAGGATGCACAGACCGGAAGTATTTGTTGTCAAGAAATACATTGATGGCGGCAAAACCGACATGGGATTAAGAAAAAAAATAGGCTGCGGTTCAGTGCTCCCGGAAATAACCTACGCTAATCTTAAAAATGTAGACTCTGTAATATTGTTTTGTGTTGAAATTAGTTTGTTTTAAATTAGTTTCCAAAATGGCCATGGAAAAGCATTACACGTTACGGGACACCCACACCCGTGCTATCACTGCAATCGGATACAACTCGGCAAGGAGAGAGATCTTAATAGGTTGTGAAGGTAAAGTTAAAATTCAAAGTCGCAATGTTTATAGGAAACATAACTTGTTTTATGAATGCTTATCTTGCATGTCAGGCTCCTTGTGAGATAAGCAGTAGGCCTAATTATAAAATGTATTTTCAGCAGTATTTTGAGATAAGGTTAGACTACTCTTCAAATCAAAACTGCGGCCTTATGGTTCCATAATGATTTAATAAATTCATACAGCATACATTGATTAATCATCTTTTCAGGCAGTATGTAAATTCATGTATAGTTAAACTTTGAATCTTGAATAATGATGTTATAGATCTCTGTCAAATTGAATAAACAATGAATTAGCATGTAAACTACTTGTGTAAACTACATTATTACATTTTCAACAGTGAAATACTGTAATTTACCCATTGAATAATAAGTTATATTTTCTTCTGTGAAAATATCAAAAGTGATATTTTTCACTGGGAAAATATCAAAAGCGCAGTAAAATCTCAATTTTTGTTGTATTTTCCCCTCAAGAAGAGCGTTATAAAGAAAATACCCCCTGTTAAAAGATAGCAAGAGTAAATAACCAACCTGGCACAGATTAAAATTGCCAAAGTTTCCTTATCCATTTTTACAATTTTCAATCTAACAATCATGCACCTAACTATTATATCTCACATCTGCTCAAGTATGACGTCATAACCTACATCACTGCATTAAGAAAAGACACTTTAGGCAAAAGGAAAATCAAAGAAAAAATGTGATACACTGAAAATTTAACATTTTGTATTTGAATATAAATTTATCTCACCTGCGGGACAGGGCTTTTTTTCTTCTTTTTTTTAATAAAAATTTTCATAAGTGCTTTGCACTCTTGAAAATATAAAAAAAAAATCCTGTCCACTCATGAAATAAATTCTATTTGAAAATATAAAAAAAAATCCTGTCCACTCATGAAATAAATTCTATTTGAAAATATAAAAAAAAATCCTGTCCACTCATGAAATAAATTCTATGTCTAATACAAAACATTGAATATCATCTGTCTATCTTTAACCTCTAGGTACCATGGTATTTCTGGGGGGGGGGGGTTACCATGGTATTTCTGGGGGGGGGGGGGGTTCTCTCATGTTTTTTATGTGTTTTGTTGATGCTTTTGGGGGGATTTTTCTTCTTTGTTAATTTGTTTTTTGTTTTTTGTTTTTTTTTTTTGTATTTTGTTTGTTTTCTTTGTTTTGTTTGATTGAATTGATTATTTCTAATATATGGAATGCATAACTAAATATTTGAAGCACTGATTTATTTCAATCAATATTTAGAAAACTTTTGTAAATTAACACAAAAGATTACATTTTAAAAGGAAGTCAGCATGATCTTATCAAATGTTTGTAGTAAAAGAATTTGTGCTTGAACAATACTCAAAAATGTCAAATGTTAGCTTGTCTTTTATAAGAAGTAGAATTTATCATATTTATTGTTACAAAGAAAGTGACAAGTTGTAAAGATATATGTTGAATAGTCATGTCATAAACTATTTTCTACACTAGTTAAATATAATTCAGTCATATTGATTAGGATGTTGGGAACTTGACTGGCTTTACTTTTTTTCAAAATGCTTATCAGTATACATTGTAGTATTCAGAAATGTGTATGTATACATGGAATTCTCTTTACTTTGTTAGGGTATAGTAATGTGATTGCCCTGTAAATCATCTTAATATTAAAATAACAAGTCTTTAATACAGAGATTTAAAAGTGTGCAAATAAATCTTGGACCTTTAATACGTCTTGTTCAGTTAGTGTCCAAGGTGAAACGTATTCATTGTATAGCCACAGCATCTAATGAAAGCCACCAAAGGTCACAATTCTTAAGAGGTAAACACTGGAATGAATTCAGAGTTTACTTATTCAAAATGATTCACAGAGTGCACTTACTTCATGTGTCAAGATGTCAATTACTCAATAATGAGAGAGAGCAAACAGTCCCGTGGCATTCTTTATAAAGCTCTTCACATTTTCTTTGTGCTGACATTACTGAATAACATTGACTTTTTGGATTTTTTTCTTTAGAAATTCTCTTTGCAATGATTCTAGAAAAATGACAAAATTCATATATGATATAGACCTGTATATTTTTAATGTCACTCCAACTCTTGATATGAAAGTTTTTCACCCTATAAATATTGGTAAACTTATGTCCATTGAAAAGTATTTTTTACAAAGTAAAGGTCAAGTGGACTGTAATGCTGGTATTTTTCATTATGTTTTATGACAGACAGTACACATGCTATAGAGCATAGTCTTACCTCTTGAATGTCAAAAAATTGCTGTATAATGGCACTATGAACTATTTTGAAAAGTAGGTCAAAGGTCAACTTCAAGGGTCATGAGGTCGGTAACCATGATGTTTTACAAAAGCCATAGATCTAAGCAATATATGTGCAAAATATCAAATCTATACCTTGTATAGTTCTGGAGATATAATGTGTGACAGATGGACAGATAGAAAGACCCTAGGTCAAGTGATCCCTAAGCGGCACTCTATTCTGCAGACAACACAAAAACTATGAAAATATACTGGGATTGGTATACCAAAATGGATCATGTCTCACATAAAGTTGTAGATTGACAATTGCAGTAAAGTAGACAAATCTGTTTTTAGTAACAAACCTTAGGGAATGTTGAATTAAAATACTTAAATAATTATTTCTAATGATTTTAAGTTCAAATTTACTTTAGCTTTGATGGTTGAGGAATCAAACTTCTATTTGATTGTCACACCTTATGATAAATGCCATTCTAATTCTGTTGCAGTCTTAATATCCATGGATATTTTGTTTTCTTTGCATATACTAGTATGCAAATAAATGACTGACCACTCTTAGATTTCTTTATATCTTTAATGATGCTGTGGCAGGTAACACACAGTGTTTTCCCTTAGAACTGGACACCCACCAAATTGACCACTTCAATGGATAAAAATGCCATTTTAAAATTAAAATGAATTTGTAAGGAGCACAGATATTTGTTATAAACCTTAACCCATAGCTTGTTACAATTGATCTCTAACCCTTTGAAATTCTTGTCTTTTCAGAATGTCATGCTGAATCTTGATCGTGTTTCTCGATCAAGCACTGAACACAACTCGTGTTCCTTAGAACATCACTTTAGTTTATATTTAGTATCATTTATTAATGTAACATTCTTTCAGATGGAGTGATAAAGTTTTGGGAGTCTGAGGGTGGGAAGCTAGTGATGACAGCTTATGAACACAAAGGATGGGTGACTGATTTCCTGTTCTGGTAAGACAATACAAGGAACTAGGTCCTATTAGTTATAAACCCCCTGCCCATATGCACCAGAATGCACGCAGCTACCAAATTTGTATAAATAAGATAAATTTGCACACCCTGTTAATGGGTGCATTTGAATGAGACTTCACTGTTTTCCTAGTACTCAACATCATTATATTCTATGATAAAATGTTAATTTTACTCTTTAAAAAATTGTAATACATGAAATATCATGAAACTATCCACAAGTATACCACCTGACCACATGATATATAAGCTCAAAAGTGCATTCTTTTGCTTCCCATCTGTTGAACCTGTAGTATTAGATTAATATTTAACTTTTACACAGAGTACAGAAAGATTAAAAGTAAAAGAAACTGATTTTAGTATTATGTCATTTTTAAGGATTAATGAATTTAAACCTGGATCAATACCTCAGAGTAAATTAATAGATCTAATGTGATCAAAGTTAGCATTCTAGTGTACAAGTTGGAATTTAAAATGGACTGGTCATAGTTTATTTGCTGACTTATCAGCTTATAATGAAAACATACACTAGCCTATTGTTAATTGGATTAATTTATTACTAATCTAAATGCTGTATGTTACTTTTATAGAACATGTATACATTGTTTAAACACATCTTTTAATCAGGCCCCAGGATCAGAACACAGTCTTATACTTAATTAAGTCAAATTTTCAATCACCTGTAAAATGTGTATTATTGAATAAATCTCTGAATTTACATATAACAACACTTTTATGAAGCAATATCGAAAATATTTTAGTTTTAGTCTGCTTTACTTGTACATTTTAGTTCAACGTAACGATTTTGACTTAAGCTTAAGATGTTTCATGAACCCAGGGCCTGTACTTCTGTGCATTTACACATACAACATCCTAAATTTTTTTTTTAATTTCTCATCAAAAAAAAAAAGAAAAAAAGATTTGATATAAATTCAAAGAACTTTGCAAAAATATGGAATTTTGTGAAAAATGTGAATTAGGATTGATATTACATTTTGTGAATATTTCAGGGCAAGTCCCAAATTGATGTTATCTGCTGCCAATGATGGCAACATTATAGCTTGGTCTACTGGAGGAACAGTTTATGACAGAATACCAGTATGTGTAATTATGTCATCAGTGTAATTTCTTCACCAATGTAATAACTTCATCAGTGTAATAACTTCATCAGTGTAATTGAATGGTTATTGTGTATGACAGAATGTCAGTATATGTAATTACTTCATCAGTGTAATTACTTCATTGGTTTACCAGGTAATTACTTCATCAGTATAATTACTTTATCAGTGTAATAGAATGGTTAATGTGTGTGCTAGAACACTAGTACATATAATTACTTCATCAGTGTTACTACTTCATTGGTGTAATTGCTTCATCAGTGTAATAGAACAGTTAATATATATTGTATTAGTTGTATATTAATTGAATGGAATTAGATTCTAACATATATGGTAAAAGTCCATTGTAATAAGATAGTTTAGCAAATGATGAAGAGTCAATTATGTTATTAACAGAGAATTTAGCTTATAGCAAATAGAAATTGAATCTGTTATGATGTTAGATACATGTAGCTTTGTAAAGGATAAAGAGTGAATTTTATCAACACAGGACCAGCTTTTGGCAAATAGAAATTGAAACAGTATTAGAATACTTAAAGAGGAAAAAGTGCAGAGTTGATCTAATCAATTTTATATATTTACATTTGCTGTGTTTTTCTACTAAGCCAACTGTGAAATTGTTTTGAAAGTCATTTTTGTGTATACTCACGCGTAGAAATACAGACATCGAAACTCGAGCTAAAGTGACGTCACAATGAGGCTACAGAGACGTTAATAAAAATTTGACGATATAGGGCAGCGAGAAATTCAAACACTGAGCATATTTTTGGTGCATTTAAGCATGTAAAATGTAAATATAAGGAATGTTTTTAAGTTTAGTGTGAATTATTGGTGTGTAAATCACATAGACTTGCACGTAGGCATATTTTTCATGAAGCGCTAGCGAGCTTCATGAAATATGCCTATGTGACAAGTCTGTGTGATTTACACTAGCGCGCTTCATGAAATATGCCTACGTGACAAGTCTGTGTGATTTACACACCAATAACTCATACAAAACTTAAAAACATTCCTTAATTAATTCAGAAAGGTCTTTTATTTATTACAAATTCCTGAGAGTATGACCTAGACTTTCACACAGACACATTTTATGAAGGTTATTAGCATCTCATGAAAAATGTGCCTGTTCGAGGTCCAAGTCCATACCCTCATGAACTTTACAAAAATGAAAGACATTTTTATGCATTTGAATTAATGTATACAGGCTTATTTTTCTTCATGTTATTTTCACCCTTTTACACGTGCAAGCAATTTTGCCCCGTTTTAAATTTGCCCAGTCACAGTCCTGTTAAAGAAATTATACTGTGTTCTTTGAATTTGCCCCGTTTTAAGTTTGCCCACCTGTTAATTACCGGTAGGCGAAAGGGGCCAAAATAAAACTTTGAATTTGCCCCGTTTTAAGTTTGCCCACCTGTTAATTACCGGTAGGCGAAAGGGGCCAAAATAAAACGGGGGCGAAAATTTCCCTGTATACAGTATCTTTTTTCATTCAAATACATAGAAATTGAAAGAAGGATTATTTCTCTAATTTTGATGTCTTTGTCTGTATAGAGAGGAGATTCTTTAGAATACAGTTGTCACAATGATAAGATGTTTTGTGTATTTTGTCTTTAGATTGGTATGCCTGTCTACTGTATGGCCATTAACCATAGACGGGAACAGTTAGTGTGTGGAGTGAATGGAAGTGTTCGCGTATATGACCTAGATGAAGGTTAGTCACAATCAACTTATTAACAAACCTTGTTAAAATTCATTGATGACTTGGCTCAGAAAATTGACGTATCCTTTGATTTTATGTTTTTCAGAGAAGGAATCTGGTCACGTGATTAATACAGAGGTTTTATATGTTGCTAGGGAGCATACTGATATCGTTAGATGTATTTTGTGTCATGAATCTAGAATTTATTCTGCAGGGTGAGAATTTGGAGTATTACCATGTAACTCAGTTTGTCTTTGCAATAATGTTGAGCATTCTGTATTTGATACTACACTTAATTTCTGAGATAAACGTGTGTAATTTTAAACTGTATTGTAGATATGACCAGAAGATTGTGATCTATGACTCATCATACACTCGAGACAACAGTTTGGCACCATTACATCAGTAAGTCACTTATAACAAAAGCTTTTGAAAGTAGTCTGCCATCAAGATTGGATTGCCCTATAGTATTCACCATGTTTGTCTGTACATGTATATCCATCAGAACTTTTATGTGAGACCTTAAATTGTGTTCAGTACATAGATGTTGAATGATTAGAGGAAGACACATATATATTTTGTAAGTTATTTGGTCAAAGTTCCAGGTCAAAACTCAAGATTATTTATTTGACCATAGTAATTAAAAAACTTAAATTTTTATAATGTATAGTGACTGTATTTTCTAGTTAGATAAAGAAAGACATCTGTTTAATATGACTGTCAGTTTTGTAGGATAGTGAGTTGTTGGTTATGGTTGCATAGCTTGAGATTTATCACAATCAATTCTACATTAATTCATTTAGCATACTCACCTTTATTAATAAATCTCGTAAACTATAAATTTCAGGCACCCCAAAGCTCATGATGCAGGGATTTGTTGTATGTTGCTAGAAAAAGACAACGAAAATAACCAGTGGTGAGTAAAATCAAGGCTACTCATTAAGTCACATGAACCAAAGGCTGATATAAGCTTTCCTGGCTGAAATTGTCAACGATCTGTCTGGCTTCCAACTGTTAATTTTTTTAACCTATTCAACCTGATTTGTCATAAAGAATCAATAAGTAGAAAAGATTCCAAATTGTTTAATTGGAAGGTTTGCATTCCTTCCATACAAGGGATTATTAAGAAATAGTGAAATAGGCTGGGGTCATTTTAAATCTTCTTAACTAGAAACACAGAGCCAACAATGATAAAACTAGTATGAAAACATCCCTTTATTGTGTAGATAAGTTGAACTCAATCGTCTGTGTGAGTAATCAACCCAATGTATTTCTGTAAACAGTCACTAAAAAATCTAATAAGTATTTTGTTTTGTCAAGGACCAATAAAAGTTGATGAACCTATGGATCAATTATAATTAAATGATTTTCATTTCTGCAAACCTCCTTCACTTGTCATCTTGTTTGCTGATTATGTCACTGAAAAGTGGGCTTCTCTAAATTTAATCACAGCATTGCCAAATAGGTAACAACATGAATATATATTGGCTTCTTTCAAAGGAAAATTCTTTAATCTGTCTTTTTCTGTATATATGGATGATGTAACATAGGGCTTAATATTCATTGCCTGCAGGTCTGGTAAAAGGATCCTATCCCAATTGAAAAAAGAATTTTTTTTTCCAAAATGAAAAAAATTCCCAAAGGAAAAGCAGATTAAAATTTTCAGTCCTTTTATGATAAATCTTGAATATTGAGGCTATAATAATATGTTGACGGTGTGATCATTGGGACAAGTGCAGATATTTAGTTTTAATTTACATCCGTCTCTTCTATCCACATGTGACATTTGGTACGTCTAGACTCTGACATCACATGACGTCCTATGTAAGTTGCAGTACCAAACCAAAGCCTGAACAGTGCTGATTTTAATGAAGAATTTTTAATCTATTGCTTTTCAGCAAAATTCATCAAATCAATTTGATTTTATTTTTTAGCTCTACTGGTCAAAGACCAGAAGAGCTTATGCGATAGTAAGGTGTCCGTCGTCCATCTGTCTGTCCGTCTTCTGTAAACAATTTTTCAAAACGCTACTCCTCCTACAGTTTTGGTCCAATTTCAATATGTCTTGGCACACAAGAAGATTACAGTAAGATAGCTAATTCACTTTTTGATTTCAATGAAAGGTGTTGCCATGGTCACAAAAAATAGAAATCTCTGTGAAATACTTTCAAAACACTACCACTCCTACAGTTTTGGTCTGATTTCAAAATAATTTGGCACACAAGTAGACTACACTAAGATACATAATTCTATTAATCAGTTATTGATTTTGTATAATGGTGTTGCCATGGTTACTAAAAATAGAAATTTCTGTGAAATAATTTCAAAGTGCTACAGTCCCTAAAACGTTCTACTTTCCCACTTGAACGGTGAGCGAACACTGAACGAACGCAGAGCGAATGGTGAGTGAACGATGTGTGAACGGTGAACGCAACTTGGTGAACGGTATGTGAACGCTGAACTGAGAGCGAACGCAGAACGCGAACGGAACGCGAGTGCAAAGTGAACGGTGAACGCAAGATGAATGATTTATTCGGAATGCCTCTGATCTTTTCCATGCATTGTATCTATTCTATTGTATTCTAATGTCAGGCGGAAAATAAATAAATATTCAAATATTGTCCTAAGAAAGATGAAACATGCACATTTAGTAAAACTATTGATTAAGTTTCTTACAATATTTTCTGCACATATGTATGATGTTTAAATTCAGCTGTTTAATCACACGATTTTGTAAAACATTGTCATTGTTACCAAACACTGTATTTTAAAAGATAAAATTATTCTAGTTGTAAAATAGATATGTGTATTCTTATTTGATATATAAAACCATTACAAATAATGATTTTTGAAGAGTACACTACTGACTTATAGAATGAATTACAACGGTTGTAACAACCGTACATGTATTTCCATGTCAAGGCAATTCCGTGTAAAATAATGAGAAAAAAATAAATATTTTGCTAGTCTGTGGACGTGTTGCATGTATACACTCGTATTTAAAAAAAAATATGCAATAATATATTTATGTGTCTTTTCATTTTTTTTTATGATGTTTTATTCAGCAGACTTCTACATGTATCTATATAGACAATTCCCAGTGATTATACTCGGACAAGGTGATACAAAGAAGCATTCATATTATTTGTTATAGATTAAAATTTCAGAACTTGGTATTTAAGTAATACGTGTCATAGTTTTGATTAAACGGACAAATGAGAGAGAGAGAGAGATTCCGTTTTAGCCCCCCCCTTTCCACAAATGCATGTACATGTACTTGTATAAACAAAAATTCTAAATTTTTATCTAAATATATCAGGCAGTGAAAGTAACCGTTTTTTTATTTACAAATTCACTTTGTTTGACAGTCATAATTGGTTTTTATTTTCCTGCTTCAAGTTCACACAAAGTCCACGTGATTTTCCTGTCAGTCAAAATCACTCAACACCGTGCAGGTGTGAAAGTTTTGTCATACCAAAGGCGAATTGCTACACTGTAGTATTTCCAAGAAGTTTTACATGTTTTTTTCATTTCTAGATCTGATTCCAATTTTCCAATAAATAAATAAATAAAATACATTGGCCATAAACACTTCGAATGAATTTGAAACATACTCCCTGACCAATTTAAAGTACCACCATCGGCGCGTGTATATTTTGAACTACTTTTGTTTAATGACCTTTTTAGATGCATGTTTGTTCTGAGACTGAAATTTTTGTGCTACAAAATGCTTTAACTCTTTTTTAAATATTAATTTAAAATATACTGGAAATACTGACTAAGTAACTGATCTACGTGGAAAAGGGGCGGGGGATCTTAATCATATTGAATGGCAAACATAAAGTTATTGTGTATTAAGAAAGGGATTTTTTCTCTCTAACAGTAGAATTTATATATGAATTGTAGTATATTACATTTAAATAAATATTTTTTAACCTTTAACCACACTATCAATTTAATTCGCTCTGAAGATATTTAATTAAGTGGATATCCGCAGTACTATTTATAATTTTCAGAACTAGTTCTAATAATAAATACTTTCTAATTTTCCTGCAGTTGCTAAATTAATTGATATGGATTTTTATCTCTCCATTAACGACTTGTCGTCTTTAACATAACAACAAAATGTTGCAGTGTTTGAAGTACCCCTATATTACCCGTATTTAAATTTAATTTTTCAACATCGTTCTACATATGTACATACTTATAACAGCATTTATTTTCCAGAGTAATTTAGTAATAACCTAACAGCTAAGTTAGAATAATAATAAAACATATTGTAGATAATTTATTCCAATAGAATAATGATCCTTTAAACACGATATGTGAATTATTAAATTTCAAATCCCGTAAATCCTTACTTACAAAAAAGGTAAGGCCTTTCACTTCGGAGTTCCGAATGACAGTGAAGATTGAAAGATAAGTGAATGAACGGAGAGCGAACGGTGAACGCAAAGTGAACGGTGATCGCGAGCTCATGGTGAACGCAGAACGCAAAAATGTGAACAGAGAGCGAACGGTGAACGCACAGTGAACGAACGGTGAATGCACGCTGAACGAACGGTGAACAAACGGTGAGCGAACGGAAAAATGGGAAAGTAGAACGTTTCAGGGACTATACTCCTCCTATAGTTTAGTCCGATTTTAATATAACGTGGCATGCAAGTAAACTACACTGAGATACATGATTGTCTTTATCGTTTTTTGATGACTTATGTTGCCATGGTAACTAAAATTGAAATTTCTGTTAAATTCTTTTTAAAGGCTACTCCTCCTACAGATTTAGTCTGATTGCAATCTTGCCACAAAAAGAGACCAATTCAAGGATCATTATTCTATTTATTGCTGTTGCAAAGTTTCAAGTCCAAGTTCAATTTTCTCTTCCTTTGTTATAAGTACAAACCATTAGAGCTACAATCTTGACAGAGACTTCTGGTCATTACACTTTTGTTGCTACCATGAGAACATAGTTTGCGGTGAGATACAATTTGCAAAGCATTATGGGACCACGGGTTACTGCAGAAAAAAAATCATTTGGATCAATGTGCAAAGTTTGAATTTTCTCTTCTCCCAGGCATTACTTTTAGAGCTCTCAGTGATGAGCGGTGCTTCGCGCTGCCAGCTGCACTTGCTATTACACAGGATAAGCCTTAACTTCAGTAAAACAGGACATAAGCAATATTTCTAAAATTCCCAATCGAAAGTATTCAGGATCCTGTATCAAAAAAGGTCAATTAAGCCCTGTAACATTGTTTTATCCACCATGTTGCTGTCTATATTATGTTACTCACCATCTACAGAAATATAGGTGGTAGGCATGTCACGTCCATTATCCAGTGACAGAGCATTATTCTAGTCTAAGGCAAAACAATAATTTGTTTCATGTTAGCTCAATCCAAATAATTTTTTTTAAGGTTGATGACTGGTTCTTTTGATAAGACTGTAAAGATCTGGTCCATAGATGGAAAGTTCACACACAAGCTTGACAATTTCCTTGCCACCATTTCTGGAATTTGCTATGTGCCTCGTAACAAGACTGTATGGGTAGCTGGTGGAACATCGTATGCCAGTCTCTTTGATCCCAAGTCCGGGGATAATGTAAGTAAAGAGACATACTGATAATTATAGGTATACAGGTAAACTTCGGTATCTCGACATCGGATATGTCGACAACCTGGGATATGTCGACGTCCGTCCGCGGTCCCGGCATTATTTACTGTAGAAATGATTTGCAAAAACTCTGATATGTCGACCTCGGTAATGTCGCCAACCCTGCTTATCTCGACGTATATTCACAGTCCCAAGAGCAAAATTTACCTTGTTTATGTCGACATCGGCAATTTTCTGCTCTACTAAACCTACCTGTTTGTAAGATAGGGTCGCTCGTCACGCACGGACGACTCTGGGTATCTCGACGTCAACAAAAATTCACACCTGTCACACCCATGTTTTGACTGCGCATTGCTTAATTAATTCTATGGATTGTGTTTGTAGGTGAATCCAAAGCCCCTTCAGCATCTATGAGACGTTAATTGCTTAATGTTCAGCTTGGGTAATATCATTGATAAATCTACACGATTCTGCACAGATATACAAGCGTTTATTTATATCAAAACCTAACATATTTTTAAATTTGAAAAAGGTAACTAAATTGAATACCAAGCATACTGAATAAATTCAAAGTGAGGAATTAAGATATTTTAATGATATTTTGTAGTTAAAATGCATTCAACAGAAAACATTCCAATTAACGACACGATAAACCGAATCAGCCGTAATTCATACATCTGTAACATCACTACGTTAGTTTACATACACAAATCTCTTTAAAAAATAAATTTAATAATCAATCAATCCTGAATGAAATAAGGAAAAAATAATAATTACGCATTTTATTTTTTTTCCGTCTCTCGGATGTCAACTTTACACGGTTCGAAGTTTATAGAGTGCATTTCGTATCCTGTTCTAACAAAAAAGCAAGTTACACGCGAATACTGAATGGAAAACTTTGTAAATTTAGAAATATTTAGATAAAGAGAAAGAACACGTTATATAAATAAGAAATTTAAAAAATAACTTCTTAGATTTTTAATGAAAAATAGAGGGATTGCTGAAATAAGTTGAGCCACAGTCTATATTGAAGTCATGTACATATAATAAGCTTGTCTGTTTTGCTATGCAGTGAAACCTTAGACCTCAAGTCTCAACTCTGATATCTCGACATTTTCCGATGGTACCGTCGATGTCGAGATAACGAAGTTTACCTGTATTTGATTAATTTTTACAATCATTATAATTTGGAAATAAGATATAGTACATATAAATGTATTTGTATGCCAATTTAATCATTATTTTAGAAATTTATCTCAAATATACTTTAATACATAGTATTTTTAATTCATAGGTATCAGATTTTATTGGAACCTTCCAACAGCAGGAGGAAGAAAAATATCAATTGCAGATTTTGAAGTACATTCCAGAGCTGAATGAGGTCATTGGTGAGTTTTGTAATAATTCTGATGAACATCTCCATCGTGAATGATTGTAGTTATCAGGGATGGGGTAATCGTAATCGAGTAATCGTAATCGATTGTAATGATTACTTTTTGTCAAGTAATCGACAGTAATCTGTAATTGAAGAGATTTTTGATTACGTGTAATCATAATTTAATCGATTACAGCTAAAATTTTCAATGTAATTATAATTACTTTTTCGATTACTTTCGATTATTTCATACATAAATTTAATGGATGTTACTTTGGAGAATTATTTCCAGTCAGTCACACATAAATATCAAATATAAACCACCTAGTGTAATGTTTGGATTTCCTAACTTTTATTACCATAAGTTTAAAAATATTCTCAATAAAATTTGCATTATAAACCTTCTGGTCTAGTAATAAATAATTCAGAAGTGTATTTCAACCATTTATTAATAAAATATACAGATTTTTTGAGTGCATTTTACATTTGACCCACTGTCCTCTTGCTGCATGTCCTTTTCATATTTCAGATGTTGAAAAATTTTGTTTTGTAATAGATAGAAAATTATAAATAGCAAAAACAGATTTCAGTGCTATATTAAATATAAATGACTTGGTAAATAAACTACATTGTACTCGAATAAAAAGATGGAAATACATGTACTTATTCATATCTGAAAATGTTTAAACAACTTCAAACTTGTGTTTTAGGAACTTTAAAATTTGCAAAATCATTCTCATGTTTTCATGCAAAATTGTAAGGTTGCTTTTATATCAGTGAGAGGTTATAAGTGTCTGTAAGAGAGGGAGTAAATGTCACTGTGTTTGCTTATCTTAATTGGCTAATTAATTGACTGAGACATCCCTGATTTGCAGATAATGAGGTGTAAACTGTGAACTACCTAATGTTTAACTTTCATTCCATTGAAGACAAACAATATTTATTAAAACAATTAATAGCTCTCAAAACACTTATTTCAGTACTGAATGAAATTGTGCTATTAGTTTAATTACTTAAAGACACATTTAATTACATGTTTATTACTAAGAGTTCTAATTTACTTATTTTTTTGAAAAAGACACGTACAGGAATGTTTAATGTGTACTGTCAACATACGGGCAGTCCAAATACTTCTAATGAAGTAATTCACAATAAAATATTGAATAATTTTTGCAACAAGTCAATAAATATGGAGGTTCAGATCCAAGCTTGCAAGGAATAATTAATTCCTTGGCATATTTTATTGTAGGAATCATGTCTCCACTTTCCATGGTAGAGAATCCCTCATTTGGACATTTAGTGAGAATGTTAGCATAATAATAAAATAATAGAATAAAACTTTAAAAGAATCTGCACTGAAACTGCAGAAACACATTCAAACTTCAGGAGATAACATCAACTTTTACCATTTAAATATTGCTTTGATATTTGAAGGGATAAAAACTTGGAAGTAATCGATTATTAATCGATTACATCTTCCAAAGTAATCGATTACAATCGATTACAGGACAAAAATGAGTGTAATCGATTAATAATCGATTACACAAAATTCCTCTTAGTAATCGATTATTAATCGATTACATTTTTCAGTAATCGTGCCCATCCCTGGTATTTATCAGGGAGTGTTGTAATATTTCTGAAGCTCATCTTCAAGGTGAATGATTGTAGTTATTGGTGAGAACTTTGATTGCTTATCATTAAATTCTCATCATCCAATGTGTTGATTTTTTTTTATTTAGATAAATTTAAATTTAACAAAAAAAAAATTCTCAAAAAACCCCCAGTTATTACAGGTTGATGTAATTAGATACATATGCAAGTTAACTAATTTGTGTACCTTACTTTGAATAGAAATACATACATTAGGATGTTTTTCTCACAGCCTCCACGAGTCGTCGACATCTGGTGGTGTGGAAGTATAATCCCTCTGGTTGTATCACAGCTCTCAAGTGTTCCAGCAATCTAGAGAGCCTCTGTTACAGTAGGTCCTACATTCATTTTTATCATTATAACAGCAAGTCGCACATTTAATTTCATTCATCCTTATAACAGTAAGTCCTACATTCATCCTTGTAACAGTTATAGAAGGTCCTATATTTATCCTTGTAACAGTTACAATAAGTCCTATATTCATCCTTGTAACAGTTACAATAAGTCCAATATTCATCCTTGTAAGAGTTACAGTAGGTCCTATATTAATCCTTATAACAGTTATAGTAAGTCCTACATTTACTTTGTAAGTTACAGAAAGTCCTATATTCATTATTGTAACAGTTACAATAAGTCCTACATTCACCCTTGTAACTGTTACAGTAATTATCACATTCACCTTTGTAACACTTACAGTAAAGCCTATTTTTCAGTTTAATCCTTGTAACTAATACATCAAGTTTTACCCACAGTTTCGCCCTTGACACTTTTTTAATAAGTTCTACATTCAGTTTCATCCTTGACACTGTTACAATTACAATAAGTCCTACATTCAGTTTCATCCTTGACACTGTTACCATTACATAAAGTTCTACATTCAGTTTCATCCTTGACACTGTTACAATTACAATAAGTCCTACATTCAGTTTCATTATTGACACTGTTACAATTACAGAAAGTCCTACATTCAGTTTCATCCTTGACTCTGTTACAATTACATAAAGTCCTACATTCAGTTTCATCCTTGACACTGTTACAATTACAGAAAGTCCTAAATTCAGTTTCATCCTTAACACTGTTACAATTACAGGAAGTCCTACATTCAGTTTCATCCTTGATACTGTAACAATTACAATAAGTTCTACATTCAGTTTCATCATTAACACTGTTACAATTACAATAAGTCCTACATTCACTTTCATTCTTGACACTGTTACAATAATAATACGTCTTGAATTCAGTTTCGCCCTTGACACTATTACAATTACATTAGGTCCTACATTCACTTTCATCCTTGAAACTGTTTCAATTACAACAAGTCCTACATTCAGTTTCATCCTTGACACTGTAACAATTACAATAAGTCCTACATTCAGTTTCATTATTGACACTGTTACAATTACAGAAAGTCCTACATTCAGTTTCATTATTGACACTGTTACAATTACAGAAAGTCCTAAATTCAGTTTCATCCTTAACACTGTTACAATTACAGGAAGTCCTACATTCACTTTCATCCTTAACACTGTTACAATTACAATAAGTCCTACATTCACTTTCATCCTTTTAAATGTTACGTATGATCAAGTTTTTCATCAATTTCATCCATGTAACTGCTGTAAAAATAAGTTCTTTGTTCAGGTTTAAAGTCTTAAGTTCAATCTTATCCTTGTAACTGCTGCAGTAAGGCCTACATCCAGTCTTATCCTTGTAACTGCTGCAGTAAGGCCTACATTCAATCTCATCCTTGTAACTGCTGCAGTAAGGCCTACATCCAGTCTTAGACTTTTAACTGCTGCACAGCTAACACACATTCACAGATTCGTAACATGTTTTATTATTCTTGCAGAGAGTATTTTGAAAAAAAAAGTTTCATTTGTATCAGAGCAGTACTGAAAGGGTTTTTTTTATGATAATAATACTTTTGAATATATTTCAGCACAAAAGATACCATTATTGGTATAGTTTTTGTAAGTTTTAACTAAGAAGTAACTACTCCAGCATGCTAGAGGTTCACGGTGAGATTGGAGGTATATAAGGAGCTTAGGGACGTTAACCAAGACTCTTACTTGTAGGAGTAAGAAGTTACCAGTATAAATGTTTTGTTTACATTTCAGCTAAGAAGGTACCTATATTAATATTTTCTGGTGATAATGAAGGAGTGATTATTAAGTGGGAAAGAATGCAGTCTAACCATTTCATGTACAGGTATGTTTTTAAAACATGAGTTATTTCCCTTAAAATCTTCAGAAGCTGCTCTTGATGCTAAATAAGAACATTTGTTGAACATGCAAATAATCAAAATAAGACATGAATTTTGAAAGTTTAGAGAAAAAGAGATGTTGCATGTATGTTTGAAGCAAATATGGTTTGGAAAAAAATTGTGGGTATTTCCTTTGAGATGTACAAAGAAGCAGTTTTGGATTATTTTCATTCTTTCAGTAAGGAACTTTATCAGCTGAGTGACAACAAACTAAAAAAGCAGAAAAAAGTGGGTAGTAAGGCGAGAGAGCTGTTATTAGAGCAGCAACTGAACCAATCCCCATCCAAACTGTTCAATGATACCCAGCCATCAAAAGTAGATGCATCCAAACAGAAAATCAACAATGTCAAAAGTCATTATGCTTACAATAAACCACTTATACCACCGGTGAGAAAAACTATTCCAAACTTCAGTGACCAAACTGTTTTTATACCCCAAGCAACAAGTTGCGGGGGGTATAATGTTTTTGACCCGTCAGTCAGTCTGTCAGTCCGTCAGTCCTTTTTTTTTTGTCAGCGCAACTCCTCATAAACCGCTGCACAGAATTTCGTCAAACTTTGCAGATATTTAGGACACAATGTGTAGATGTGCATATTACCAGGAAATTCCGATTACTTTATTTTTCTGGGAATTTCGGCACTTTTCAACTTAGATTTTTTGCCATATCTTGAATATAGAGATGAACAGTATGTCAGCACAACTCCTCATAAACCACTGCACAGAATTTGGACAAACTTTGCAGATATTTAGTACACAATGTGTAGATGTGCATATTACCAGGAAATTCCGATTCCTTTATTTTTTCTGGGAATTTCAGCACTTTTCAAGTTAGATTTTTGGCCATATCTTGAATATAGAGATGAACAGTTTGTCAGTGCAACTCCTCTTAAACCGCTGCACAGAATTTGGTCAAACTTTGCAGATATTTAGTACACAGTGTGTAGATGTGCATATTACCAGGAAATTCCAATTCCATTATTTTTGCCTTAAGAGTTTTGCCTATTATTGAAGAAACTTTCCAGCTAGGTAATAAGGAAATCCACTGGAATCAGCTGTTGTAATGAAATTTTATGTGAAATATTTTATGACCTTAAAAGACCCGTATTGATTTTGAGATCAAAATATTAATGATTTAACACACAACACACACACACACAAATCTTGGATAGTTCTCTTGGGGTGAGCGTGGGGTTTGTGAGCTTGCTCACTTTTTCTTTCATTGTTCATAAATCAAATTTTTGCTATGAATATGATTACATTGTAAGATGCATGGTGAAGATGTTTACTTATACATACATATAAACTAGAAAGAGGGGAAAATATGTGTAATTCTCTAATGTTCAATTATTGTCTACAGTGTCATCTCATTGTTATTTCATTTAAGGTGATTATGTTTCTTCTTACAGCCATCAGTACATAACCACCCCAATACAACCATACTAAAGATCGTGTTTGTGGAGAGATTTGACTACATCATAGCAGCCTCAGAGGACAGCAATATATGTCAGTATCAAGAACAAAATACTGTTATTATTGATTTAAAGATTCAATAAGTATAACCTACATTTAATACAGTACCTTTATGTGCAAGTCCTTGTCACTATTGTTTTTTTTATGCCCCACCATGAATAAGGTCAGGGCATACAGCGTTTGTTATGTCCATCTTCATCCTTCTGTCTCTCCATCTGTCCATCCAACATACTATGCATTTAGCTCAGTTTCAAAGACACTATTCAAGATATTCTTATAAAACCTTATATGCTGGTAACATCAACAGTTTCCTATGTTCTTGTATAAACTTTTCTTAGAGTTGTGTTTACCTGTTTCACAGAAACTATTCAAGATATTTTTATTAAACTCAATATAGTGATACATATTAGTAAGAGCTTATCAACTACATCAAAATGTGTTACATTGACCTTCCTTATGACCTTGACCTCACTTTTCTTAAATTTGGATTTAGCTCAGTTTCAAAGAAACAAATCAAAGTATATTTATCAAACTTCATTTGCTGATACATATTGGTGAGAGCCTTTCAACTGCATCAAAAGTTTTTGACCTTGACCTTCTCTATGACAATGACCTCACTATTCTAAAATTTGTTAAGCTCAATTTTAAAGACATTTTTTTCTAAATATATGTATACTTATACTTATTGGTGAGAACTTATCAGCAGTCCATTTTTAGCTTTACTTGTCAGAGAACAGAGGAGCTTATGTGATAGTAAGGTGTCCATCATCCATCCGTCCATCTAGTCTGTCCGTCTGTCTGTAAACAATTTTTCGAAACGCTACTCCTCCTACAGTTTTTGGCTGATTTCAATATAACTTAGTACACAAGTAGACTATACTAAGATACATAATTCAGTACATTGGTTTTTGAATTTTATGAACAGTGTTGCCATGGTAACTAAAAAATAGAAATTTCTGTGAAATACTCTTAGAAGGCTACTCCTCCTACAGTCTGATTTCAGTATAACTTGGCACACAAGTTGACTACACTAATATACATTATTTTATTTACTGGTTTTTGATTTCGATAAGTGATGTTGCCCTGGTTATTAAAAATAGAAATTTATGTGAAATTCCTTTAAAACACTACTCCTCCTACAGTTTTGGCCTGATTTTCATATAATTTAGCACAAAGTAGTCTACACTTAGATACATAATTCTCTTTATTGGTTTTTGATCTCTGTGAGTGGTGTTGCCATGGTTACTAAAAATAGAAATTTCTTTGAAATTCTTTTAAAATGCTACTCCTCCTGCAGTTTTGGTTTGATTTCAAAATAATTTGGCACACAAGTAGTCTACACTAAGATACATAATTCTATTAATAAGTTTTTAATTCTGATGAACAGCCTTGTCATGGTTACTAAAAATAGAAATTTCTGTGAAATTCTTTTAAAATGCTACTCCTCCTACAGTTTGGTCTGATTTCAATATAACTTAGCACACAAGTAGACTACACTTTTATACATAATTTTTTTTTTTTTATGGTTTTTGATTTCAAGACTAAACCAAGGATCATTCAATTCTAATTTTTTGCTTTTGCATAGTTTCAAGTTCCTTTGTTAAAATACAAACCAGTAGAGCTACAGTCTTGTCAGAGACTTCTGTTTTTTTTCTCAATACATTACATCCAAAATGTCTGACATCTTTCTTAATGTATGTCATACTAAATCATGATCCCTAATTTTTTTAATTTCATATCAATCAGTTGTAAAATTAAGCGCCAAATAGACTCAGAATTACCTAACTACCTGCCAAGAAGCTAGAAATCTAAAATACATGCAGGTTTTCCAGTAAAAGTTGTTGAGAATCAAACATCGTTAATACATTCATTTTGTTTTCCAGAAATTTTTTTGTGGTCTGTTTGGACTAATTAGCCACAGATTTTGTTAGTCCGAATGAAAATGCATTAGTCTGAGACTAACAGGCTAATGTTAGTGTTGAACCCTAATTCTGAATGTGTAGAACACAGTTGTGATACTCTAGACTATATTTTAACTTACAGATGTTTGGGCATTTGACTCGGATGCAGTGAAAGCATTGAAGGACATGAAACCAATGGATATGGAAAAGCTGGTGGCTAAATATAGTATCCTACTGGACCCTGACTCTGAGCTGCTACCCCAAAATAAACCCAACACACTGGTATGTGGTTGTCTCATCAAAAACACACACATAAAAGTGATGTCCTTCCTTCATATATGGCTTATTCTTTCCCAATCAGTGTTGTCTAATGCAATCTTTTTTAATTGTCAATTTCATCATTAGAAATCAGTGCATGCAGTTAAAAAAAATGTTGTTATATATGTTCTTTGACATTACACTATTTAAGAAGCTTTATTCAGTAAGATTTCAATGTTTAAATCTTGAACCATAGATGTTTATAAAAAAAAATTGACCATGCTCTGAGTATAGACTTGCACAAATGACTAGAGCATTGCACTACTGAAAATGTACGATGACAATTTTATTTATTGATAAGGAAGAGGACGAGTCATCCGAGGAAGAAGAAATAAGCAGTGTTAAATCGGTACACTACATAACCGAGTGCAGTCTCCTTTTTTTGTGCCATTATTTTCTAACTTTTGTCTAAAGCTTTCAATTTCTCATCAGTGGGATTTCTCATCTGACCCACTAAAAATGCCATCTGACGCTACCATCTTTAAATGCTTTTTTAGTCTTGTTTATTATTTAGTAGGATAGTTTATATACACTTCACAATTAAAATCTTAAAGATTACCTGGATTCATCATGTCTGTCTGTCAGTCAATTTGTGTCTGTCAGTCAGTTTGTCTGTCTGTTTATCAGTTTGTCTCTCACACATTGTCCAGACCATAGTTCTGATATGAATAGGAACAACTGATACTTTACACTATGGCCAGAGAGTATATTAGAGCCCTTTTCCAAGGTCCTCTAAGCAAGGTCACATAAAGTTCAGTATAAAATTCTTGTTTTGAATTATTTTTGCAATGATTTTTATCTAGGTATAAAAATATAAGTTTTAAAAAAGCAGTGTATTTATTTTGGACATGCTTTGTTTTGATCTGATCTGCGGGAATTATTAAACCTGTTAGGAAAGTTTCTGTTCACTTTATTTTTCAATTGCATAAGCAGATTTATTGTTTATCAAGTTTAACAAAATTATTTCAGGTCTCGTGCTATGATTATTTCATATTTACATATTAATTAATTTTACACAGCTTTAAAATGTGCAAGTAGATTTTAAAAAAAAATCACTTACAGAGCTTTCTTCACAGTGTATTGTATTAGTAGAGAGAATTTTTTTTTCACACAGAGTATTGCTTTATAATAAATGTATGACTGTGTACAGTATTTGAGATATATATACAGGACTTTGATTGTCATTTTATGTAGTACCTGTATATTTGAAGGTGGAGATTGCTTCCTGATGTCCATAGTAACTGATTATTATAAGGTTAAGATGTTTATTTCTGAATACAATTTACTGACACAAGCTGGTAATACTGTGGCACACTATGTACTAAAATAAAGTCAGCTGGGAAGAGGCATGTATCAAATAGATGAGGAAAACATTAGCATATGGCACAATCAAGCATTATTCAAGGATCAATTAATGATAAATGTATGCAATCCTGGAAAACATACTTTTCTCCATAAGCAGTAAAACAGTAGAGTTTATAGCCTTGATGGTTTTACAGAGAGGTGTATTTAAACAATGTAGCGTGCTGGGAAGAGACTTAACTCTTGTTGTCTTCTTGGGTGTTTGTGACAAATCTCTGGTGATTTGATTGATGTCTCTTTAGAATTGTTCTTCTTAAAACTGGCTGCTTTTTTTAAAAAAATGAAAGTTTAAACTTTTTGCTCTCACTGATGGCTTAATTAACTTTATTAATTAATAGTAGTTTTTATTTCAGATTTTCCAGTTCAATAAGAGTAAAATAGTGTTAAATAATATAAAATGCATGAAGTATTCCTCAAATTACAACAAATTTAATCATCCTTTATCTTAGAATATTTTAAAATACAAGTAAAGAATGATTTTTCTTTATTGTAATAGACATTGATTTAGAATATAAATCTAACCAGAAAATTCTCATTGATTCACTTCTCAAAAAATTGTATATACAAATCATTTAGCTATTGTCTTTAAAAGTATATGCCAGTTAATTGATTTTTTTAATTCTTGCACTTAGGAGAGTGACTCTGTGACAAATCGAGTGGCAGGATTTGTGTGTAAGTTTGTGTTTGCGGAGCACATGAGTTGCGTTACCAGTATGGTAGTGATTGGGAAGGAGCATGGTATGGACACAACATATCTGGTCAGTATAGGCTGCCGTACAAGTCCACTTCACAATAATCCTAAACACAAAATTACCTGATGACATATAATGCACAAACAAGATAGACCAAGATTTTTAAGATACAATCAAGTTGACAAATGTCATTTTTAAAGGTGAAGGTCAAAATACCTCATTTATTGTTAATTTTCAAAATTCAGGCACTGCTAAAAACAAAACTTGCAATATCTGATGACTATTTAGATAGATTTCAACTTAATTCACACCTACATTTTGTAAAAAGTGTTCCTTTATGTATATTACTCGAGATACAGTATGGTATTTTGGTGACTTATCAGAATATTTTCTGATAATAAAATCCAGATAAATTCACTTGTTCAAGACAAGGAAAGCTAAGTAAACAATGACAAATGTCATTCCAATATATCAAATTATTTTTTTATTCTTCATGTTGACAAAATAGATCTAATTAAATTTCACTTTGCATAAAAAAATTGGTAGGAGTATTGGAATGTAGAAGTAGGTTATATGACATAATGTGAAGACGATGTTTGAAATGGTTAACTCCCAGTTCTGGACTATTTTTAGAAAACCCTGAGGACGTAGAATTCAGTGAATCATGCATGCATCATATAAAGTTTGAATGTAAACGGTCAATTTATATTGGAATTACGCAGTTGACAGTCAATATGATTATTAAATATCAAACGACATGTCATGAAAACTGTTTGTTTTTGTCACGTATTTGTCCGTATTCTGGCACAATGTCCCATTTACATAGCCAGGTAAATATCTATCTGCACAGAAACTTCAGTTAGGTAAAAGTACTTATTCATACATACTAATTAGATTGGCCATTAATTATTGACCAAACCTACAAGATCTCTGTTTGTCATTTAGATTATCGAGTTGTTATGTTAATGCTTATGGAATTCTCCATTTAATGCTGATCTCATTAATTTTGGAGATCATCATGATTCATATTTAAATGTCAACCAGAAAATCATAAATGTCTACATTAAGTACAATATTTTGTTTTCATATTCCTAAAGTGTTCAAACTTTGGAGTTCAAAGCAGTAAAATTCCTCTCTCCTTCATAATCACTCCCCTTAATTCATTTGAAGATACCAGATCAGTTTTTAGTTTACACATTGATATACCATATAAGCAAAATTTTAAGTGAGGATTAAATTTTGGCATTACATGTATTAGCAAGGGTTTTGAGATCACTAAAATTTTACATTGTCAACAATTTATTCCATATTGTTTTTTATAGTTATCTGAATTGACTTTATAAAATGGCTGAAATTACTTCTTGATAAAAATCTTTACCAATATTTGGAAATAAATGGATTTATTAATCACCAAAATTCCACTTATACAGTATATCTGGACTCTAATTTATACATTGATATATCTAGTAACAACTAAGTTAACACTTTGATATATATTGGACCACTAATTAGATTACACTGATATATTGGACCACTATGTAGTTACATTTTTAGCTCTTCTGAGCCAAAGGCTCAAAGAGCTAATGCTATGGCCATTTGTGCGGTGTGCGGCGTGCGGTGTGCGTAAACTTTTTAGAATATTGGCCATAACTCAAGAACCCCTTGGCCAATTATTGTCAAATTTGTCACAGGGTATCCTTGGCCCAAGGGCTCCCTTTTATACTAAAACTAGGGTTGTGACCCTTTAACAAGGGGAGATAATTAGGAAAATAGGAACAAAAGTACTGGTTGCTAAAAAATCTTCTTCTCAAGAACCACTGGGCAGATTATCACCAAACTTACACAAAAGGATGAGGATATGTTGTAGATTAAAATTTGCACGGGGATTTACCCTGGGGCAAAGGGCGTGGTCTCAAGGTCACTTCAAAGTTGACCAAAAATTACATTTTATTAAAATGTTGATATTTTGCTTACTATAAGGACTAGGATCATCAAATCTTGTCAGTTGATGCATCTAAGGACCTCATATCATGTTGACTCAAAAGTAGGTCACGGTGACCTACTTTTTAAATTTTGGGGCCATTCTTTTTCAAAATGATTTAGAGGCATATTTTGAACAATTTAAGGCCTATGATCATCAAACTTTGTCAGTTGATGTATCTTGGGTCCTTGAAGTACGTCAACTAAAAAATAGGTCACCTTGACCTACTTTTTGAATTTTATGGCTAATCTTTATCAAAACAATTAAGGCCATTAATTCCAATACCAAAAGGTTTAGAATCATTAAAACTTGTAAGATGATGCATCTTGGGGACATAAAACGTATTTATTAAAAAGTAGGTCACAGTGACCTACTTTTTGAACTTTGCAGGCATTCGATTTCAAAGCATTTTAGAGGCATAATTTGGACATTTTGAGGCTATGATCATAAAACTTTGTAAGTTGATGCATCTTGGGTCCTCAAAAAACATCAACTGAAAAGTAGGTCACTGTGACCTACTTTTCAATTTATATGACTATAATTAAATATTTCAGGTACTATTTGACTTAGAATCATCAAACTTTGTCAGTTGATGCATCTTGGGTGTTCGGAGTAGGTCGACTGAAAAGTAGGTCACCATGACCTACTTTTGAAAATTTATGGCTTTAATTAAATATTTCAGGTACTTATTGGCTTAGAATCATCAAACTTTGTCATTTGATGCATCTTGGGTCCTCTGAGTATGACAACTGAAAAGTAGGTCACAGTGACCTACTTTTGAAAAATTATGGCTTTAATTAAATATTTCAGATACTTATTGGCTTAGAATCATCAAACTTTGTCAGTTGATGCATCTTGGGTCCTTGGAGTACGACAACTGAAAAGTAGGTCACGGTGACCTAGTTTTGAAATTTTATGGCTGTATTTAATATTTTTCGGGTACTATTTGGCTTAGAATCATCAAAATTTGTCAGTTGATGCATCTTGGGTCCTCGGAGTAGGTTGACTGAAAAGTAGGTCACCGTGACCTACTTTTGAAAATTTATGACTTCAATCAAATATTTTGGGTACTAATTGGCTTAGAATCATCAAACTTTGTCAGTCAATGTATCTTGGGTCTTCAGAGTGCAACAACTGAAAAGTAGGTCACTGTGACCTACTTTTGAAAATTTATGGCTTTAATTAAATATTTCAAGTTCTAATTGGCTTAGAATCATCAAACTTTGTCAGTTGATGCATCTTGGGTCCTTGGAGTACAACAACTGAAAAGTAGGTCACTTTGACCTACTTATAAAATTTTATGGTTATAATTTAAAAAAAACATTTTAGGTATTAATTGGCTTAGAATCATTAAACTTAGTTAATGGGTCCTCAGAGAATGCCAAGTGATAAGCAGGTCACCATGACCAACTCCCAGGTACTAATTGGCTTAGAATCATCTTGGGTTCTCAGAATGTGAACTGGAATTTCAAGGGTTTATCTAAATATAAAGGATACTTAGAGGCTTCAAATAGAAGTGATAGGTTGTACAGTTTATCAGAAGAGCGATTCAAGGTCCTTGGGCCTCTTGTTATATATCTGACCACTATGTAGTTTACACATTGATATATCTGACCACTATGTAGTTTACACATTGATATATCCAACCACTACACAGTTTACACATTGATATATCTGACCACTATGTAGTTTACACATTGATATATCTGACCACTATGTAGTTTACACATTGATATATCTGACCACTATGTAGTTTACACATTGATATATCCAACCACTACACAGTTTACACATTGATATATCTGACCACTATGTAGTTTACACATTGATATATCTGACCACTACATAGTTTACATATTGATATATCTGACCACTATGTAGTTTACAAATTGATATACCCCCCCCCCCCCCCCACTATGTAGATCACACATTGATATATCCCCTACACTGTAGTTTACACATTGATATATCTAACCACTACATAGTTTACATATTGATGTATCTGACCACTATGTAGTTTACACATTGATATATCCCCCCCATTATGTAGTTTACACATTGATATATCCCCTACACTGTAGTTTACACATTGATATATCTGACCACTACATAGTTTACATATTGATATATTTGACCACTATGTAGTTTACACATTGATATATCCAACCACTATGTAGTTTATATATTGATATATCTGACCACTACATAGTTTACATATTGATATATCTGACCACTATATAGTTTACACATTGATATATCTGACCACTATGTAGTTTACATATTGATATATCTGACCACTGTGTAGTTTACACATTGATATATCTGACCACTATATAGTTTACATATTGATATATCTGACCACTATGTAGTTTACATATTGATATATCTGACCACTATGTAGTTTACATATTGATATATCTGACCACTGTGTAGTTTATATATTGATATATCTGACCACTATGTAGTTTACACATTGATATATCTGACCACTGTGTAGTTTACACATTGATATATCTGACCACTACATAGTTTACATATTGATATATCTGACCACTATGTAGTTTACACATTGATATATCTGTCCACTATGTAGTTTACACATTGATATATCTGACCACTATGTAGTTTACACATTGATATATCTGACCACTGTAGTTTACACATTGATATATCTGAACACTACATAGTTTACATATTGATATATCTGACCACTGTGTAGTTTATATATTGATATATCTGACCACTCTGTAGTTTACATATTGATATATCTAACCACTACATAGTTTACACATTGATATATCTGACCACTGTGTAGTTTACACATTGATATATCTGACCACTACATAGTTTACACATTGATATATCTGACCACTGTGTAGTTTATATATTGATATATCTGACCACTCTGTAGTTTACGTATTGATATATCTGACCACTATGTAGTTTACACATTGATATATCTGACCACTGTGTAGTTTACATATTGATATATCTGACCACTGTGTAGTTTACATATTGATATATCTAACCACTATGTAGTTTACATTTTAATATATATCTGACAACTACGTAGTTTACACCTTGATATATCTGACCACTCTGTATTTTACACATTGTAGTAACAATAGATGAATATTGGGGGGGGGAGTGTCATGTAAGGGCTCTGACTTTTCTTTATAAAATAAAAAAATATTCAGCGTATGCTTCGTAGTGTTCCAGTTTTTATTGATAACAAGAAGGGTTCCATGTTATTTATACATTTACATATCATATGTTCTTAAATAGCGGTGCACCATTAAAAGGTTCAGACAAGCCAAATTACCATATACTTAGGTGTATGTCATTGTAAATTAAAGCAATAAACTTTCTTTCTAACTCCAATTAAGTCCCATAGACTTGTCATTTTTCTTAGCTGTCTAAAACTCAGCAGTTTCCTATTTCTACTTTAAAAAAAATGAGGTTGTTGACCCTCACCTTATAATTGTTGACAAGATCCACTTATACATACTTGAAGTTGCAATTTTAGTGGAAATTATCATTAATCTTTTGGCCTTTAAACATATAGATTCTAAATGTAACAGAATCAGGTTTATGATAGCAATTAAAATTACAATACTAATTTTGGCACCTGTTTTAGTGCATTAGACTAATTTATTCTGCTAGAATATAAATCTAAATAAGGTTGCTATTCTATGAACACAAATATTCATATTAGAAAAGTCAGTACGTGTATATATATATATTTTTAAAATGTTCATTTTATGAATTACTAAACTAAGACTGCTTTGTGATCCTGGGACCTGTTCTTTAATACATTGACTCTCTTTAAGATACTTTTTTCACATAAAGTCTGTACTTTTACATTATTGATTGATTGTTAACAAGCTGAAGTAATGATAGGCCATTTTGTGCTTGATGTGAACCCAGCATTAGGGGAAAGTAAAAAGTAACCATGTAGTTACTATAGTACTAGTATTCTATTTCCATGTTTGCCATAATCATGTTTTACATTAGTAGATTATTGAACTACACTAGCAGTATATTCCTTGTAATTTGCCTTATTTTTAGCTAACCTCAATGAAGTTGGGGGAGCTTATGTAATACCCTCGGCGTCAGCGTCCCAGGTTAAAGTTTTTGGAGCAGTTTTCTTTTCAAGTACTTCTATGCCCTATATCAATCAGAGATGCATGGAGGATGCTTCTAGTATGTTTCATTGTACCAGTCAAGGTTTCAGATGCTGCAATTTCAGCTAAAGAATGACCAGGTTAATGTTTTTGGAGCAGGTTAGGGTTATTGGTGCAGGTTAAAGTTTCATTTCATTTAAAGGTCTCATTTCCAAGTAACTATAGGCCTTATATTGACCAAACTTGCATAGATGATACGTCTAAGAATGCACACTACTGAACTTGCTTCGGATGCTGGATCTGACCTACATTTTCCGGATGAGTGACCAGGTTAAAGTTTTTGGAGCAGATCTCATTTCCAAGTAACTATAAGCCCTATATTGACCAAACTTGCATGGATGATAAACCTAAGGATGCACACCACTGGACTTGCTTCGGATGCTGGATCTGACCTACATTTTCCGGATGAGTGATCAGGTTGAAGTTTTTGGGCAGATCTCATTTCCAAGTAACTATAAGCCCTATATTGACCAAACTTGCATGGATGATACATCTAAGGATGCACACCACTGGACTTGCTTCAGATGCTGGATTTGACCTACATTTTCTGGATGAGTGATCAGGTTGAAGTTTTTGGAGCAGATCTCATTTTCAAGTAACTATAAGGCCTAACTGAACCAAACTTGCATGCATGATGCATCAAGGGATGAACACTCTCAAACTTGCTTCAGATGCTGGATTTGACTTGCATTTTCTGGATGAATGACTAGTTTTAAGTTTTTAGATAAGTCCATTCCCAAGCAGCAGCCATATCAGACCAAAATTGCATAAATGTTGCATCTAGGGATGCACACTACTAGATTATTAGTTTAGTGTGGGACTTTGCCTTACTTAAAGACAACATTCATTGAGGTGAGCTCTGTAATCTCTGATAACCTATGTTTTAATGATGTAATTTTCTGATTGGCAGTTGAGTGGTGGTTGGGATAAGAGAATCTGTATTTGGGATCTAGAAAAGGGAACGTAAGTATCAGGAGAATTCACAGACCTATAGTGTAAAAGTATTAAACATATTCTTTTTTCTGTTTTGTTTGTTAATTTTATGGTAAAAATTTTATATTTCTGTGTAGTTTTATAAGAGTATTTTTCGGGATCTCTAAATCCCCCTGTATCGGAAGAGGAAAAAAAGGGGATAGAGGGGGATATGAATATCAAACACATTCAAATCTTATTTATTCTGGTTAGACTGGAGAATATGTTTAATAAAAAAAGCCATGCAGTATATAAATCTAATTATTACTTTAGCAATAAATGTTGTGTGTCTGATGTATGTATATATTTTAGCTTGGAGGGTACTTTCCGTAACACTGCCCCGGGTGCTGCCTATGAGAGTCTAGAATTTGCTTGTGATGGGGTTATCATGGATATGGACTACTCACCAAAACAGTAAGTTTTTTTATTAATTATGCTTATATATTTTGGTTCAAACAGCTTATTAAAGTTGACACACAGGCATCGATGTTGTAACTCTCTTTCCTGTTGGAGTATACATAGCACCTTGCTGCAATCACACAAGATGTCTATGTAGATGTTGTGTATTCCAAAACCTTCCTATTATAATGAATGTGTTGTGTACTCCCAGCCCTTGTCTATTAAGATGAAAACTTTTAGTCCCTTTCAGTAAATTCAATTGTTTTATATATATGTTGTCTAATCTGAAATGTTGTCTAATCTGGCAATTTTTTTTTGAAGGGGGGGGGGGGGGGGGAGGGGGGACCCGAGGTGTACCTCGTACAATGAGTTTTCCATACGGATCTTACTTTACAATAATAGGAACTTCTTGTTTTAGGAGGTACATGTATAGATCTTAATTCACTTATCTATTTATCTTCCTATGTAGCAAAGAATTTGCCTATGCCTCCAGTGACAAAATGGTATATATAAGAAAATTTTCCACAAATGGTGCTAAAATGACTTTGGTAAACACATTACAAGGTCATGAAGGTGAAGTTACTTGTGTACGCTGGAATATACATGGTAAAGGATCATGGGTGACTGGGTCAGAAGATGGAACTATCCGAATCTGGGTGAGCACTTTGGGTTTTTTTTAGCACTACTGGTCAGAGACCAGAAGAGCTTATGTGATAGTAAGAATGTCCTTTGTCAGTCCATCTGTCTTTCTCTAAACAATTTTTCAAAATTTTACTCCTCCTACAGTTTTGGTCTGATTTCAGTATAACTTGGCACACAAGAAAACTACACTAAGATACATGATTCTGTGTATAGGTTTTTGATTTTAATGACCAGTGTTGCCATGGTTACTAAAATAGAAATTTCTGTGAAATACTTTCTAAACACTCCTCCTCCTACAGTTTTGGTCTGATTTCAATATACCATGTGTGTACTTAAAAAAGCAGGCTTCATATTTTAGCCGCTTTGGCACAGTAAGCATTGCACTTATTCATGAATACCATTGATTAATCATTTAATTAATATATGGCAGGGGACATGTGTAGCGCTAATTCATAATTACACCAACAACTCTGTATCCAATGATTGCACTAAATTTTGAATACTTCAATTTTTGTACAGTTACTTGGCACACAAGTAAACTACACTAAGATACATAATTCTGTGCATCAGTGTATGGTTTTAATGAACGATATTGCCATGGTTACTATAGATAGAAATTTCTGTAAATTTTTTTCAAAAGGCTTCTCCTACAGTTTTAGTCTGATTGCAATAAATCTTGTCACAAAAGGAGATTAAACCAAGAATCATTATTCTATTTATTGCTGTTGCAAAGTTTCAAGTCCAAGTGCTACTTTTTTCTTCCTTTCTTATAAGTACAGAACAGTAGAGCCACAGTCTCCTCAGAGACTTTTGGGTTTTTTTTTTAAATTGTATTCCATCATTGAAATAGATTGTATTATAGTACTGTCAAACTTCATTATCTCAAATTTGATGGGACTGAGATAAGACTTCAAGATATCTGAGGATTCAAGATATTGAGGGTAAAATACTTAAAGAATAGGTGTATGGGACTTCCAAAATCACTTCTACATATCCATGGTATTCAAGATATCTGTGTTCAAGATGCCAAAGTTCAACTGTATATTCCTTTATGTGAATCAAATTCCTTTAAATTATGTTCTACTTTTCGTAAAGGGTGTTATGATTTTTGTAGGCTGGACATGGTTTAAATGAGTGTGAACAAATTCTGGCTGCTCAAGGAGGAGTGTGTTGTATGTGTATAGATAAACTGAATGGAAGTATTGTAGCTGGTATACAAAACACCATCAGGTAAGTTAACTGATCAGATAATACAGAGTATAATAGAGTCGTGTAATTAGTAGGATTAAATCACCTATACATGGCCCTGAGAATGACAGCCAAAACTTGATGACCAGTTCAGAACATTTCTTACTTAAGGAAATGTGTCATAAAGTCCCTAGGAACATACGGCAAATCTAGAAAATATATAAAAAAAAATTTGGAGATATTTATGGAACCATTTAATTGGCCATCTTGTATACATAAACAAATTCTTTTGACATGAACAATGTGGCAGGTTCCTCTCTATACTGTAAACATTTGTTTTTGCTTGCATGTTTTTTCGCATCAGTGCTTGAATGGACTACATTTACTTCTCCAAGAATTCTTGTAAGCTATAACTGGACTGAAAAGTCAATCTATGTGACATTTTTAAGAGACAAAACTATAACCACAAGTCATGAATTGTCAGGCCTGACCTGAGACTGTCATGAGAACTAGGATCTCAGCAGGAAATAGAACCAAATAAAATCCTTGTGTTTTTATAGAATTATAAATGCTTTTGACTGAAAATATAGTAAAATAAATTTTCCATAAAATGGTAAAATATTGTACATCATTGTGTAGCAGTGTTCATTTAATTTCAGGGTATATCACAGTGAACATTATTGATCTGTAGCAGTGTTCATTTAATTTCAGGGTATATCAGGCCAAAAATAAAATTAGCTTTGTTTGGCGTTGCTGACCGACTCGCATAAATTGGTGCGGTCTGAAGAATTTTTTCAACAGATACTGATCATAATTTTTATTTTGTAATATTCATCCGGATTTAAGTGTTTGTACGTTTGCATAATATATACAGAATGGGAAAGAATCATGTAAACGCTTGATTGATCAAACAGTTTTCATTTATATGCATCTATGTGATGTTGAATAAATGTGTATCACGAATCCAAGCATGGCTATCGAAAGTGGTAAGATGTAAACTTGGTATAACAGAAGTTGATGGCATGACTCTCTGTGGTAATGTGGTTTTAAAAGTAAACTGATGAATAAGATATACCAGTTCGAAATAGAAATTTCACGGTACAATGTCCTATCCAATTTGCTAGTCTAGCTGCCATGCTTGGATTTGTGCACATGAATCAAATTTACACTAATTTAATGTCAGTGATTTTTAATGCTATGTATATTAAAGGGTTAAAGCTAATAGGGTTTGAAAATCAATGACAAAACTGAGAATCAATTCGGACTGTGGTTGTTGTTAAACTATCGGAAACCCATGACGTTCGGATACTAACAACATGTACCATTTCTGAAATTTAAAAAAATATATATTTTCCCTACCTACCGACCCAAACGTATAAAGACTAAGTCGGCAACGCCAAACCAACAATATTTTAATTGTGGCCTCACGGTGAACATTGTCCATCTATAGCAGTGTTTATCTAATTTCAGGGTATATGACAGTGAACATTATCCATCTGTAGCAGTGTTCATTTAATTTCAGGGTATATCACAGTGAACATTATCCATCTGTAGCAGTGTTTATTTAATTTCAGGATATATGACAGTGAACATTATCCATCTGTAGCAGTGTTCATTTAATTTCAGGGTATATGACAGTGAACATTATCCATCTGTAGCAGTGTTCATTTAATTTCAGGGTATATGACAGTGAACATTACCGCCTGGTTCAGACAAATCTGGGTCATACTGATGCTGTTCGGAGTATCATCCACATCCCAGAGAGAAATCAGGTCAGATTCCTTGAATTTGAAAGAATTTTTTTGGGATCCATCTTTTATCTTTTTTTTATAAAAAAATTTTGGCTTGATCTGTAAAACAGAATGGACTTATTGTGAAAAAAATCCTATACAAACAATGTACATAAGTTTTTCATACATTTTAAGTTGATACCTTTAATGTCTTTTGGAGTATGTTTTTTTCTAATTGTGTCCTGTATTTACAGTATGTCTCATGTTCCTGGGATCAAACGATCCGTGTCTGGAATTCCTGGAAAAAACCAAAGAGAAGAGTGATTCCAAAGAATGAAAACAAACACATGACCTTGAACTCTGGAGATGGTGATAAACCCTTGTCTGCGGAGAAAAAAGTGGCATTTTCTGACATCGACGCAGAGGAAGAGATGGCAAAGATCCCTGAAGAAGATGAAGAAGAATTACAAGTTGAGGAGGAGCCCTAAGTGGAGGAGGAGCCGTAAGTGGTAAAAACAAGACCATTCTGTGCCATAATAGCAAGTGTGATATAAAACAAAATCCATTCCATGTGATAGCTTATCATCAAATATCAGCCATAGGGTGTGATATAGGGCTGTATTTGTTAGTGCAAATTTTGGGATTTAATAAATCAATAATTAAGTGTTTTGATTTTTGTGATCAGACATGAATTGATTTGTTTGAGTTGACCTGTATGGGCTATTTTACATTACATGTATAATCTATGTCTTTTGTATTTTTTATTGATGAAATATTATTTGTATGGACAAATCTTCCATATATATGTACATGGATGTATGAAGATTACTTACTTTATGGTTATATATATTTACAAGAGTCTATATTTAAATATATTTTATTAAACATTTTTATATATTGTACAGTTCATATTTATAAACACTTGTAATTCATATATTTTTGTATACTAAACTGTATTTTCTCTACATATTTTTAATGTTTGTTATGCTCTGCGTTCTATCTGTAAAGAAGCGGGTTAGATTTTGTGTTTACTTGTACCTAGTCAATTTCTGACACTGTCCAGTGATTAATCATTAACATTTAAGATTTGCATGTTTTCATTTAACTTGTGCAAATCTGTGTGCATGCATTGCTTAAAATTTATTTTATTTTCAGATCAAGGTTAGTGAAAATGATAAATCTAAATTGTTTTAATTATCGCTGTCCCTGAACTTTTAATTCTTACTTTGACTTCCTCTGATTTGAAACAGATGTTTATTTTTTTCTTAAATTGGGGGTAATATATTTTTCATTTATCATTTTTTAATATACTGGTACAATGTATATGTGTACAAAAAAGTAGCAAAAAAAAAAAGAATTACATAATGCTTTGTAACAATTAAAGCTATGAAATTTTAATATCAATGCAGACATTTCTGTTTAAATTATTCAGCCTTTTTTGTGACAGATGTATGTGTGCATTAGTTTGACGTAATTATAAATGCAGATAACACTGGCTCATACATGTATATCTACTTCTAACTAGTTTTGTCTCAAGTCTCCTCGTGTATTTATGAATTATCTTCATATTGTTTGGAATTTTTCATAGTTCTTTTGTACTGAACATCCCTGCCCCCTTTCTTTGTAGATTTTACTGAAGTTTTATGCTTGTTTGTTTGTTTTTTAAATGTTTTCAGTCTGTTGAAATTTCCAAAATTTCTGTTTATGCATATTCCGCTGCTTACTCTGTATTGTACAATTAAATGAGTGTCAATTGAAAATGATGATCAGTGTGCCAAACTTTGACCATGACCTTTAACTTAAGGTAACCAGGGTTGTGAAATGTGTATTCCAGAATAGTTTGGTGCTTTTAGGTCAGTATTATGCACCAATGTTTGATGTTAGTATAAATAGCTAATATTATTAAAGAGATGTATTAGAGCACATGCATTCTCTTTCTTGTTAAACTACTTCAATGTATGTAAGTGGTGAAAAACCCAGAAGAGATGTTTCTTAAGTGTCCTGTGCAATTTTTTATGGACTTTGTTTGGAAGTAATATTTGGAAATATGTCATTCATAACAAAATAAAAAATAATGATTTTATAAAAGTTTTTTTTTTTTTTGAGTACTTTGGTTATTTTGTGAATGATGGTAATTAGTGAACAAGTCCCACTGATAAAATTTTCTGTAAACTTTTAGAGTTTAGGGACCATTATCTTTTCTTTTTTTCCAGGGTATCAGAACTGTGCTTTTCTTATTCTCTCAGCACATACACACCATTCCCATTTCATCTACAAGTTTTTGTCTGAACATTCTAATTGATTTTATTTTGTTTCTTTGAAAACAAGTTTGCTATATATTCTGTATACATGTAAAAAAAAAATATGAATGAATAGCAACTTTGCTACATACATTAAGTAAAAAACAGATTGGAGATTACTAGTATTGGAGCAAAGACTTAGTTAACTTGTGTTGGAAATAGGCAGACTTTAACCTTGCAGATTACTAGTATAGAAACATAGGCTAACTTTAATCTAGAAGACAGCTAGTATTGGAGCATACCAGTAGACAGATTTTTATCCTGGCAGATTACTAGTACATGTTTTGGAGCATAGACTGGCTTTCACCTAGCAGAGTACTAGTATTGGAAATAGGCAGACTTAATCTTTGCAGTTTACTTGTATCGGAGCATAGGCTAATTTAAACCTATAGCTGATTACTAGCATTGGAGCAAAGACTGACTTTTATTCTGACAGATTAACAGTATAGGTAAATAGGCAAACTCATACCTTGCAGACTACTAATTTTGAAACGAAGCACACTTAAACCTTTCAGATTACTAGAAATGAAGCATATACTGACTTTAAATCAGCAGGTTGAAGCATAGGCTGTCTATAACTATGCAGATAACTGGTATTGAAGCATTGGCAGACTTTAACCTGGCAGATTGTTGGCTCTAAATCATAGAATGACTTGAAAATTAGCAGATTGCTAATATTAACTTTAACCTAGCAAAGCACTTGTATTAGAGCAGACTGACTATTGGGGTATAAATTGTCTTTTATTTTGGCAGATTATTTGTATTGGAGTATTATGACTTTAATCTAGCAGATTGCTAGTATAAAGAGTATAGACTGACTTAAATCTAGCAGATTACTAGGCATTGGAGCATAGGCTGACTTTGTTCTAGCAGATTACCAGTATTGGAGCATAGACTGACTGTAATAAGCAGATAACGAGCAATGAAGCAATGGCTGACTTTAATCTAGCAGCTTATTAGTATTAGAGCATAGGCTGACTTTAATCTAGCAGATTACTAGCATTGGGGCATAGGCTGACTTTAATCTAGCAGATAACGAACAATTGAGCATTGGCTGTCTTTAATCTAGCAGATTATTAGTATTAGAGCATAGGCTGACTTTATTTTAGTAGATTACTAGTATAAGAGCATAGGCTGACTTAAATCTAGCAGATTTTACTTGCATTGGAGCATAGGCTGACTTTAATCTAGCAGATTATTTGTATTGGAGCATAGGCTGGCTTTAATCTAGCAGAGCACTTCCACTGGAGCATATGCTGACCTTAATCTAGCAGAGCACTTGCATTGGAGCATAGGCTGACTTTAGTCTAGCAGATTACCAGTATTGGAGCATAGACTGACTGTAATAAGCAGATAACAAGCAATGAAGCAATGGCTGACTTTAATCTAGCAGCTTATTAGTATTAGAACATAGGCTGACTTTAGTCTAGCAGATTACTAGTATTAGAACATAGGCTGACTTCAATCTAGCAGATTACTAGCATTGGGGCATAGGCTGACTTTAATCTAGCAGATAACGAACAATTGAGCATTGGCTGTCTTTAATCTAGTGGATTATCAGCATTAGAACATAGGCTGACTTTGCTCCATCATATTACTAGTATATGAGCATAGGCTGCCTTTAGTCTAGCAGATTATTTCTACTGGAGCATAGGCTGATTTTAATCTATCAGAGCACTTGCATTGGAGTGTAGGCTGACTTTAGACTAGCAGATTACTAAAATAAGGGCATAAACTGATTTAATCTAGCAGATTATTTGTATTGGAGCATAGGCTGACTTTAATCTAGCAGATTACCAGTATTGGGGCATAGGCTGACTTTAATTTAGCTGGCAGATTACTATAGCATTGCAGCAAAGCTTTACTTTCATACTGGCAGATTACAGTATTTGAGCATATACTGACTTTTACCTAACCAGATTAACATTTTTGGAGCATAGGATGAACCTAGCAGATCACTAGTATTGGAGCATAGACCAGGCCCGTAGCAACGTTTCAAAAAGGGGGAAGGAGCAAAAATCTTGGAATTTGCCAGTGCTCGACCTTACAGCAACAAAAAAGTGGGATCCAAACACCATCTAAAGGTAAATTTACTATAACAAAGTACTATACACAGGAAAAAAAGTGCGGGGGGGGGGGGGGGCTGCCTGACTGACAACCTAGCAGATTATTTGGAGCAGTGGCAGACTTTATCCTCATAAGAGATTCAGAGTAAGAATCAATCAAGTATTGGACATGTAATATGTCTTCTTCATGTTTCCATACTATAAAATAAAGAAAGGGGCAATGAATCTTCATATACATGTACATTGTTCATCACTGTTAACTGTCATTCTATTATACGTGTATAAATTTCGTATTCAATATGATTTAATTCTATATCAGTGTCCATTCATTTCACTTAAGAATCAATTGGTTTTATCTTATGAAGTCACCACGGGGGTTTTGTTCGTCTACAGTATCTGGTCTCGATGGATTCTATAAATTAAAGTGAGGCTTGATGGTCTTTTCCAAGTGTAAGCGCTAACTGCGTCAATCCACAGGCATCAGTGTCAGTCAATCTGTGTGATGGGCAATATCGCTTCCTTAGAAATCAATACCAGATATTGTCAACAGTACTTCTACAATTATTCCTTGAATCCCATCTCAAAATGATTTGAATTTTTAAAAGAAAGAGAACGAAATGGGATTTGCTGACTGTTGTAATTACGATAGATCGATATAGGGTACTACTGGATGGGACAAGGAGACAGAAACAATTCTGACAAAATCCTGGAAGGACGTAATGCATTCAATGCACAGTCTGCATTCAGTGATTTTATATTTGGAAGGTTTTAATTGTTTGCTAAGTTTTTTTGGAAGCAATTTCAACTGATAACTGCAGCAACATAATCTTATAAAAAGGGGCCGTAGATTCTGGGATGAAAAACCCTTCAAGATTGCGCCTGGTAAGTTGGTTGGTTCTCAGTTGAGGGTATTACAAACCTTAAATAAAGGCGATATATAAGACCTAGGATACATGTACGTGTATGTATCTACTCTTGCACAAATTGGTGACATTTTTAAATGCATGTTTTTCTGTTACTGAAGAAACTGATAATCTAGGTTGTTTTTTAATCCCCTTGACTATATATAGCGAAGATGAAATGACCAATATTATAACCTGTATTAATTTTTTAACTTGACATTTTCAAACAGGAGAGAAAACAACAAATTAAAAAACCTGAATAATAAGAAAATGGAGGTCCTAAAGAATAAAAAGATTTTTTAGTAGCGTTGCTTGCCGCTTTAATGAAAGTAAGAGAATATTTACGAAGAGGTGGGTTTGAGCACCCTGAACAGGTGGGAGATTGAGGTTAGTGCTGGCGAAGCACTGCACACAGAGCATTTTTTTTCCAAAAAATTTTGACAAGCAAAAAAAAAAAAAATTTCCATGCAAGCTCGAAATCCTATTTCGTAGGGGATGGGGAGTTGGGGGTGTAGGTTCCAACTTCCTTTCACAACCAATTTTTTTTTTCTTAACCAAAATTACCATTATTTAACAACGTTACAACAAAAGGGGGCAACCAGCTTTTCAATGAATATTTTCAATTGTAAAAGGTTATGTTTAAAAAGGGGGGCAGCCCCCTGGCCCCACCTTGATAATACGTGCCTGAAAAGACAGAAAGGCATTACACGAACATGTGAATTTATCCCTGTAACACATGCAGAGTTAGCCAGGACAAAAACATGCAATACATACATGTAAATCAGGCTAGACTAACATGAATTTCTTAGACCTTGATATCACATCTTAATTCGGTGATAGAATGGGCGATTTCATCTCAAGATTTATTCCCTTTTTTAGTAGTAAATAAAAAAAAATCTACTGAATGCATTTTCTGTGACGTTCCATTACTCAATTTTTCTGGCTTTTTAGCTCACCTGAACCGAAGACTCAAGTAAGTGAGCTTTTTCTGTTCACATTTTGTCCGGCGTCCGTCTTTCTGCCTATATATCCACCTGTAAACTTTTCATGATCACATCTTCGATTTCTTTTCAAGAACAACTGGGCCATTTTCAACCAAACTTGCCACAAAGTATCCTTGGTAAGTGGGATTCAAGTTTGTATAAATGAAGGGCCTCGCCTTCTTCTAAGGGGAGATAATTACGAATTAATGACAAACTAACGGCATCTTTTAACATCAGTGCCACTCATTCATGCATTTTTGCTTATATGTTATTTTGTTGTACATGTATTAATTTGTATTTATATACCCCAGCTGGAGTCTTTGTCTTAAATAAAAACTTGAAACTTTTAAAAAAAAATCTTCTTCTCAAGAACCACTGAGCCAGAAAATATGAAATTTATGTGGAAGCATTCTCGTGTAGTGTAAATTCAAGTTTGCTCAAACCATCATCCGTGGGGTAGAGTGGGGTCACAATGGGTGATCAAAGTTTTAATAAATAAAGAAGTGCCCTGAGGTAATGTAGATTCAAATTTGTTCAAATCCCCCCTCCCTCCCCCCCCCCCCCCCGTAGAGATGGGTCACAACAGGGGATCAAAGTTATACAAAGGAATATATAGGAAAAATCGTTAAAAAATCTTCTCAAGAACAGCAAATAGCCATGATAAGTCATATTAATTCAGAAGCATCCTCACATAGAGTAGATTCAAGTTTGTTCAAATCATGTCCCCCGGTGGTAGGAGGGACCACAGTAGAAGATCAAACGTGTAGAAATAAATCTTGAAAGATCTTCTAAAGCCTTGATAAGTCAAAGAAATATGGAAGCATTCTCATTCAGTGTACATTGTAGATTCAAGATCGTACATGTACAAATCATGCCCGCCCCCGGGGGAGTTATTTGGTACCACTTCTTTGTTTCATTTTTTTCCAATACTGAACTGATTTCTGCTTTTTTCCTAGCCAATGTGCTCAGGTGAGCGATGTGGTCCATGGGCCTCTTGTTTAACAACACATTGGATATAGTTAAAGTTATAAATTAACCAAAAAAAAAAAGTAATCGGAAGAATGTATAATATGAATATGAACATAAAATAATTTTCATAGAAAAAAAGACAAGTCTAAAAATACTATTTCTATATAATTTTCTTTCGTTTATGGTTTGAATGTATTTTATTGTAATTTCTAATTAAAAAGGGATTGGGCACAAGTTCTAAAAACTTATTACACCCTCTCCCTACATGTCGTTTATATTACTAGTACTTTTAATGAAATAAGATATGAAGGACTAGAGTTGTATTATCACAGGTTGGCATCGCAAGGGAATAAAAAGCTTGCATATGGACAGTATTTATTTCTCTAGCGAGGGAGCATCGTCGCAAACCACGGCCAAAATGTACGATCCTCTCCCATTCTGGTGAGAGCTGTATGCGGATTCCGGACCGTGGCTTGAGACGATGGCGAGGGAGTCGCTTCACTTTCTTGGTGGAAGTCACGCCTCTGAGTATAAACTATTTGAAATAAAAATTTAAAACATTTGCAGAAATTGTCACTGCAAGAGCCAACGCCCATATTACACGCGCTCTTGATTAATGAGACATGCACGGTGTCATGCTTAGGAAAACATTATTACCAACAGCTCTGCATGGCTAGTTCCCTCCATATTTCGAAATATGCAAGATATTCTCTCTCTCATTAAATTAGTTCAAATCCCTCTCCAGCTGAAAAAACTCAATGCTGGCCGGTTCGATACAGTTCACTTCGATACAGTTCACGCTACACATAGATATTCTCGTCTCCCTATCCATGGCTATTCAAACATGGTCCTAGGATGGGACAATAGATTATTATCTTCATGGAATAGGAAACATTTAAGCATCACAGTGCGAATAAAATATATTTTGTTACAAAGTTAGGACAGTAAATACAAATGTTCATCAATGTGTAAAAGGAGAGGAGAAAATGCGACGGACTAGACCAGGATTCGAACCCGGCCCAGTTCGATCGCCGGTGGCCAGATAGCTCAGTTGATAGAGCAACTGACTGGTGATTTTCCTGGTCTGGTCGGACTGATCCAAAGCATTTTAATTTCCCCTCTCCTGTTACAACTGGAACATGGTTGTTCAGGTTGACAGAGCAACAATTTACAAAACCTTCTTACTGGAAGTCATTTCATTATTATTATTCTGAAAGAGACATTTAAAACAACAATTACTTTGATAATTTAAGAACATTAATCTAGTTGTTATTTATTAATTGATTGATTTAGTTATTTGTTGATTTATTTATTTTTAATCTAAAATGAAATAGTCAGTTGATCTGGGTTTAAAAAATCAATTTCATTTGTGAAATAATGTTTTAATTGTGTATTTTTGTGTTAAAATGCCCCCAGGAGGCCTTGATTACTCAATACCTATATTGTGGATCTTGTACACATTGGCGAGTTAAAGCACATGGCATTGTTTACTAAATTTTATAGTCTGTTTCGGGGCCTCTATTATTTGCATATGTATCACTCCTGTAATTTATCCCCTAGATGTACACTATTTGGACGCACTAGAAATAATTATATTGTTCAGACATGAAAAAATATGCTTGATTTTTTTATCTTATTAATTTTTATTCAAGAATTAATCTATGTTTCATCTTATTTAATGAATCTGGGCGTGCTTACATTTGCATATTTATCGACCGTGACACTTTCCTACCTCGTGACGTCACTTTTAAAAAAATGGCGGACCTACATGAGGCACGTATGTTGGAAGGAAAAGATATAAACGGAGTCACTTCCAAAGAGACAGGTAACGGGATTTTACAAGAGTTGGAATTAAATAACCTTGCTAGAGGAATGAGTACTGCTCCTTCAACATCACGATTTCTAGTGGCCAGGGTTAACGATGAAAAAGTTGACGAGACGGATCAGCCGCCAGTTTCTGAATCTGAATCCGAACCAGCGATCGGGAAACCGGCAAAACAACTTGACTTTCAATTCCCGGATTCCCCAAAATCTCCCAAATCTCCATATGATTCGGTTCATTTTTTCGGAGGAACTGTGAGTCCAAATGACACATATGGATATAATAATTCATGCGAAACTCACATGAAAACATTTGGAAAAAATACAGTTGAAGCTATTCCTCATGTGGATCATTACAGAAACTTGCTTTCAGCAACAGCAGCATTGAAGTCAAGACCAACTCTTGCCGAACTCCACGAAGAAAAGGTATCATATTTTATGTTGTACCTGTCATAGATTTCAGTTTATTGATTTGTTTATTTGTGACAAATCGTCAGCAGCAGCAGTAGTCACGTGTATGGATTTAGAGTCTGTTGAGGTTGTATAATCCGGCATTGCTTTCTAGACTACTAGTATCTATCAGAGACTATATTAGTATATATATGTCCCCGTATCTAGAAAGTTTACGCCTTGAGTAGGATATAAACATTTGGGTTCAGTCCATTATATTCATACACCATGCATGATTGATTTATTGTTCCTTCAAAAATTCTTTAAAGTGTCGTAAGCTTGTACTACATGATATGGTTGATGAATTTTCTTTGCCTTTGCTTTCTCTGCCCTCATTAAAATTGACATGTTCATTGAGATGTCATGTCGTACAGGAGCTTGTAAGTAAACAAAGATTAATCAGAGAGTACATGATTTACAACACATGGCAAACATTTCATGGACTTTGTGAAAATATGTTGATTGATCAACTGTTGGAAACTATTTTTGATTCTTTTATTTCCTAAAATTTCTTTTGCTGGAGCTCTACCCATGTTTTTATTTTTTTAATCGCATGTACTGTAGAAGCACAAATTTTCTTGGAGATAAAATTTCGTTGATTTGTCATCTAAAAAGGTTTCGTGAGGATTTAATTTCGTTATTTCAAAAGTAATCCTATTCAATATATAGTTATATGAAATTTCGTGTTGGTTTTAATTACGTTTATAATTATAAACAATGAAATTAATGAAATTCAATCCCCAACGAATATTTCTGCTTTTACAGTGCATTCAACATTACTAACAAGAATGAAAAAAAACAATATGTCAACAAAGGTACAGGTCAACATCAGTTTTGACAGCAGACACTGTATCTGTCAGAAAAGATGATGATACTTAAGTAGTCTAAGCTTCACTATATAGACTAGTGTAGACTCAATTTTTCTCAAATCATGACCCCCGGTGTAGAGCGGGGCCACAAAAGGAGATCAAAGTTTTACATAGGAAAATATAGGGAAAATCCTTGAAATCTTCTCAAGAACAACAAAGTCATGATTTGTCTTAATTACAGGGAAGCATCCTCAGGTAGTGTATAAATTCAAGTTTGTTCAAATCATGACCCCCAGGTATAGAGTGGAGCCACAGAGTTTACATAGTAATATAGGGGGAAATCTGGTGATGATGAACAGCAGGGCCAAAATGACTCAGACGAGTGTTATGGCCCATGGCCCCTCTTGTTTCTATAAACATATTAAGATTAATTTCTGTAAATCAAGGAGTGAGTTCTGTTTTAAACTAGCTGCAGATCTGTAGCTCGCTGGTCTGGAAAAAAATTTGGATGGACGACCAGAGAGCTACAGTGCTACAGAGCTGCAGCTAGTTTTAAAGAAGACTGAAATCCAATAAATTGATCTGTCTATGAAGAAGAGGTGTAATCTTATTAAGGCCCGTGCAGGTTCATATTTTGAAAAGGAAGTTACAGAGCAGGTGTAAGATGTGGGATTTTTTTTATTAATTATGAAAATAATAATAATTAAAAAAAAAACCCAACTATATATTTCCTATTTTCAAGTTATATAAAGAATGCTACTCCTATTCTTTAAAGGAGTCACTCTGGCATTAGTTGTTGTCAAATTGAAAAATTGTTCAATGGTTAAAATATGTAATTACATATTAATGTCAAGGTTAACAGGAGCAATTAAATCTAGTTTAAGATGTACCTTTAAAACATTTCTTTTAATGAAATGCTAACCAAATGACTTGCTTTGAAGCTTAATCTTTGTCAGCTCACATATATTCAAGAAAATTTCCAAGGTAAGGTGACTGCATGAATGCAAAACCAGTGTAGCTTTTCTGATCCACATGTTAAGTACACAAAATGTTTTTCAGACTGAAAATTAGGGCTGGGAACCAGCTGTTTCCGGTCAATTTTCTCAATATTTTGAAGATTTTTCCCACATCAAAATGAATATTTTTTTTCCAGTTGACAAATTACCATCAAGGTTGACAAACTTAACTTTAATTCCATTACCAAATTTATTCTAGATTTTAAACCAATTAATTTTTTTTTTAGAACAAATGTTCATGGCCTAGAAAAAAATGTACTGTGTACTTTGTTTTTGTTTTGAACATATTTTATTGACAATGTGTCAAAGGGATTGGACACAAGTTCTAAAAACTTAGATAGTCCTCTCCCATACATAAAATCTTAATAGCCATACAACATTTACAAAGATTTACAATTTTACAATATTATACATGAACGTAGAAGTCAGCAGCAGCAGTAGTCACGTGTATGGATTTAGAGTCTGTTGTGTACTTTGATTCTAGAATAGTAAAAATTCAGAGAAGTCTGACACATATGCATGGAGGAAAATGCAAGATAGCATTTAAGTGCTTGTTTTGAATCTGTAAGTGATAATTAATTATTATAACATCACAATTTTATTTCATTTCATTCAAATGTCATATCATAACTAATGATGAGGTATTGAAACAAGAGTTAAATTATTTTTAATATGGAAATGAATATTACTGAAAATATCTGTGTACATTGTTGTTCAACAGTAATATAAAGCATTACCTTTGTCCTTGAATGGAAAATTTACAAGCAACAAAATAAAAATTGAAGACATTCCCCCTTTTTTTTAAAGTCTGAATTAAAAAGAAAGCAATGAATTTATATTTCAACAAACTGCATTTGTTTTCTTGTAAACCAATTATGACATCCCGTTAGGTAATGCTTAAATCATTAATCAGTAGAAAATCAATACTAATGACTCGGCAGTATTTTATGGGTAACGTGAGATTTTCAAGTAATCAACACTGCCATTGCCCAAAAACATGGATAATGATTGAACTTTCAAATAATTTAATCCCAACCAGCAAACATTTTGAGTTACCTTGAAATATTAATGCATAGTTTCTGTAACCAATCTGAGGAGTAGACAATGGTAATTCCAAATTTTACTGCATTTTAAAGTGACATTTATCATGTTTTTGGAAGTTACAGAAGGGTTCTCAGTTCAGCCAGTGATTAGTCAATTTTGATGTCTTCATTTTACACCATGTCCCATCATTTCATCTGTAAAGAAATTCTAGAGTGACACTCCACCTCAACCATATACTTTGTAATTACAAAACAAATTAATCCTAGAATTCCATAGGGTGTCATGATATTTAATAAGCTAGGCTGTTACATGTCTGCTTCCCCAGACTTCTCTGATACTGCCAAAAAATGTTCTAAAACAGTAAGGGCAATGACATGCAAAAGATAGAAAACAATTTTCTTGTAGAAACAAAACATGTTCCAAAAAAGTGGGATTTCTACCAGCTGATACTGGTGTGTAAGTCATTCACAGTGACAATGTACAAGGCTGCACTTGTACCCAGTATTCTAAGTCATTCACAGTGACAATGTACAAGGCTACACTTGTACCCAGTATTCTAGGGATCTTTATCTTTTATATGTGTTTATAGAAATAATTTCTAACAGTAATTGAACATCAAATATTTTGGTGAAGAATGAAAGATGCTAAAGAGAACTATGAATCTGATTTTCAACATTATTACCAAAACTAATTTTGTCAATCTTCTTTGAGAAGTATAATCTCTTTTTTAGATTATTTGAACTTGTTCATCAAAGTTCCACATGTGAGCTTCAAGTATGATATTTTTAATGATTCTGTTTTAGGAAGAGGAAGTCATTCGAGCCAAACAGAGGGAACCACTTTTAGCATCAGAAGAAAACTTGGTGGAGGAGTCCACTGCAAACAAAGCAACAGCAGTCAAGTTTGGATGGATCAAGGGAGTATTGGTGGGTTATCTGTTTGTGGGGAGGGGTGGGGGAAAGGGGGAAGCTAGTGTGTGTCATTGTAAGTCCAGTTCAAAGTTTTTTGTCATTTGAAAGCAGTCCAGGAGTAAGACTCCTGTTCAAATATGTTAATTGTTAATACTTGTTTCAAAAAAAAGAAGAGGTCATAAAAGTTGTTCTCACATCGGCATAACACTTTATACCCTAATTACCATAGCTTATTGTGTTAGTACAGAATGGTACATGTATGCTTTTCCTGGGATGCCCCAACTCCAGGAAAATTCCACTTTTTTTAAGGCAAAAGTGAAGGGATTTGAAAGTTCATCAATATGTATAATACTCAAAAATGAATGGGGAAAAATGACTGTGAGCATGAAAATGATTTTTTTTCTTACATGATCTTGGTTTATTTTAATTGAATCTAGTTATTATGGGCTGTACAGGAAACAAGGAGCAGATTTTACCTGATCATATAATTGTCAAGCATTAGCTTTGACTGGTTTAACCTTGCATTAACCAGTGCCTGAATTGTCTGGTATTAAAGTCTGCAAAATAGAATAAATAAATAAAGATAGGTAAAAGTCAGTTACAAAAACACCGAGGCTACGAATAACTGGAATATTATTAATTTGCAAAAACTAACAATCTGAATATTATAAATTCATATGTCTTGATTGTCTCTCAGAAAACATGATCTGTATACAGAGTTAATCTGATCTGTGGTTTCTGTCTGAAAAGAAGTACATCTGGCAGACAGAATGTGAATTACTGCTTATTAACAATAAGACCCTCATTATGTATCAGGCTGATAAGATTATTTCCCTCCCAGAGTTTGTGAACTGATAATTGATACTGTGAATATGTGAATTTCTATATCAATCCTAGAAGTAACTATGGTGAACCCCAGTGCAAAGACAATAAACTACTGTAAAAAATAAGTTTTTTGGTATGAGTTTTTCCAAGATTATCCTATGACTATGATCCTATATATATATGAATTTTCATTACACAAAATAGAAGGTTACACCTACTGTTCTGTAGAATTAGAATAGAACAAGCACAGCTGGAACAATTAACATTCTTTTACTAATACTCACTTGTTAAAGATTTAAGTGCTCTGGAAACTGCACTTAATACTCTGTCTCCTAAGGTCAAGGTCATTTGTAATAAAACCCACTTCCTGTGATAATGAGCTATAATGATGACCTTGTCCCTTTGTAGCAGCTTATTGTTTGACTTCCTGTATGCTAATGAAAGGAGAAAACTGGCAATTTATTATCTGGTTAGGATGAAACAATTCCTGGCATCCCAATTTTTCGAGTTGGATTACCCAGCTAATGAGAACATCAACTTATTGATAATAGACAAGAAATCAAAGACTTGTAAAACTATGTAACATTCTCTGTGTTAAGCCAAGCCAGGATTCCTTGTCTTCTTCATCAGGGGTCTTTGGATCAGAACCTTCTGGCCAGAAATTTGATGAATAGGCATAGAAATTAATAGAATTCTGATTGTTATTGGAGAAAGGTCCCAGTTAAATTTGTCAGATGGTAACCTTGAGGTCTAGGAAATAGATTAATTGATCAGCGATCAATTATGCCGAATTACTGCAAAATGTGAAATAATAAATTGATGAAATTGATTTCTGTGCTAGCTCAGTGGCAGTATAAAGAAAGGGATGCCTAAAATGGAATGGATATTTACTTAAAGTATTTTTTATCAGTTTGCAGGGCTTGTCCTGTTTGTATTTCATAAGTTCAGTAAACTAAGCTATATTTATATTATTTGCTCAGCTTGCTAGATTATTCACAAACAAATAACTTCCTTTGTGTTGTCCGTAGTAGAGTTACATGTCAAGACAGGAAGCACATAACTATTACATGTGTTTGTATAGGAGGTTCTATTAGTATAACACATGTATTGTTGGGGATGTCTTAGCACTTTAAACATTGAACTATTTATACATCTACAAAATATACATGTTAGTTCCAACATATAGAAATGTACTTGACCACACAATTTAGGTAGAAGTTTAAAGGTCAAAACAGTTTTTGAGATGAAACAATCTTCACAATATACAGATTGTTCATCAATGTTGTTGACATTTGATGACAGTACCAAGTACTTTAAAATGGTTTAAGCAAAGGGACATGTCTGTCAATTTGATTAACATCTTACTTCTTGGTACTAAATTGTACTTATTGGAAAGAAAATGTTAGCATCAAAATTAAAGAAAAATATTATAATGTAAGATTAAATGTTGCTTGTTAGTAAGTTTCATGAGATCAAATTTGAATACAGTTGAACTTTGGTATCTCGAATACTGATATCTTGAACACCATGGATATGTGAAGTGATTTGGAAGTCCCAACCTCTTATTCTTTAAGTACTGGTATTTTATCCCCAATATCAGCAACTTGGAATTCAGTTATTGGACAACTAAAGCATGTACTGTCTCTCAAAGAGACAAAAGTTCCTTGAGAAGATTAAGTCAAAGAAATGATTTTTGAATCAATCATTCATAAATTCACAAAATTAAGTAGATAAATTATATTATTCATTGCATTTTTTTAAATAAGTTTCAATGAAATATATTATTCATTGCACTTTTCTCTAAGTTTACCTGGTAAATGAAAATTGTCAGATTTTAATTTTTAAAGTTTAAAAATCGTAACTATTTAAAAACAGGTCTGCTAAAGAGGATTTAGCTTTGGAAAATTTTAATGAGGTCGTCCAACATCTCTTTCATGTTTCTCATGCACATAGAGTGTGAACTTGGTAGGTTACTGAGAATGAAGAATGAAGATAGATAGAGTACGTTCTCTACTTCAGGAGGGAAACATTTGCACTTGATCAGTGAAGAATATAATTCCCTGTGCAATGTTTTGTTTTGTGACTATTCACTGCTTCTTTTTATGTGGTTACTTAACCATCAAATTAACACAGACTGAGGTCCTAAGTACACTGGGGTCAGTGTTCTGGGGGTTTTAATTGGGGGGAAATGGTTGACCACAGACGGAAAGCAGAGTTCAGAAGGATTTTTTTACTGACATTACACATGTTAATTTACATATATTTACCTACCTGAAATAATGCATTGTTACCTAAATGTGGTAGGGATGATGTCAAGAAAAAGTTATTTTTCAGACTTAAAATATTAGTCCCTATTTATCCCTACTGGCTAAGTTTATGTTTCAAAGTCCCAGTCTCCGTAGTAAGAGTAAAAGATGGTTATGAATACATAACAGTTGTACAGCTGGTAGAACTAATACCACCCATATATTTATGAATTATAATTCATATTAGTTTGGTATGTTGTACACTTTCTTATATCCCTTATAAATCAGATACCTGTACAATAAAAAAAAAAGAGACTGATAAAATGTGATTGTAGGAATATTTAACTGTCTTTAATTGTCTCTGTAAAATTTTTGTAATTTTTTTTGTGATAGGCAGAAAGTGTAATATCAATGTTGTAAAAAGTCAAACTTTTACTCAATTTTTGTAGGTACGATGTTTGCTGAACATCTGGGGTGTGATGCTGTTTATGCGCCTGTCGTGGGTGGTGGGGCAGGCGGGGATAGGTCTCTCCACCGTCATTATTCTCCTTGCTACTGTTGTTACTCTCCTTACATTGATATCTATGTCTGCAATCTGTACAAACGGGGAGGTCAAGGGAGGTAAGTCAGTACATATAAATAATTTGTTAGTGTTAGCACACTCATGGGTATCAAATATATGTCAAATAGATGAAAATAAATATAAAGGCAAGTGCATAGCAAAGGGATTCAACTTATCTGCTGTAATTTACTGATTCATACTGGTGTAATTATGTGTAGTCCTATGTTAAAGGAATTAATGGGGAAAAATGGGTAAACTTTGTATGTACTGCACAGTGTATATATTAATTGAAGGACTATTTTTTAGGAGGAGCATATTACATGATTTCTCGAAGTCTTGGTCCAGAGTTTGGTGGTGCTATCGGCCTCATATTCTCTGTTGCCAATGCTGTAGCAGTGTCCATGTATGTTGTTGGCTTTGCAGAAACAGTCAGAGATATACTCAAGGTAATTTAATACAAACATGGTGGAACAGAGTCATAAAATCCCTATAAATCATATTCTGGTTTTATATGTATATAATGTATACATTTAAATGTAACATTCTAGACTCATGATGATTTATTTCTCTGCAGAGAGAAGTAATGGTGTCTCTTCCCTCTTTATGACGTGACAAAAATATTTTATATAAGGAAGAAAAAAATCCTGTGATAAGGTTTCAAAAATATAAGATAGAGAGTATTAGATCAATAATAGCTTATGTTGTTGTTAAAATGTGTCAAAACACCTACGCTGTGTCAAGTTCTGTCAACTGATATATAAAAATAAGATACTATTATGCCACACATATAGTCACATAAAAGGAAAGGAAAGTTCTTCCACCTAATATATAAGAATTGTTTAATACTGTTACGCCACACATACAAGAACACAAATGTTGAAAAGTTTTGGTTTTTTTATTAGCATAGGTATTTTAAAATTACTAGACAGTTAACAAAAGGAACTTTAACCTTGCTCCAGGTTATTCTATTTCATGTGATTTGGACAGAGTCCTAATTGCAAGAGCCTGGAATAAACACGTATTAGAAGGGAAGGCATAAAGAGAAATTAATGGAATGAAAATGAAATTGCATTAGAGAACGTGTTTAATCTTGTTTTATTATGTGGTGGTACAAATGCAGACTAGGATGTATTGCAGTATAAGCATGTGATCTCATGTGTTAGTCTGAAACCAAAACATGTCAACTTTAGAAGTCTGTCTATAGAAAGACACATTGTAACTTTAACAAAGATCATAGGATGTGTTTGTCAGTATTACAGATCAGGGTTGTGTTATGTTTTAGCATGTCTGTATAGTTCTATTTCAGCAGTCTGATCTTATAGTCAAGTATTGGCAGGGAATATTAATCAATAGGTACTTCAGACCTACCACAGCACTAAATGGAGCAGAAATTAAATACACTGGGGGAAAATCCTCAAAATCTCCCTGCAACATGCAGGAATGATAGAGGGTTACTAGGTTTAATGGAATTTCTGGCAGCTTTTGTGTGGTAGAATGTCCAGAATTTCCCATCATATTGACTGATTATTCCTTTTTAGGCCGTAATTCAAAAAAAAATGTTGAAAGAATAGGTTTTAAAGAAAAAGAGGCTTGAATCAATGAGGTTCTGCAAGTTAAATACCACAGAATTAAGTAGAGGTTTATAATCATTGTTTATATGAGGCAAACCATCAGTTGATGTGAATGCATGTAAATTAACGTTCATATAGTTCAGATACAAAGAAAATACTGTCTAAGGTAGGGCCCTGAAATCAATTTCCTTAAAGATAAAAAAAAAAAAAGATTATTATTTATTTCTGATATTTTACCTAACCTGTGTTGTTTTGGACTGCCATTGACGACTATAAATTCACAATCATATCTTTAGGTCCATTGTTGATAATTTGGTGATTCTAGGAATGAACCTCTCTGCTGGTTCCACTTGAGAGTGAGATGTAAACACTAGTATCTGTTGTAAGTCAGAGGGAAGTCAATCCTCCTGGTTCGTTTCAATTCAGTTTATATGATTAAGAACTCCTCAGGACTAAGTAAACCTCACACAGTGCTTAAAAAAATTGGAAGATGAAATGAAAAATCTTTCATCACTAAGTAAAAATTATGTTAAACTTTCCCTGCACTTATCACTAGATGTTATAAACAGTTTATTTTTTGAAAACTTTTATTCATGTTCTGGTAAAAAGGCACTTTCAAGCTCAAGTTTATTTACGGCTAAAAACACACATGATGTCTTTTGCACTGTGCTCAATATAAGCATATTCATAAGATTTGTACAAGCTTGTTCCTCAGATTAATTATATGGCTAGTGTAAACACAGCAGGCTTATTGAAGTTTATTCATGTCTTGAACACACATCAGATTTATTGCATGGCACTAAAGCTTAAAAGATGCATTGCATGGCACTAGATGCAAACATACACTTAAGATATATTGCATGACTGTCAATACAAGCACTTTCTTCAGATTGCATGATGCTTTGTTCAAATACACTTATCAGATTCATTGTCACAAACATGAAACTAATGTATAATTTTTAGTACAAGCACACTTGATGGAATTACTGCATAGCTGTCACTTGATCATCAAATCTATTGCATGGCTGTCAGTACAAGCACACTCATTAAGCACATTATTTGCTCTTCCTACAAATAAATGCACATTTTAAAGATTTTTTGCTTTACTCTTCATTTTTACCCAGTTATTCTCATTTTCATTAGTTCTAATTTTGTGGTTAATGTTTACTCTTCCTTGCTTAAAAGATCCCCATAAGTTGCAGGAGAATAGGCTCATTAGACTGAGGATTTTGTGATTTATGCATTTATTTTTCAGGCTAATGATGCTTTAATGGTGGATGAAACCAATGACATTCGTATCATTGGTGTACTGACGGCCACACTGCTATTAGGCATTGCCATCGTGGGAATGGAGTGGGAGGCAAGGGTAAGTAACTCTTATGTGGCAAATATTGTAAAGATGATAGAGAAAATTTTCTTAAGCCAAGACCATTGTGTAGGGTATAGGATATTGAGTATATTACTAATTACTTAAGGTTCACTGACCCTCTGATAAGGGAGATAACTCTGACTTGGATTAAATTTAATGATAATTATTCCTTTATAAAATTGTCAAGTTAATAGACCATTTCTGTCAGATTTTATCTCCGAAGGTATGCTAAAATTATGTGCACTTTAATTTAAAAAAAAAATTATTAGTAAACAAGGGCGCAATGAACTTTAAATTTCTCTGATGTAAAAAAATGTTGTTTGTTTTTGTTTTTGCAACTTTAGATCTTTCCTACTGAACATCATTTTCAAGCTTATTGTGTCACAAAGTTCCAAATCATTAATTTTGTTTTATCTTTACAGGCTCAAATTGTTTTACTGGGTGCTTTGTTAATAGCCATATTTAACTTTTTAATTGGAACCTTTATTCCTCCAAGTATGGAGAAAGTGTCAAAAGGAATCGCTGGTTATCAAGGTAAGACAAAGGGGGAAAGAATCAATGGTCAAGATGAATAAATAGACAAACATGTGTCTGATGCTTCAGAAAAAGATTACTCCACATTTTCAATGTTTCTAAGTTTGGTTGAGATATTTTCTATCACCTGGCTTCAGAGAAAGCTATACCACAGTTTATTGTTTATGAGTAATAACATGAAGAGATTAACCTCCATTTCTTTATTTCAGGGACCATCTTTATAGAGAACCTTGGTCCCAAGTTCACAGAAGGAGAAAACTTTTTCTCTACATTTGCAATATTTTTCCCTGCAGCCACTGGAATATTAGCTGGTGCAAACATCTCTGGGGATCTCAAAGTATAGACTTTGTCTCTAAGATTCATTGACAGTAGATATTTATAGAAGCCTTTTATTTATTTTGAGCCCTACATGATTAGCTAGAGAATTATTTGATGCCATTAATAACTGAAGGTATTGTTTTGTTGTCTGTTACTTGTCTCAAAGGTACCTGCTATTCTTGTTTTTTTTGATGAGCGGGGAATGGTTAATTAGCTCTAATCACACTTAGCTCATCTGAGTCAAAGCATTCAATGAAGACTGTTGTGTTACTACTGTAAACCTTTCACATAATCAACTTTTTCTCAAAAACCAGTTGGCCAATTTCAACCAAGCTTGTCACAAAGTATTAATGGTTAAAGGAGATTAAGGTGGTGTTTTTTTTCCCCAAATGAGCCATAACCTCTTTCAAAGGGAGATAATAAAGAAATAATGAAAATTTGGTGGCATTTTTAAATATATCTTTTTCTCAAGAACCACTGGGCTAAAAAAGTTGAAACTTATAGAAAAACCTTCTTTACATAGTGTAGATTCAAGTTTGTTCAAATAAATACCCTTGGGGGTAGGATGGGCCACAATGGGGGATCAAAGTTTTACATAGGAATATATAGGAAAAAAACTTCTCAAGAATAGCAAAGCCATTTTAGACATATTGATATGGAAGCATCCTCAAGCAGTGTAGATTAAAGTTTGTTTAAATCATGACCCCTGAAGGTAGGGTGGGACCACAATGGGGGATCAAAGTTTTACTTAAGAATATATAGTAACAAATCATCTTCTCAAGAACAGCTATGTTAAGTCATATTGATATAGAGTCATCCTCATGTAGTGTAGATTCAAATTTGTTCAATCATGACCCCGGGGGTGGGGAGGGGCCACAATGGAGGATCAAATTTTTACAAAGGAATATATAGGAAAGAATCTTCTAAAGAACAGCAAAGCCATTTGTTATATTGATATGGAGGCATCCTCAGGTAGTGTAATGTAAAATTTTCAATACTGAACTAATTTGTGCTTTTCTCTAGCCAATGTGTTCAGGTGAGCGATGTGGCCTATGTACCTCTTGCTTGATTTTCCTTCTGCTTACATTACATTACCATTATTATGGCAAAATGAATGTTTTAAAATTATGGCATGCTGATTTGTAATTGACATTTTTTATGAAAAATCAATGTACTGTACATTCAAAATAGTGCATGAACAGATTTTGTATTAAAAAAATATGAAATAATTATGGGAAATCAAATCTGTTTTATGTTATATCATTCGAGTGATTTATCCACCATCTACAGAATGCCCAAAGAGACATTCCACGAGGGACGTTCTTGGCTGTTGTTATATCCTCCCTCACCTACATTGCCTGTGCCTGGCTGATGGGGTCCTGCATACTGCGTGAGGCATCTGGATTCGAACCAAGAGACCTGATGTCCAACAATACTCAGAATATGACAACAGGCCTGGTGTTCAATTATTCTCAGAATATAACAACATACATTGAGAATGTAACGCTTGATGTTGTGAACTCGACTGGTGTTGCTAGGGTCGATGATGTGTATGCTCTGGCCAGGAATTGCAGTCTTGGGAAGGGTGGGGTTTGTACCTATGGACTGCTGCATGACTTCCAAGTAAGAGCTCAGACTGCGATAACTTATAAAATGAAAAACTCATGATCTGTTGAATTTTAGTTCTATTGAGTCAGTTCTTGATAAAAACAAATATAAAAAGTCAGACAGTAGATAAAGTAAAATAAACTTTAAAAAAACAATGTTCATCTATCTAGGCAATGCTCTTGACATATTCTATTTTCAGGCTATGGAGCTGGTATCTGCTTGGGGTCCTCTACTCACCCTGGGAATTTTCTCAGCAACTCTTTCCTCTGCCCTTGCTAGTCTGGTTTCTGCCCCCAAAGTCTTCCAAGTAAGAAACTTTTTTAGTAGAAGCTTCATAATTCCCCCTTCCTTGTGCATTGAAAACACATAACATTTTTACCACAGGTACTTGTAGGCAGATTTGCACATGTCCTGGGAAATTTTTCATAAATTATTTTATAGGACAAATTTACAATGTATTTGAGCTGAAAGGTGTAGAAAAATTTAAAATGATCATTCTATAGAAGTATGTATAAGCTGTGAAGTTATGGTACGGCTTAATTTCATGTCACTGATTTGTGCCTTAGCTGAGTGGATGCTCCTGTATCCAGAATATTATTCTTAACCTCTCAACAATACTACTTCTAATTATAAACACACACACAGATGTACCATCATAAAATCAAACCAAAAAGTAATGAATATGAATAATGCTCATGCATAACAATCCTAAATACACATAATGCACAATGCTTAGCTTATACATACATGTAGATTGTAAGTGTTCGTGTTTTCAAACAGGTAGGTCTTAGGACTTTACTTTTGTGTTATCTTTTTAGAAGCAAAACCAAAACAGAAATGTATTTAATAAAATTGTGATTAGAATTGCTTTTAGTTTTACCTGTCTTATCTTTGTTTACAGGCTGTATGTAAAGATAGAATTTTCCCTAAGATACATATCTTTGCCAAAGGTTACGGTGCTAGTGAAAATCCTAGGAGAGCCTACTTCCTAGCCTATTTTATTGGAGTGGCATTTATATGTATAGGTTATTATTATTTTTTTTTATATATATAAACACCCAGTTTACAAACTCATTAGAAGACGATTCTTTGTATTTTTAATTGAAAAAAAGAAAGATATTTTTGAGATTCCATGCTTTCTTAAGAAGTCTGCTTGTTATACTATTCAGATAATACATGTATGTTTAATAGGTTTTTAAAAGAATTTATTTTATTCAATAAATTTATGAATGATAATTTACAAGTATTTTTGGATGTGTACAGGTGATCTGAATGCCATAGCTCCTATTATTTCCAACTTCTTCTTGATGTCTTATGCTCTAATCAACTACTCGTGTTTTGATGCTTCGCTTGCCAATTCACCTGGTAAGTCTTACATATATACGTATACCTGCTGGTCAATTCACCTGGTAAGTCTTATATATATACATATACCTGCTGGAAGTTGAATGAGTACAGGAGTAAAAGCTTTAGAAATGAAAAGTACGTTTTATGATTGATTTAACAAGAAAGTAGTGTACACTATGCTGATAAGAAAAATGTCAATATACATGTAGGTAAAACAATTGAGAACATTTCAATCATCAGATTTTTCTTTGTTGCATTTCTATAATTCTCTGAATGGATTATTTCTTTTTGTTTAGGTTGGCGTCCGGCTTTCCGTTATTATTCTATGTGGTTGAGTTTAGTTGGTGCCTTACTCTGTATAGCTGTGATGTTTATTATGAACTGGTGGACCGCCCTCATTACATTCGTTATTGTTTGTGCTCTCTTTGTTTATGTCCATTATTCAAAACCAGGTGAGAAATGCACCACAATATTTGTACCTAGTCTTGCTTAATCTGTGAATATTGGGCTTTTTTAATTTATTATGAGTAACAAAATAAATTGTTTTGCAAAAATTACATATGAAATTGCATTAGATGTATGCTAAATACCCCAAGTAGACCAGTAATTAAGTATTGACCATCTTTAAATGAGTTAGGTGTTGATCGATAAATGAAGGATTGTTACTGTTCACTAGCCTTAATACTGTAGATGTGATTGAGGGGATAAGTGATGTCTTTTGTTTCTTTTTTAGATGTAAATTGGGGTTCCTCCACCCAGGCCCATGTTTATAAGAATGCTCTCAACACCACACTCAAGCTTGTCTCTGTGGAGGACCATATCAAAAACTTCAGGTAAAATCAGATGTCCAGGTCATCTTCATGTTCTTCATCTCAAGTAATACAGTCAACAATGAATATTTTGAGCATGATTTAATTGTAAAATGCTGAGAGATATCTGAGAATACAAAATGTTAAAGTGGTCCATAAATTTGCATATACGGTGTATTATGATGGAGGGAAATATTTTACATACAAATGTTTTTTCAATTGGACCCAAAATTACTGCAATTCTGAAATTGTAAAAATTTTTTAAAATGTTAGTCATGCACCATGTTTAATACTGACATGCACATCACAAATATGTAAAATTATGGGCTGTATGTCTTTGAACTTTCATGTTCAGAATGGGGTAAGATAAGGACTGCTTACCTCCTCTGACATTTCCCTGTCTTTCACATGTTTTAGGAACCAACATTAAACTTTGATATGTTTTTAAGGACATACGCAACGTACCTTACCTACTGATAATTTTTGAAGATATTCTTAATTTAAGATTATAGCGCCATCAGATGGTCGTTGACAAAAAATCAGCATGCATTACCAGGGGTTTTGAAAAGATATCAATTGATGAAAATTCTTGTATAATTCAAAGAAATGTATACAAAAATTACTAAACACATATTCTAGATGTTTTGTTTATCCAAACTTGATTTAGAGGAAGTGTACAGCCACATATATATACATTAAAATGTTGCACACAGTTCCTCAAAGTTTTGGAACTCTTCAACTCCAGGGAAAAAGACACTAAAGTTCAAACTACGTTGCGTATGTCCTTAAGTAACAATTCAATAAAGTACAAGATTTAAGTACAGAATGTTTAATGGTCTTGAAACTTAATTATGCATCAATTTAAATGATTGGATTGTTTAAGATCACATCTGCTTTCTCTTATACAGACCTCAAGTGCTGGTGTTAACAGGTGCCCCGTGGACCAGGCCGGAGTTAGTGGACTTTGTTTATTCACTGACACACAAGATAAGTCTGATGGTCTGTGGCAATATTATCGTGGTATGTACAAATTTGATAATTTCTCCAAATGCTAAGGCTTTAATTGTTCATTTGGGATCACTTTGTCTACTTTCTGTCTTTGAGGAGATGAGCTTTCACAAAAAGCATATATTAACTCTCTTATTTTATTATTATTTTCTCCTATTTTAAATGGGTTTTGGAGATCTAAAACTGATCCTCTTGGTTTTATTATAGTGTCAATTATAATTTAAAATGATTGTTTGAAGTACCAGCAGGCAACACATGATCCCTTACTCTCTACTTTCAATATCTCATCAAAACTGTGTTCCAAATTAGGCAGTGAGTTAGGTATTTGAAAATTTTTCAATTGTATTACAATGTAATTCATCAAGTCAGATTTTGTTTTCTTAAACTTGAATTGTAAGACTGGAAAGCTTCATTCTACAGGGAGATAACTCCAATATTTTAAAACCATATAGCACAGTAGGAAAGTTAATGTGTTTTTATGCATTACTGATATAGCTTGAATCTGGGGATGCTTATACAGTACATTTACTGTTACAATACACTAATTCATATAAAGTCTGCACTTTGGTTTATTGTATAATTATACCCCACGCAACAAATTGCGTGAGGTATAATGTTTTTGACTCGTTCGTCAGTCAGTCAGTCAGTCTGTCAGTCCTGTTTTTTTGTCAGTACAACTCCTCATAAAGCGCTGCACAGAATTCCATCAAACTTTGCAGATATTTAGGACACAATGTGTAGATGTGCATATTACCAGGAAATTCCGATTCCCTTATTTTTCTGGGAATTTCGGCACTTTTCAACTTAGATTTTTGGTCATATCTTGAATATAGAGATGAACAGTTTGTCAGCGCAACTCCTCTTAAACCGCTGCACAGAATTTGGTCAAACTTTGCAGATATTTAGTACACAGTATGTAGATGTGCATATTACCAGGTAATTCCGATTCCCTTATTTTTCTGGGAATTTCGGCACTTTTCAACTTAGATTTTTGGCCATATCTTGAATATAGGGATGAACAGTTTGTCAGCGCAACTCCTCTTAAACCACTGCACAGAATTTGGTCAAACTTTGCAGATATTTAGTACACAGTGTGTAGATGTGCATATTACCAGGAAGAGTTTTTCCTATTATAAGAAACTTTCCAGCTAGGTAATAAGGAAATCCACTGGAATTAGCTTTTGTAATGAAATTTTATGTGAAATATTTCATGACCTTAAAAGACCCCTATTGATTTTGAGGAAGAGTTTTTCCTATTATTGAAGAAACTTTCCAGCTAGGTAATAAGGAAATCCATTGGAATCAGCTTTTGTAATGAAATTTTATGTGAAATATTTCATGACCTTAAAAGACCCCTATTGATTTTGAGATCAAAATATTAATGATTTAACACACACACACGCAAAGTCTTGGATAGTTCTCATCCTCCCCCCCCCCCCCCCCCCCCAAAAAAAAAAAAAATTGGTGCTTTGCCTTAAATAATTCTATCAATTATTTAAATGTGTGTATTGTCATATGTTTGACAAGGACTTACACTCAATCGAAATCACTGAGGAATTTAAATAACAGTTTTTCAGCATAACTCCTGCACTGAATTTCTTGAAACTTTGTAGGTATTTCAGACATGATGTATAGATTTGTATATTACCAAGGAATTTTGATTCCATTATTTATTTAGAAACTTCAACCAAATTAAATTTGTAACATACAAAGATTTGAATGTTCTTATATGCAAGAAGTTTTGATGTGATGATTTTTTGCAAGTAATGCCCTTTTTTGAATTATACTGTGTATTTAAAATGCACTGTGCCATTCATTACATGTTGCATTGTCGAGTTTTGGGGGAGCGTGGGGTATGTGAGCTTGCTCACTTTTTCTTTCATATTACTTCTCTGATAGGGCACCCAGACAGATAACCTTAAACATCTCCATGGAAGCCGTCCTAAGGAGGCCTATCATTGGTTACACCACAGAAGGGTCAAGGCCTTCTACACTGTTTCAACATCAGGAAACTTCAGAATGGGGGCTCAGAGCATTATGCAGGTCAGGCAGACTAAATGTTTATCCTATGTCTACTGTACTTCTACCAAAAAAGTTTAGCAAGCTTCAGATATAAACATGAAGAATACAGCATTTAATGCTTGGATCATATCCCATAACAGTAAGATATGATACCTATAAGCAAGCAAAGAAGAAAGGTACAGTGTAGTTGTAAAAAAAGAAAATAATATCCACTGTATTCATTTATCCTTTCAGAATGTTGGTATTGGTAAACTAAGACCTAACATTCTCATGATGGGGTTCATGTCTCGCTGGAATGACCCTGATGTTGACCAGTATCTAGTGGAGGAGTATGTCAATGTAGTTCAGTGAGTATTACTCCATATATAGCTGTATACTAATTATTCCCTCACAAGGGGGGGGGGGGGAGTGAGTGGGTGGGTGGGTGTTTAACAAAAGTTAAGCAAGTAATAATTCATATCAGGATTGATATGCTCTTTTGCAAGTGGATGCTCCACTTTGCAGTGCCCTCGTTATACTGTATTCACTGTTCTGTGTAATTTAAATCAATATATTTTTATAGGATGTAATCACAAAATTGTGATTCACCATGTAAAGTATAATTTGTATAATCTGGATTCTGAGTACTCTGGAATTTTTTTAGAACTTAGATTAAATTGTAGATCCATGCATTTCTTTAAAAAATATAGTATAAAAAATTCTGTGTACTCCAGCTACTATCTATTCTTAATATGTACTGCTGTAACAGTCCCAGCTGTTTATCATTAATTGACAGTAGGTCATGTGTATACTCGAGATTTATTTCTGGATTCCAATGATATGAAATAATTAATCAATTAATAATATTTTGCCAACATATGCGTCATACTTGTGAATAAAACAAAGGGGAAAGGGAAATAAATTTAAAATATTTTCCTGCATTTTTCCTGCACTCCAGATTCTATCTAATCTTGGCAATTTTTATGAAATCAGTGGTATACTGTTCGGACAAATTGTACTGTATTTAGATATTTATGAATTTATATATTTTATAGGTCTTCAGTTGTTAAAAAGTGTATTAACTTTCTTTAAAGCTTATGCCATTCCCCATATCTCTATATCTACATGATCTTAGGTTAAAGTTTTTGGAACAGGTGAATTTCTCATATACCTATTGTCTTAAGTCCAATCTGGACCAAACTTGCATGGATCAGCAGTTAGGGATGATTTTACCAGACTTATTTGGATGCAGCATCAAGATATATTACATGTATAACTAACTTGCTTAAAATGCTGCAAATGAACTTGCATATAACCACTGGATTGAAGTGAACATTCCTTTGATACAAGACTTTGCTTTACCTATAAATAAGAGTTGTGTGGATGAGATGAGCTATGTAAAGTATGATTCCCTATGCTTGTAGTGATGCCTTTGACTTGGAGTATGGAGTTGGTATACTGCGACTAAAGGAGAGATTATCGTGTGAGACAGACACTAATGAGAGCCTCCCCGTTAACGACTCAGTACATCATGAAGGAGACCCAGATGGTATGTGACTGATGATAGCATTACACACTTTAATCAACAGCTGTTAATATAGATTTAATAAGAATGACATTGAATGATTAATCTGTAAGAATTTTTTTTTAGATTTATTTATTTCATGAACATTAACAATTTTTTATAAAAAATTAGAATAAAATTGTTCAAGAAGGATAGGAAAATATAAATATACCTGTCAAATAGACATCTGCTTGAAGCACAGAGATATACTATGGAATACATTCATACTTTGTTTAAGAGAAATAAGAATTAAAATAATGTATGAAGGCCAGAACAGTGATTCTATATATGAATTTCTTAATCAGATCAACATCCAAAAGTTAGGTTCAAATTTTCACGAAAGCGTAAGTAGCCTCACTTTCAACATAGCAACCATCTTTGAAATGTATAGTGTTTCCGCACCACTTACAGCACCTGTTGGGTCTTTATAGAAAGTTGATTTTTTTGTTGTCAGTGGTTTAGGAGTTGCTGATAAAACAGATAGTTTGATTTACAAACCCTCTGATGTCGAAGTAGACATGTAATGACGGAGTTAGAATGTTTGATTGCAGTTTTTGTTCTTCCTTTTAAAAACGCAAAATTTCGTAGTTGGAATTCTATAGTTTTTTGGTGGGTGGGGTGCGTAGTTAGCTCTCCTGAGCCAAAGGCTCAAGTAAGATTTTCTGATCCAAGTTTGTCCATGATTCATCTGTCTGTCTATCTACCAGTGCACCAAACTCGACTCAGAAAGTGTTTGGGTGAAGTGAATCAAAGTTTGTTCAAATATAGTCATGCTCCCCGCCTTTCCATATGGAAGATAAGCAAAAAAAATTCAAACATGATAGGGGTCATTCAAAAGTCTTCTTTTCAAGAATCACTTGGTTAGAAAAAAAAACAAAACTTCCACAATAGGTGAAGATTTAATTTTGTAAAAATCATAGCCCATGGAATGAATGGGGCCATAATAGAGGATCAATAGGGTATTATATTAGGGAAAAAACTTTAAAAATTCTTCTCTTCAAGAACAGCATATTATTTATATCCTTAGATCAGACCTGGGGTAATGGTAATGTGTAATGGTAATGCATTGAAATCATTACATTTATTCAAAGTAATGGGATGTAATGTGTAATGGATCCATCTTTCAATTACAAGTAATTGTAATGTAATGTATTACTTTAAAAGATATATAAGTAATGACAATTACTTTTCAATTACATTTCAATTACATTTTGTATTTTAATCTCTTTTTATTACTGAATCTGAAACAAGTCAAGATCACAGAGAGGTTATTTTTTATTTATGTTACAGTCTTAAAATTAAAATCTTATATCTTACCATTTAAAAAAAAAAATGTTTATTCAATGGTGATTGATAGACATACTAAATAGTAAAATTGTTTTAATAGAAAGATTCTTGACAAGACAGTCATAAAATCAATTGAAGAGAGCCAGAAAAAATATTAAAAGAAATCATTAGGTTTCGAAAAAAGCCACAAAACAAGTGACATCAATACATGTATACCGTGACTGCCAATTAAGATACAAACCATATTTTTCAACTTAATTTTTTTTTCTTTTTACAAAGTTCATTCTGGTGAAATGGACTTAATAAGCAAGACACAAGATCAGTCTGATCTACTGGAAGAAACAAAGGGAAACAAAGGCCAAATGTAAATATTGATATTGCCCATCATTCATTTTTGGTAGCTTGAGAGTCACCTCTAACTTCAAACCCTTTATCTAGAGACTGGTAATTATCACCTTTGATTGTGTTAGATTTACATCTTGATTAATTATGCCTGCCCAGCTAATTACAAGTGCTAATTCATTAAATTATTAATACATACTCGTTTTACATTTATAGCATTGTCAGTTAATTAAATATTGCTTTATATAAAACATATAACATGAAATGTTTATCATTTATTTAAAAAAAAAGGGAAAAAAAGAGGAACTAACATCAGAGACTGAACAAAATTACAACATTGAAAGTGTTCTGATCCACTTTCTTTGTCAAATGTAGATTGGTAAGCCCCATGAACATGATAAATGAATCCAAAATCCAAATACCACTCTGACTTATAGATCTGAGGGAAAGCATATTGATTGATTGATTAGGGTTTAATGCCAAGTCAGCAATATTTCAGCCATATTTTGGCGGGGGGAAAGCATATTGACCAAGCACAAAGTGTGAGAAAGTTAATTTATAGATAAATTGTGTGGTCATAAAATTTGTGTTTTTCTCTTATTAAATGTAATTTGTAATGTAATTAATTACTTTAACAAAGTAATTGTAATTTAATTAATTACTTTTCTGAATATGAGTATTGGTAATTGTAATGGTAAAAATACCGAAGTAATTGTAATTTAATGCATTACATTTCAATGTAATTGACCCCAGGTCTGCCTCAGATAGTGAAGTTTCCAGATTTGTTTGAATCATGGCCTACAGGGTTAGAGTGGGATCACAATAGGGCATCGAAGTTACAGGAATAAATAAAAAAAATATTGATAAAAACCTTACTGTTATGAACAGCAGGGCCACCATTTATATTTGATTATGAAAGAATAGCCAGATTGTGCAGATTCTCTTTATTCAAGCCCTGATGATAGGGTGGGGCTACAATAGGAATCAAATACATGTATTAGCATAGAATATATAGGAAAACAATTTAATATTTGAAAATCCTCTCTTCAAGAACAACAGACCATAATTTGTCATAATATATGTCCCAGTGTAGTGCAGATTCATGGTTGTTGAAATCATAGCTCCTGATACTAATATGGGACTAAACTAGGGATTCAAAGTTTGCATGGGTATATAATGGAAATATACTAAGTCATATTGATAAGCAAACATTTCCAAGTCATGATGATTTTACTGTGCTCAAATTATGGATGATGAGGTTAAGTTGGGTTTGAGAGCAGTAGGGGAAAATTTTCTCCAGATCAGTAAAGCCACACTAGTTATATTCCCATTTAATGTGAATTTGAAGCAAACATTCATGAGCTCTCCAGAACATTCTGTTGAAGGGATAAAGGAGTTTCGGTGATTGCTCGCTAGGGTTGGCTCTTTTGAACAGGCCTCAGGTTTTGTTAAGTTGTGAGCCTAAGGGCTAGGATTTGGCCACATACCCTTGTGAGAATATACAGGAAAAAAATCGTATGAAGAATAATGTTGCTAGCAAGACCCAAAGGACAGTTTTGGCCTAAGGGCCTCATATAGCTTTTTTTTTTAACAAATAGATTAACCCTTCAAAAAGCTGCAGTTAAAATAAATTTATTCTTAGCTTTCTAAGATATATCTTTGCCATATAAACCAAATTCTATCAATGCTGTTTTAAACTCTGAAGTCTGCAGTTTTCCAAAATGAAACATTTATGTATGTTAACATTTTTCAAGGAATGATAAAGTATATAAGCTTAAGCATGTGATTCTGATAATAGTTTTATAAAATACAATCCTTCTGTGAACAGCATGTTTCTTGATTCCAGATCATGACATTTAAATTGTTTACACATGTCAACAATAAAGGAGAAATCACTACCTCTCTGATTAAGCTGTAGATAATTATTAATATATGTAATATTCTTCACATAATAAATTCACTAGCCACTATTTATGATAACAACTGTAAATTAAAAAAGTGGGTGTTTAATATTTATGATATTCTTTATTCTTATCTACTCAATAAAGCACAGTTTTGATGTTGATTGTGGTAAAGCATTTGATTTCAACAAGGAAGCACTAGTAAACAGAATTGTTCACATTACATGTACTTTCTAAAGCTTAAATAATCATAAATTGACTATTTTTTATATTATTTATATTATTGAAAGGTACTTATTTAATAAATGCAGTTATGAAATGTCATAATATTAGATTATTATTAGATAATTGCAGTGAGATGATTTTCGATGTGACTGTAATTCTTCCAGATGAGGATGAGGATAAGCGACCTAGTTCCCCGAGCAGTCCCACCATGCTTCGTCGTGGAAGCTCGAGCTCGGGTGATAGCGAGGCAGAAGAGAAAGGTGTGGTCATAGATATGCCAGCAGAGGTCAAACCGAGTAACTTCAAACAGAACATCAGGAACCGCTTTGCCAAAAAACAGAAAAAAGGAACCATTGATGTCTGGTGGCTCTTTGATGATGGAGGTGTGTTACTTGTTTTTGTTAAAAATTTTATATTATTATTCATGCAGAGTGAAAAACAGTCCATCGTAAAAATGGGTAAACCATGATGAAAGATCCAGATGTGAAAGAAAATATATGTTTAGTTTTACCAGAGACATATAAAAACCATGGATTTTATATGTCTCTGGTTTTACTGTATGTAATGAATGTACTTGTCATATATATATATGTAAACGTATATTAGCTAATCAGAATAATGGCAAAAAAGACACAGAGCAAAAGAAAAAGAAACATCTAAATATAAACTTATTACAGAGAGCTGTTTTTTGTAGGGTTGACCCTTTTACTACCCTATATCCTGTCCACAAAGCAATACTGGAGGAGCTGTCCACTGAGAGTGTTTGCTGCGGGAACAAAGAGAGGAGAAATTGACAGGGAACAAAGACAGTAGGGTTATATATAAGAGACCATAGGGCTTACACTAAGTAATACACAGGGCAAGGGTCCAGATAGGAAACAAAGACAGTAGGGCTTACACTTAGTAATACATAGGGCAAGGGGCCAGATAGGAAACAGAGACAGTAGGGCTTACACTAAGTAATACACTGGGCAAGGGGCTAGATAGGAAACAGAGACAGAAGGTCTTACACTAAGTAATACACAGGGCAAGGGGCCAGATAGGAAACAGAGACAGTAGGGTTATATATAAGAGACCATAGGGCTTACACTAAGTAATACACAGGGCAAGGGGCCAGATAGGAAACAGAGACAGTAGGGTTATATATAAGAGACCATAGGGCTTACACTAAGTTAAACACAGGACGAAGGGCCAGATAGGAAACAGAGACAGTAGGGTTATATATAAGAGACCATGGGGCTTAAACTAAGTAAAACACAGGGCAAGGGTCCAGATAGGAAACAGAGACAGTAGGGCTTACACTAAGTAATAAACAGGGCAAGGGGCCAGGTAGAAACCAGAGACTGTAGGGCTTACACTAAGTAATACATAGGGCAAGGGTCCAGATAGGAAACAAAGACAGTAGGGCTTACACTAAGTAATACATAGGGCAAGGGTCCGGATAGAAAACAGAGACAGTACGGCTTACACTAAGTAATACACAGGGCAAGGGGCTAGATAGGAAACAGAGACAGAAGGTCTTACACTAAGTAATACACAGGGCAAGGGACCAATTAGAAAACAGAGGCAGTAGGGTTTACACTAAGTAATACATGGGGCATGGGTCCAGATAGGAAACAAAGACAGTAGGGCTTACACTAAGTAATACACAGGGCAAGGGACCAGATAGAAAACAGAGACAGTAGGGCTTACACTTAGTAATACACCAGGCAAGGGGCTAGATAGGAAACAGAGACAGTAGGGCTTACACTTAGTAATACACCAGGCAAGGGTCCAGATAGAAAACAAAGACAGTAGGGCTTACACTTAGTAATACACCAGGCAAGGGTCCAGATAGGAAACAGAGACAGTAGGGCTTACACTAAATAATACACAGGGCAAGGGTCCAGATAGGAAACAAAGACAGTAGGGCTTACACTAAGTAATACACAGGGCAAGGGACCAGATAGAAAACAGAGACAGTAGGGCTTACACTTAGTAATACACCAGGCAAGGGGCTAGATAGGAAACAGAGACAGTAGGGCTTACACTTAGTAATACACCAGGCAAGGGACCAGATAGAAAACAAAGACAGTAGGGCTTACACTTAGTAATACACCAGGCAAGGGTCCAGATAGGAAACAGAGACAGTAGGGCTTACACTAAGTAATACACAGGGCAAGGGGCAAGTAGGAAACAGAGACAGTAGGGCTTACATTAAATATACACAGGGCAAGGAGCTAGATAGTAAACAGAGACAGTAGGGCTTATACTAAGTAATACACAAGGCAAGGGGCCAGATAGAAACCAGAGACAGAAGGGTTTATACTAAGTATTACTCAGATAGGCTTACATATATTAAATGTTATCAAGGGGTAGGACCCAATAGGAAATATAATTGTAGTAGGGCTTACAATAAAAAGTTAAGAAAGGGTTATGGCAGTTGGATGGGAAATGAAGAAATAGGGTTTACTAGGGTGTTTACAAAGAAGGAAAGGCAAACTGGAAACTGAAACAATAGGGCTTACCTTAAATTCCGTAAAGTGGAAGAAAATAGAGACAGTAGAAGTAATTTGATTAAGATAAGAAAACTAGACAGTTAATAGAAGCAGTATGGCATACAGTAAATAGTTAAGGAATTGGGTGAAGACATGGGAACAAAGACAGTAGAGCTTTCATTAAATTATAAAGGGGGGATTAAATGAAGCAGAGAAAGTAATTTTTTCATATATTTTCACTGTAACATGTAAATCAGTGATTCTGATTTTTTTCACAATCTGTAATTGAAAACTCATCTCAGTCTTTATCATCTAATAGAGCTATAAAAATTGTTTCTCTGTGTTTTCAGAATGGCAACCTTGTTGAGTCGATTCAGAATCCAATGTGAGAAGATGACAATTTTGTCAGATATTGGAAAGTCTCCATCAGAAGACAGGTGAGTGAACAAGTCAATATTATACAAGTTAATATGCCCATCTCCTTACAAATTGATATGCACATCTCCTTAAAAGTTAATGTGCCCATCTCTTTACAAGTTAATATGCCCATCTCCTTACAGGTTAATGTGCCCATCTCCTTACAAGTTAATATGCCCATCTCCTTACAGGTTAATGTGCCCATCTCCTTACAAGTTAATGTTCCCATCTCCTTACAATATTATTCAAATATAAAATGCTTCATTTTTGTATTCTGTTGATTGAATAATAATTATCTAATCTGATGAGTCATTTGGCTTAAAGAATGAATAAAACTGAAACCTTATAAGTTCATGTGCTTGTCTCCTTCTGATGGGACATACAGATGATTAGATATTGGTATGGACATATAAATATGTTAAATGTCTTTGATTAGAATTAACTGAATCAATTAGCAGGCTAACTGATTTTGTGGACTTCACATCATGAGCAATTAAAAACATCTACATGTATATGTAGTTTTTAGTTCATTTCTTACAAAAATGATTCTGAGATGTTATTAGGGATGCTGGGATCAGCTACAAAATATGCATCATTTTTACAGCATGAAGAACTTTGAGAAGTTACTGGAAGGCTGGATGTTGGATGAGGATAATGGTGAAACACAGGAAAAATACCCCTGGAAAATCACAGAGGAGCAGAAACTATTCTTAAAGGATAAGGTTAGTACTGATTGTTTTGTTTTACGTGTAAGAATCGGATTATTTGAAATGTTCTCACTTTTTTGGTTTGATTTTAGACTAAGAGAAATGTCCGTTTGAAAGAGTTGTTGTTGGAACATTCTAAAGATGCAGCACTAATTGTAATGTAAGTTCTTGATTTACTTATTCAGAACAACTGCTTTCATTGTTGTTAATATTCAGTTCAATGACATTGAAATTAAAGAATAAAATAAAAAGTTAATTCAGTGCTTGTTTAAATGCTTTCTTTGTTTCTTTATACATGGAAGAATGGATGCTACATTGCAGGGAAAAGATATAAAATGGGCATAAGTTATGCAATGATTGCAAGTGTTCATTCTGGTATAAACAAGCAAATGAAGAATACATTTTAGTGTTTATATCTGTCTGTAAATTATTCATGAAGAGTGTGTGAAAGTATGTATAGTATTGTACTATTGATCCATATGTAACATTGATGGAAGAGCCATGAAACAGTTGACCTTTGACACTTCTTAAAAAAATTTCAACGGATGCCTTAAGAAATCAGGATGTAACTAGTTTATTTATGGCCTAAGATAACAGCGATTGATTGTCTTCAGGCGTAAAGGAGAAAATATTTAGTGGAATTACATGAATATAAAAAATTACATATTGACTTTCAGGACATTACCCATGCCGAGGAAGGGCACCTGTCCAGCTGGTTTGTACATGGCCTGGATAGAAACTCTTACAAAAGACCTACCCCCCATCTTACTCCTGCGAGGGAACCAGTCAAGTGTACTCACATTCTACTCCTAACCTCGGACACCAATACCTGGCCTGACCTAAAAGTCACAGAGTAGATAATTGTATTGTCTTATTTGTGCATAATAGTTTAAGCTGCTATATTCCTTTTAATAATGATGCTCAGGTGGAATTTTTGTTACTTTGTTATCTTGAAGGAATAGTTGTATTCTAAGGTCACCTGAGTCGCACAAACCTATTTCTATGCCTGTTTGCCTGGTGTTGTCCATCATGTAAACTTCTGTTTAATCTTGAACCTGAATCACTTCTTAACCAAATTTGGTATTTGTATGAGTACTCTATATTTTTGGGTTTTGGGGGAAAACATCCTCATTTTCATTTGCTTAAAATTAAATTTAGTTTGAAATTCATTATGAGAAATAAGCTCTCTGCTGAAAATTCAATTTATATTAGAAATGAGAAAAGGGTTCAGGTCTTCTTGATATTGCTTATTAAAGTTGATCATCTATTTCTTAATATTTCTAAGTCAATTTTTCTTTACTCCTGGACAGCTAGGGTAACTGTGATAACAATGAGCAATAAGGTGTCTGTGGGTTTTGTGAACTTCAAGACCCCTGGTTCACGAGTTCATAACATTGATGCATTTGCATATCATATTTGAAAAACCATTACAGCTCTTTAAGATTTTTTCTTCAGGCTAGCAGACAAACGGTAGATAATAGTAAGTTTCTTTTAAAAAATGATCTTGGGAGTTATAAATTTTAAATAACAGATAATTGTTATTTGGGCCCTAAACTTTTAGCAGAGGAACTTGTACAAGGCATACAGTTGGCTATTGTCAATAAAGGTAGAAATACTTTGATACTCAGGTGACCATTTAGACCCCTCTAAAGCTTCTTGTTGAATAATATTCTTATGTGAGCTATTTTGCTTCTTATCTGGATAATGTATAGTGTACAGTGATTATAAATATGCTAATTGATGGAGTTCCCATTGCCAGCAAAAGGTTGTGATACAATTTTCATCTGCCATGCATTATATTCATCAGCTCATCTTTCTAGACATTAAACAATTTTAAGTAATAAACAGGTAGAATAAGAGTTGGTTCATCACAGCACGAGAACACAATGGTGAACATGTTACATAGATCTGTGATTTTTACATGCAAATGCATGTATTTGCCCTCCACTATAAATGCATTACAATTTATGCCCAAAAATTTTGTTTACAATTTTATTTGTTCATAATTTGGACAAGAATCATGTCTAATTATATTATTCAAGATATTATGAAGTCTCAGATTTCAAATTGTGGATGCTTTAATGAACCACTTCTGTATAGTAGCTGTATTGTGATGAAACCCCTTCTTAAATGTATTTTTGACATACCAAAGACAAAATGATAATGGTATATTTTATTTTTCAATTTAGTTGCAACTATTTTTTTGGTGAAAAATTTGTCTCATTTGTTTGAAATTTGAGTTTGTTGACAGATTTGTCTCATTCTTGGGAAATTTCAGTAGTTGAAAGCTGCATTTGTTTAAAGAATTTCATTTACACTTTTCATGTTTGTACATAAAAGCATTTTGATCTACCTTTGGATTGTTATTGTTTATTGTTAAAGGTTTAGTTTTTATGAACTGTCTCACAGATGTTCAGAATGACTTGCCATTGAACAGTGACCTACATTTGTTTCTGTTGTTAAAACTGGTGATGGGGAATTGCGAATTCTTTTAAATCTTATATTTGATTGTCAGGGAATATCTTCTGTTTGCCAAAAACACTCCGTATTGATTCAAAAAGAAGTTCATTTATTCAGCAATACTGAATTTATGACACAAAATCAAGTTAACAAATTTAAATAATATTGAAATCAATTTAAAATTGATAAATTGAGTGCAATAGTACAAAGTGTTCACATGGTTGTCATAAAGGAAGTTTGGTATAAAAAGTTGAAGGACCAAAAATCCTGGCTTGGGGGCCATTAAACTTAGACAAGCTCACTTTGATCTCAGTCTCACTTTTACAAAAGGAATTTAAAGTGGAAAAGTGAGACTGAGATTAAAAGTGAGCTCATATAATTCTACTGCCCCAGACCTGGTGGATTAGTGGCATTGAAGAAAGGCATTAAAGGTGCATTTTTATTTATTGTATTTTTTTAAGAGTACTTTCAGACATGTAGAATTATAAATTTTAAAAATTCTAAAATACTTTTCCATTCGCGGTTTATAAAGCGTAAACTGCCCCAAGTTATGTTATATCGTATAACATAGGTTAAAATAAGCTTCATTCTTTAAATAATGCATTTTAGTATACTCTAGGATGTTATCGAGTTTATATAGTTACATGTATATACAAAAATGTATTATTTTTTGTTTTATATTTTTTTTGTATTTTTATTAATACAATGTCAAATATGTAAGTTCTTAAAATGGACAAAATTTCCAAAATTTTGCTTTACTTTTCAATTTAAAATACATTTACTCTACATGTACAAAGGTTATTTAGTAATCATAAAAAAGAAGGATGGAGTACCTGATAAGTCCTTTTTTAATCTGCAAAACAGGTTGCAGTGCATTGTCATTGATTTATCAAAAGTATATGAGAGAACAAAAATTGTTATTAAAAGAAAAAAACTGTCAAGGTACTTACAGTGTATATGTATGATATCGAGCTCCTTACATTGATCACATGGTAATTATGGCGAGATAAATTACATGTGTATGTATAATTATCTATTAATGGCTTATGTATTTGTTTGCATCCTGTCTCATAAATTAATGAGACAATTACAGTGTACAAATAATTTCAGATTGGTGCCAAAAGGGGATTTTTTTTTCTTAATGCAATAAGTTTTTAGCTCACTTGAGCTGAAAGCTCAAGTGAGCTTTTCTGATCACCCATTGTCCGTCGTCCATCTGTTGGTCCGTCTGTAAACTTTTCACATTTTCAACTTCTCAAGAACCACTGGGCCAATTTTATCCAAAGTTGATACATGTACAAAGCATCCTTAGGTGAAGGGGAATTTAAATTGTTAAAATGAAGGACCATGCCCACTTCCAAGGGGAAATAATCAAGAAAAGAAAAATATAGGGTGGGGTCATTAAAAAATTTTCTTCTTGAGAACCACTGGGCCAGAAAAGCTGAAACTTATGTGGAAGCTTCCTCAGGTAGTGTAGTTAATTAATTGTTCTGTAATCAAATTATGGCCCTCTTGGATAGGATGGGGCCACAATAGGGAATCAAAGATTAACATTGAAATATATAGGAAAATCTTTAAAAAAAATCTTCTTCTCATTGCTGGACCAGAAAAGCTGAAACTTGGGTGGAAGCTTTCTGGGGTAGTGTACATTCTAAATTATCTAAATCATGCCCCCCAGGGGTAGGATGGGGCCACAATAGGGAATCAAAATTTTACATTGAATACAAAAAAAGTATATAGGATAAACCTTTAATAATCTTCTTTTCATGAGTTGCTGGGCCAGAAAAGCTGAAACCTAGTTAGAAGCTTTCTGGGGTAGTGAAGATTCTAAATTGTTCAAATCATGGCCCCCAGGGCTAGGGTGGGGCCACAATAGGAAATCAAAGTTTAACATTCAAATATATAGGAAAAATCTTTATAAATCTTCTTTCCAGTCACCGCTGAAAAGGTGTAATTTATATTGAAGCTTTCTGAGGTAGTGTAGATTCTAAATCGTTCAAATTATGACCCAGGGGGTAGGGTGGGGCCAAAATAAGTATTACAAAGGGGAACTGATAAAAACAGTGGGGCCAAAGTTATTCAGGTGAGCATTGTGGCCATTGGCCTCTTGTTGTCTGATCTTAGAAAAATGTTACATTTGTAATAATTTATTTGTAAGCATGTATACAGAAACTCTGCACTTAAAAAGCCAAATATTAATCTTGCTTTAGGGTCACATGACATCTCTAATGTTACCTACCGCTACATTTAAAAAAATTACCATTAACAGTGTTAAGTTGGTATGATCTTAAAAATTTTTTGATGATTATAAAATACAAGCATAAAAAATACCTGTCATTTCGATTTAGTAAATTTGACACAGCTTTAAAATACAATACAGATGGTGTCTAAAATTGAAAATTTGTTCCCTTCCCCAAGAAAAGGATTGTCCAGTATAATTTTTATTGCAGCTGTTTCTCTGAACACAATAACTTTTTGTTCATCTACTAAACTTTAGATCAAATCTTTAATATACTGTCATTTTGATAAGCAAAAAATTCTAAACCCACCCAAGCTCTAAATAGCCAAGGGGAACAAACAAAAATTCTATACCCACCCTTAGCTCTAAATAGTTTTGCAAGGGGGAACAAATAAGATTTTGACTTATGTCTTAAATATTTAATTTGATCGATACAGATCTTAAAGATATATAAACCAGATTTTTTCAACCTTTATAAATGATCTGCTACAGCAAGTGTGAGATTTTTAAGTTCATGGAGAATTGATTATGCAATGATTTATATTGCTTGAGATTGTTATCTGATTCAAGTTTCATACATTCCATAATTTTGTAAAGAATGACATTTATTTTTTAAGGAATTTCAAACATATTATTGTTCAAATGCATAATAATGGTTTATATTTGATACATGTGTACCATGTGCTATTATTCTCAGACACGTTCACCTCTTTGGTAAAGTTCTAGATCATGTTAAATATATATTTTTTTTTTAGATATTTTTTTTTTTCAATGTAAAGATTTCACTGTTAAAATACATCTGTATCATTGTATGTGTTCTTTTATTTTGCAATATTTAAAATCTGCAATTATTGTGTATTTTTAAGCACTTTTGAAGAAAGCATGTGTTCATTTATTAAATGAATCTCACAATTAATTGTTATGAATCTCAACAAGCTTACAATTTATAAATTTGGTAAATAAAATTCATAAAAACTTTGTTGGGATGAGTACTGTTATGATATATTCACAACAGGGATTGCCATTGTGTGCTGTGATGAAACTCATGGCTGTGGATGTACAAAAAAATGTATTATGTGTAGCTCTTAAGCTTTCTCTATAAAGGTCATGCACTGCTATTAGAGCTCATTGACTGTCAGTGTATCTCAGCCTTCTCTTGGGATTTGTTGCTTTTTCTCGTTGGGACAGATTAACATTAGGTTAAACTAGGCTAACTCGTTCAAAATTGTATCTCTACGTAGACGCTACCTATCTGATACAATCTTGAACGCATCCCAGATTTTGAATTTTTTTTTGGTGTTGTGAAAACCTGGATCAACAGACAGACTGGTACCTCAACCGCGTTATGGTAACAGGTGACAGTTCATGAATCACTCAATGCTGTTGAGATGCATCCGTCATTAATCTATGTTTTACATGTATGCAAGTAAACTGCTGAAATGTGTACATCTCCTCAGACATTGAAAATATAATTTTCAGTTGGAAGCTTTTATTTAAGGTGTATCTAAACAAACATAACAAAAATCACATTCCAAACTTAGAGAATACGATTCCAGTGCCTATGGCCCCTATGATTACAAACATGTAGAAGGACAGTCTGTCCACAACACACGCGAACTTCTTCCAGTCCTCCTGGTGCACTCTTTTTGGTGCCGTGTCCTCCGGATCTTTTTCTGATACAGGTTCCTTTTCTTCAACCACCACAGGCTGATCATATTCCATTAAATGTAGGGATCCTTTAGTTTTCTTTTGCTCTGGGCGAACTTTGTGTACTGAACCCTTGACCATAATGGTTTTAACTGTATTCTGTTTCTACGGTGAAAAAGGAACAATAAATATTACCGATATTCTAAAGTTATGTATTTACATGAAGGTAATCGATTTAACAGAACACCCCATATATCTACCAAAAAAGATGGAATTATATGTAGTTAATATCTTTAAAGAGAAAAATTTTCTTCACAGGCGAAATATCCCTCAAGAATTATTTGAAATAAACATTTTTTTTTCTTAAAGTGTCCACTCTTTATCCCCACATGTAACTGACCGTATTAAGTATTCTTTGACTCCAAAACTTGAAGCAAAGCTACTAATTTCTTAATCTGACTTACCTCCTCCTTGACTGGTGCGTTGCGTTCTACATGAACAAAGGTGATGCAAGATAATTTAATCAAACCATACTTGTATAACCAGTCTGGCATTCGTCTGTTTCCTTGGTAATGGATTGCCAAGACAACCACTGCCATGAGACAAGCAAGGCCCACCAAGAATAAGGAAAAGTTGAAGTAAGTTGCTGTAATAGAAAATGGAAGATTTTTATTTTCAGACAGTCTTTACCAGTTAAACTTTACCTGAGGGTGAGACAGAGCACGGACATCTGCGATGTACTGATTTCAATAATCTTAAACTTTTGACCTCACTTTCCTGCTGCTGGCCGCAGAAATTAAAGGCCTTTTAATTGAGTACTCAATAAGAACACTATATGTTGAAATATACTCCATTTATGTGTGTTAGTGTGTGAAAATAAGTTATTCTGACGTTGACTCTTGATTGCTTTTTCTATGTAGTGAGAATTCTCTGTTTAGTTTCAAAAATACAAGAGTCAATGAACTGAAAAAGGTGGAACAACCATCTGAACATGTATATGTGGCACTAAATATTATTTTCACATACACCTTTTATTTTTTATTTTATGTGATAAAAAATTCTTGCTCTTTCTATTCGCTGTCTTTTCTTCCTATTATGGTTAGACATTAAAATCATTTCTGAAAAAGTCAGCACAGTTTCATATTTCATACTAGTCTCCATATGAATAAAATGCTATTGTTGTTGATGAAAATCAATGTGGGGGGGGGGGGTTGAAATTTAGAGCGGAGGGCATTTCATCTTATATAAATTTTTAAAAGCCATATTAATAGCGTTGACTATTTGACCTTCACCTTTATTCCATTTCTAAACATTCTTATATCTATTCAGTAAATATCCACGTTATTTATGCCCATAGGTCATTTAAATTATCGACCTCGATCTTTGAACTCGTGATTCTAAAATCTAGGGGTGTCTTTTCAAATGCTTTCGTTGGCTTATATAAATATGAAGTCTGTAAGTCACAAAATGACCTTGACCTTTGGCCCCAAATCCATGGTATCTTTCTAAGCCCCATTTACACAAAGGAGATTTCTGAGCGCTGCAAAATTGGCCAGATCTCTCAACGATCTTCCCACGCTCTTCCACTTAGTGCCATGTTCTCTCAGATCGATCTCCTCCTATAGGTTTCCACAGTCTCCATGGTTTTTTCAAAGTCTCTTTCTCTATCTAAAACAGTCTCTCACTGATCGCAAAGGTAATCATTCTCTCAAAGAACATTCAACGATCTCCTGTAACTCTCAATGATCTCTCAAAGGTCTTTCAAAGAACGCAAAATGTTTTGAAAACTTGAGGTTCTCTCGGTGGTGTCTTTAAGTCTTACAGAGATCTCTCTTAGTAGCACCTGGCTCCAAGACCATAAACTGAGAACAGACTTAAGTCAGAATTTCAAACCAATATAACTTAATGAATAATTTTGACAATGTGACAAAATTTTCATCATATGTTGGAATTTAAAATGTTATATAAAATTGCGAATTTTTAAGCAATTCCATTGAAAATTAAATTTTTGACTTAAGTCTGTTCTCAGTTTATGGTCTTGGGGCCTGATCTCTTTGTAAGATCCGTAGATCTCTCAATGATGTCAACTGGTCACCAAGCAACCACTCAGCAAAGTCCCAGAGGTCGTCACAGAGAGTAACAATCCTTCTGTGAGACATCTTTCTGTGTGCACATTGAGCATAGATCACTCTGTGATCTCAACAGATTGTCATGATCGAAATGTGGCAATATCTCCAATATTTCATCGCACAACAAGAGCTTTATGATTTCCCTGTAACATATATAGAGACGGACTTTTCGGGGCTTTCAGAGATCGCAAAAGGAATGGAAAAGTTTCAAATCGCCCAGAAGTTTATCAACGATCTCCATTTTTTAAATGGAACCCCTTCTTCGCCTATGTTGTTAGTTTTGAAGTCTGTATGAAATTAAATCAATAAGTTATTGTGTCAAATAAATGTGGAAGACTTTTGACCATGAATTTCTATAAAGTGACCAAAAAATTGTAGGAGACTTCTTATCATCATACATCTTTACAGTAAATACTAGTATGAAGTCTATGGTGAAAAGAATAATAATAGAGACAAACTTGTTGAATACCATTACTATAGGGCACCCACATCTTTATGCAAAATCGATCCTTATTAGACCTAGGTGAGTTGTTTGAAAGAGAATGTTCTCAATATAGGAAAAAATGTTTCTGAAAGTTAAATCCATTCATAGAATTGAAAGATGATTTTTTGCTGCTCGCTTGACGTCGTACCAGCTACTGGAATCGTGTCTCTGATGGCTGAAGTCCCCCTATCTTTACAAGCTTTATGACATAAGTACGTCAGATGATGGCGATGTAGATATAATATTGATAGTACTTAACATCTTACCAATGACTGGCGTAGCATCTGCTGATGGCGGAAGTTTGTCAGCCACGAGAAGCTGGAAGACGGCAAGGGACAACATGACGGTGATCTGAAGGGAAACTTTTTCTCCAGACTCCACAGGAAGATAATAACCTAAAGCAGCCATAACTGTAATTAACATGGAGGGGATAATCAAATTGATTAGGTAAAATTGGGGTTTCCTCTTAAGTTTCAGATAGTATGTGACGTCAGGATACGGCTCCGGACAACAACCGTAGTACAGCACGTGTCTCTCTGCCTTCATAGAGACGTAGGTCCATTCCACGTTACTGACGGCAGATGACAAGTCACCTTGTGGATTTTTATTCTAAAAAAAAAAAATACATTTGTTTACATTGCAGTTTAAGTAAAAAAAAAAGCAAATGAAGCAAACTAGGGGTGACAACCAAAATGTATTACTTTTGAAATTTGATACATAATTTACCTGCAAGTCTAGATCATATCCATGATACGCCCAGGATCCAAATAGCAACTTGCAGGTTTGCTCGTCGTAAGGGAATTTCTCGACGTCAACGGTGCAAATGCTTTCGAGTACAGAAGGGAAATTATAGTACACCGTGCCGTCTGGATAAATGTTTGGGCGGTATTCCTTAAGACCAACAAATTCACCTGAAACACTGAAATAACAATAAAATCTTTGATTAACAAACAATCGTCTCATTGTGTTGCCGCTGGAGAATGTTGGACACTTTCGGGTTACGTTGTTCGTCCTCTGATCCTCTGCCAGGAAGGTGTCCAACTTTCTCAATGTAAAGTGCAGAAGACATGAGTTCCTAAATAAAACGTTTTGTTATACCCTTCACTTCAGATACAACAATTGAAATGAAAACATTTGAACAGATTTAATCAATGTATAATCAATTACTTTCTTTGGAATATTTTGGCTTGATCAATAAAAATAAAATAGGAGAGAATGAAAAATTAAAAATAAAATAATGATATCACAAAAATTATTTACCACAAAACATACTCTTTCATATAAAAAACGACAACTCTAGCAGATATAAACTTCGGTTATTTCCGTGTCGCCGATATTGAACGACGATTAATTACTTGTGACGTAGCAGTGACATTGCGGTCTAACAATTCTTATGTTGGACTGACAGGCCGGTCAACAATGAAACTGCTAGACCGATGCAATAATCATTTCTTTTGTTGGACTTTTTTTTAGTAATAAATGTATAGAAAGATATTTAAAAGGGTATAACAAAACAGTTATATGTAAACTGGGATTCGGGCAACATAATTATGATTTGTTGGACCTAGGTGAAAATATTGGCCTTGGCCTGCGGCCTCGGGCAAATTTTCACCTTCAGGTCCAACAAATCATATGTTGCCCTCATACCCAGTCAATAACTGTTTAATAATGACACACACAATGCGATGTAACCTTTTGGCAACCTTTTTTTTTTTATCAGTGATTGAATCTTTTGAATCTGTGAATTTGTATACATTATTTGCACGGAAAATTGTCAATGACAGTAACTTGTTTAGGAAATATTGTTTAAATATTAAAAGAAAAGGACTCGATCGACCATTGATTAAGATATAATGCATACTAGAATAGGCGGTGTCCATAATGAATAGGTGAAAATGAAGCAGTAACAGTTATTACGCTGTGAATTTACACATTGTACAATAAATGACATAGCGATCGAAGGCAGCAAATTGCATTATTAAAACCTGATTGCTGCACATCGGGATAAACTTGTAGTAGGTGTCCGAGAATCAGTCCCTTTGAAGCAACATATCAATGCTTCTTCATTATTGGTCAATCGATCGCAGACGCGTCGCGACTACGAACTGCATACTACATGTAGTATATAGAAATGTAATCCCCGACAGGATTGTATATAATACTTTAACTTCTGATTGGTCTCTTGTGGATGGTGATCTCTGGTGTCGAACAAAGTGGTCACATTCAACAATTTGTGCATGCTGAAAAGTCTCGTGATTGGATTGTTTGGCGATCGCTCTGCATGATACCTTAATGTAGCAATCTTGTAGCTTAGAACTGTGAAACCCCTGAGATTTTTAAGCACACAGTGGTTGCCAGATTTTATCGTACTCACACTGTTTGTGTGAGTTACGAATCTACACTGACACTAAATGTGATATATTTAAACAATCCCTAAATCTACAGAGTGCCTGCATTATTAAATTCCTTTAACTTTGTAATATGTATAATGAATTTAAGTCACAAAGGTATTATTTGTGTTACACTTTCTCATTTGGCCTCTCAGGAGCTTTCTTCCAATGTTAATTTTAGCTTACCTTACAGAAAGCTATATACCTACATACTTTTTAACAAAAGAAACATAATTGTTTTTTTTTGTCTTGTGTATTTCTTGTCTTTCTTTTCTTTTCGGAAAATATATTTAATATATGTTGCTGTATATGTAATATGTTGCTGCACATGACACAAAGGCGTGGCATAATCTAGACTCGATCTCGCAACTCAAAGGTCAAAGTGACTGGGCAATAAGAAACCGAAATCGTTTCACGGCCATCAGTTCTCATGAACCCATCACAGGAATGAATTCAAACTTAAGTATTCAAAGAGACAGTAACCCCCCCTTTTTTTCGTCACAAAAATATTCATAATCATAATATTTTTTTTGGTATGGGATATTGCATTAATTATACATAAAATATTGCTAAAAAAATTAAAAACTGTTCAATAAAACTCCTAAAACCTGAGAGCTTCCGGAGGCTTCGTCCCCTGGGCCCCCACCCCCGAACCTAACTGGTTGAGCCCCCCTTTTTAAAATCACGAATCCGCCACTAGTATATACCCATTCCTCCAAGAAGGTGGAGGTCTTCAACGAAGAAAGTCTCAATATCACCCAGAAACACAGTTTAATTTCCGTTATAATACATTCAATAGCAATATCGAAAAATATCTATATAACATATGGTTGCAAACAAAGAATATATAATATCATTTAATATGGCCCCTTAAATAGATTGAATTTTCTGATTAAATAATGACTGCGTTGAGTTTTGGAGAGTCAAAGCTAGAAGCAAATTTATGTGTGTGTGTGTGTGTGTGTGTGTGTGTGTGTGTGTGTTTTGTATTTCTAAATTTTGTTTTGTGTGTTTGTAAATGATGCTCACCCCGTCCTTTAGATGTAGCATACAAAAGACAACCATTTCATTTAGTATTGAAAGACCGAGGATTCAGAGAAAATCATATTAAGCCGGAAAAACACTTTTCAATGATGTTTAAAATTTAACCTACCTGTCGTATAATGTAAGATCTGGTATCCATATGTATTTGTAAGGGACGATGAAATTCCCAATGTTCCCGTAACTGGAGGGGGTCCACGTTAAGCGACAATCCTGCCATTTCTACGCCATATAAAAAAGACAAGGAAAATGGTGAAGTGATCAGATAGGTTAATAACTAAAGTAAATAAATGCAACAAATGCAAACAATTTTCCAGTCTAATTAGATAAATCTTAATGAAAGAATAGGAAATACTGTTTGATTGTCCGTTTATAACACCCTATATCGTTTTAATTGATACAGTTAGGGACTTAATATTAATGTTAGGGGTAATGGTCTGACCTTGAATTTGACCAATTAAAAAAAAATACTTTGTACTATCAATATCCGCTTTATCCTTCAGATCATTAACTGTCAAGTGTTTATTGCTTGCCATTTTTTTTTAAATAAAATATCACATTCACCTCGTGACCTATACTTGGAAATAAATTGCCCTATGCCTTTGGTGTGAAGTAAATGTATCCTTGTCAAAATCCTTTATTATTGAGTTACAAGGGCTATCTTCTGTTTGTCACAATATCTTTTTTTTTTAGCTTTTCTGATTACAATTTTTCTGGCGTCTGTCTGTCTGTCCGACTTCTTCTCAAGAACCACTGGGCCAATTTTGACCAAACTTGCCAAAGAGCATCCTTGGGTGAATTGTATTCAAGTTTGTTCAAATGAAGGGCCACACCCTCCTTCAAGGGGAGATAATTAAGAATTGGTGAAAATTTGGTGTCATCTTTTAAAAATCTTCTTCCTAAGAAAAGTTGAAACTTAGGTGAAACCTTCATTACATAGTGTAGATACAAAGCAATGATTAGTCATATTGATATGGAGGCACCTTCAGATAGTGTAGATTCACGTTTCAAATCATGACCCCGGGAGTAGGTTGAGCCACAATGGGGGATCAAAGTTTTACATAGGAAGATATAGGAAAATACATTTAAAAATCCTCTTTTCAGGAACAATAAAGCCACGATTAGTCATATTCATATGGCATCCTCAGGTAGTGTAGATTCAAGTTTGTTCAAATCATGACCCCCAGGGGTAGGGTGGAGCCACAATGGAGAATCAGAGTTTTACATTGGAACATATAGGTAAAAAATCTTTTAAAAAATCTTCTCAAGAACAACAAAGCCACGATTAATCATATTGATTTGGAAGCATCCACAAGTATTGTAGATTCAAGTTTGTTCAAATCATGACCCACCCCACCCCGGGTAGGGTGGCAGACATCATTAAAATTTTGTTTTCAAAAAACAGCAAAGCCATGATTAGTCATATGAATATGGAAGCATCCTCAGATAGTTTAGATTCAATTTCGCTCAAAACATGACGCCTGGGGATAGGGTGTGGCTAGAACAGGTGATCAAAGCTTTACATATGAATATGTCTGAGAAGAAATCTGTTGATTAAGAACGTTTACAGCAGGTTTATATTGACTGGTGTGAGCGTTGTGGCCCATGGGCCTCTTGTTTGATGTCGTTTGGTTACCAACCACATGAACGCAACATTTGGCACGGAAAAATGAATAATCCTCTTTAGTGGCCTTTGCTTATCTTTTTGATAACACCAGATCTGAATTTTAGCTCACCTGAGCCGAAGGCTCAATTGAGCTTTTCTGGTGAAAGAGTATCCGACGTCCGTCTGTCGTCCGTCGTCTGTAAACTTTTCACATTTTCGACTTCTTCTCAAGAACCATTGGGCCAATTTCAACCAAATTGCCACAAGGCATCTTTAAGTAAAGTCCTCTTTTAAGGGGAGATAATTAAGAATTAGCAAAAAAATTAATGACATCCTTTAAAATCCCTCGCAAGAACCACTAGGCCAGAAAAGATGAAACTTATATAAAAGCTTCATTACATAGTGTAGATTCAAATTTGTTCAAATCATGACCCCTGGGGGTAGGATGGGGCCATAATGGGCGATCAAAGTTTTACACAGGAATATATAGGTAAAATCTTTAAAAATCTTCTCAAGAATAGCAATTCGCCATATTTATATCAAAGCATCCCCTGGTAGTGTAGATTCAAAATTGTTCAAGTCATGACCAGTTGGGCTACAATTGACAATCAATTTTTTCATAGGAATATATAGAAAAATCTTTGAAAATCTTCATTTTCTAACAGCAAAGCCTTATTAGTTATATTTATATGAAAGCACACTCAGGTAGTGTGGATTCCAGTTTGTTCAAATCATGACCCCCAGGCGTAGGATATGGGCCACAGTGGATGATCAAAGTTTTAGATAGGAATATAATCATAGAATTTTCTTTTAATTTCAACTTCTCAAGAACATCAAAGCCATGATGTCCATCTAAACCAAATAATTCATATTTATATGGAAGCATACCAAGGTTGTGTAGAATCAAGTTAAAAATCAGAACCCCCAGTGATAGGTTGAGGCCACAATATGTGATCAAATTTTTACAAAAAATCTGATGATGAAACAGCAGGGACACTCAGGCCTCTTGTTTACATATCTTTTATGATTTAGCTTGGAATATCGCTAAAATTACTAGTATTTAACTTGTGATCTTAACCTTGGACCTTTATCTTTTGAATAGCAAAAGCACAAGCATGCTGAGAGACCTTTTGCCAATTTCTGTGGTTACTGGTGTTCAACAGAAATAAAATGCATTCACGTGACTTCTTTGATCGTATCCAAAAATACCAAATATATGTACGAGTTACTTCTATTTCCAAACAGTCGTTTCTTACTGGATACCCAGTGTTTACTGTTGCTAAGATATGTCTACAACACGTACCAACCCAAACATTGTAAATATATTTTACATGCCTCAATGTTTACAGACAAAGGTATCATTGTTTACAGACATAAAGAAAAGAATATATGTTATACATTAATTGCGTGTCTACAGATAAAACACATATATATGTATATTCAATATATCAATGTTTACAGCGACAAACATATAAGAAATCAATGTTTAGATGAATACATGTATATACTGTATTACAGTTATTATTATTAATGTTTACAGACATCACAAAACATAGATAAAGTAAAAATGATACCCACCAGTCTTACCCAAACATTGATTTTCAAAATCTGCTGGGGCTCATCCTACAAAAAACAAAACATTTATTATAAGATAAGATTTATTGATCCCAATTTGGGGTCCCTCAGGGCATACAAGTAAAGAATTATATACACAAGAAGAAATTCAAAATTGATATTATATATTAACCAATCTTGTAATTTATTGCATCGGTCTGATAATTACAATTTTATTGCATTCAAGAAAACATAAGTTGTCTAAGCATGATGTCGACAGTACACATGAACAAAGAATGTTTGTACTCATACATAAAGAATGCATTTCACCAATTCTTTAAAAAATTTTGCTCCTTCTGTGTTCCCAAGTTCTAGTTTTAAGCATTATACTTTGGGGGGGGGGGGGCAGCGTATATTTTAGAGATGAAAATTACAGTGTTTGTTAATTGATAATTCGTCCACTGACTTTATCAATACAGACCTGTGCTAATATTTTATGTGCCCTGTGGAACCATAGGAGCGCATTTGTGCATAGGTTAGAAATCTATAAACACGTGTATTTATATTAAACTGTAATTCAGTTTTTTTTGTTCATACATTGGAATGTTTCTGAGTATTTAGTACGCTGTATTATTATGTATGTGTAAAGTGATTATCAGGTACAGTGTATGACTAAAATTGTAATATATGCCTATATGCCTGTGTATCTAATGTAAGCGTATTCGAAAAAGGAAGAACATTTTGGATAAGTAAGTTGGTAACCCCCCCCCCCCCTCCTCTTTCTCATGCTTCATGATATATATATATATATATATATATATATATATATATATATATATATATATATATATATATATATATATATATATATATATATATATATATATATATATATATATATTACTTGGATAAACGTTCATAACACGAGGAGATATTGTGAAAGGCAATTAAAGATCAATATGGGTGAAAACATGGGTCTTTGTCTTGTTCTGTAGGAACAATGGTATGAACTCTGTGTTGCACGATTTTAAAAGTACATTTCAGCTTGTTTGATAAGTTTAAAAGAATACCTAGATGTAGTCAAGAAAGTAATTACAAATTATAGATTTTCTTTAAATAAAAATATCATTAAACATATTGGCAGTATTCAATTACCTATGCATTAAAGAAATGCTCTCAACTGATTAATTACAGTTGACACTAATTTCTAAAAACAAACTGTTGTTTAAGATATTGACAGGACTTGCTGTTTGTAGGTCCTCAAAGCAATATCATAGGGAGGTATACAAGCTACTCAAAATCTCTTTCATCTTTTATCGTTATATAAAGTAATTAAAAACATGTCATATTAACTTGTTTCATTTTCAGCAATTAAACAAAAAAAGAACCCATTGCAAAATATTTACCAGATCGATGACTTGACGTAGAGCCACGTCTAAGGTGACATTGACTGCCCCTCCGCAGTAAGGCTTCTCCCCGGGATCGTACGACGTAAAGAGGTGCGTGTGTAACGCCTGCTGATTAGCCGTACTCTGAGTAGCCACTTCTGAAAAAAAGAATATATATATATATATATATATATATATATATATATATATATATATATATATATATATATATATATATATATATATATATATATATATATATATATATATATATATATATATATCTATCTATCTAAAAGAGAGAGAGAAATGGATAGAGCATGACATTTAGCATAGGCCAAAACAACGACATTCATTTCTTCATGTTATATATCTTTTATCCACTTATTCAAAATGGCGAGAACTGGTTCAATCACTTCAAAGAGTGCAAAACACTTCTCAAAACCGAAGACAGAAGATTTGTATGGTTGAAAATCCATTAAATTCTTTTAAGATGGACTAAATTGCTAACATAAAAAGAAATGAAGCCTTGCATATCATGTAAAATGTCATTATCATGACGTCTAAACTCAAGGTAATTTCCTGCTAGCGGGTCATGCTATCCTAAATTCTTTGTTGGCAAAAAATATAAATTAGCCTAGTGCTTTTTTCCGATTTAAAAATCCAGGAACGAGTAACTACAAACATGGTATATCCGGACTCCTCGTGTTGTCGGCTTTAACAGCGTGATATTACTTGTGTTTCTCTATCCTAAGAATTTCAGTCACACAACATAATCTGACTGAGTTGATTCCTAATCTGATTTCATAAATGAGACTTCAGATATTCACATGATAAACTGTAATACAAGAATTCTCTACTACAAGATAAGTCATTAATTTGTTTCTGTATATCATAAAAATGTGTAACTAATAAAAGAATTTTTAAACGGATGCTTCTCCCACCGCTTTTATTAACAAATCAGGGCTGCTTCGTCTTTTTATTTCTATTTAATAAATGATGATACTGCTCGGGCACGAAGAATCGCTTTTTCTAAGAAGGGGGAGGGGTGTCAAAAAATGATAGCTGAAAAATGGAAAATCAAGAAAACATCCCCTCTAAATCTGGCAATCTAAAAAAAACCCACTTTCTTAAAAGGGTTTGTGGTGTTCCCTGATTCAATTTCGTAAGGTGGGTAGGGTTTCGATCATACTTGCAACAATTTTTGTACTAAGTTAACAGCACCACAGTTACTGTATTATTTTTCTTTGAGGCTAACACGTTAACCACCATTTACAATTTTTAACAATTACTGGCATTTATTTATTTTTATGCCCCCGTATCGAAGATTCGGGGGTATATAGTTTTTGCCCTGTCCGTCCGTCTGTCTGTCTGGTTTTTCTGTTTGTCCGCAAAAACTTTAACATTGCCCATAACTTTTGATTGGTTGGAGCTATGGCTTTCATATTTCACATGTGCATTCCTTGTGACAAGACCTTTCTTTGGGTACCACCATATTTGACCTTTTGACCTTGACCTTGGAGTTTGACCCAGTTTTGCAAATTTTTTCCCAACTTTAACCTTGGCCATAACTTTTGAACAATTGGTACTAGGGCTTTCATACATCACATGTGTATTCCTTGTGACAAGACCTTTCTTTGGGTACCACCACATTTGACCTTGGAGTTTGACCCAGTTTTGCAAAATTTTTCCCAACTTTAACTTTGGCCATAATTTCTGAACAATTGGTACTAGGGCTTTCATACATCACATGTGTATTTCTTGTGACAAGACCTTTCTTCTGGTATCACCATATTTGACCTTTTGACCTTGGAGTTTGACCTACTTTTGAAAATCTTTAACATTGGCCATAACTTTTGAACGGTTGGTGCTAAGGCTTTCATAATTCACATATGTAATCCTTGTGACAAGACCTTTCTTTGGATACCAACAACTTTGACCCCTTGACCTTGGAGTTTGACCTACTTTTTGTAAAATTTAAACATTAACCATAACTTTTGAACGGCTGGTGCTAGGGCTTTCATATTTCACATATGTAATCCTTGTGACAAGACCATCCTTTGGATTCCAACAACTTGGACCCAAACTCCAAGGTCAAGGTCTTGGAGTTTGACCTACTTTTGAAAAACTTTTATCTTGGCCATAACTTTTGAATGGCTGATGCTAGGGCTTTCATACTTCACGTATGTAATCCTTGTGACAAGACCTTTCTTTGGATACCAACAACTTTGACCCTTTGACCTTGATCTTGGACTTTGACCTACTTTTCGAAAACTTTACCTTGGACACAACTTTTGAAAAGTTGTTGCTTAGGCTTTCATAATTATCATGTTTTTTCCTTGTGACAAGACCTTCCTTTGGATACCAACAATTGTAATCCATTGACCTTGACCTTGGAGTTTGTCCTACTTTTGAAACACTTTAACCTTGGTCATAACTTTTGAACGATTGGTGCTTCAGCTTTCATATTTCACCTGTATATTTCTTGCGAGAAGGCCTTTCCTTAGGCAACATTAATTTTGACCATGTGACCTTGACCTTGATGTTTGAATTACTTTAACCTTTTCCAAATCTATTCAATGGTTGCTGTTAGGGCTTTCATATTTTTCACTCGTATATTCCTCGAGACAAGACCTTACTTTGGGTACCAACATATTTGATTTGCATTTGAGAAAGTATAACCTTTGCTATAAGTTGCCATACGGGGGGCATCACAAACACATCTTGTTTTTTATACCCCCGTATCGAAGATTCGGGGGTATATAGTTTCTGCCCTGTCTGTCCGTCTGTCTGTCTGTCTGTTTGTCCGCAAAAACTTTAACATTGCTCATAACTTTTGATTGGTTAGAGCTTTCATATTTCACATGTGTACTCCTTGTGACAAGACCTTTCTTTGGGAACCATCATATTTTACCTTTTGACCTTGACCTTGGTGTTTGATCCAGTTTTGCAAAATTTCACCCAACTTTAACCTGGGCCATACCTTTTGAACAGTTGTTGCTACGGCTATCATACTTCACATGTGTAATTCTTGTGACAAGACCTTCCTCTGGAGATCAACAACTTTGACCCTTTGACCTTGACCTAGGAGTTTGACCTACTTTTGAAAAACTTTAACCTTGGCCATAACTTTTAAACGATTGGTGCTAGGACTTTCATACTTCACATATGTAATCCTTGAGACAAGACCTTTCTTTGGATACCAACAAGTTTGACCCTTTGACCTTGACCTACGAGTTTGACCTACTTTTGAAAAACTTTAACCTTGACCGTATCTTTTGAATAGTTGGTTCTAAGGCTTTCATTTTTCACATGTGTAATCCTTATGACAAGATCTTCCTTTAGATACCAACAATTATAGCCAATTGTCCTTGTCCTTGGAGTTTGATCTTCTTTTGGGAAACTTAAACCTTGGCCATTACTTTTGAACATTTGATGCTAGTGCTTTCTTTCTTCACATGTGTAATCCTTGTAACAAGACCTTCCTTTAGATACCAACAATTATAGCCCATCGACCTTGACCTTGGAGTTTGACCTACTTTTGAAAAACTTTAACCTTGGCCATTTCTTTTGAACGGTTTGTGTTAGGGCTTTCATATTTCACATGTGTATTTCTTGTGAAAAGGTCTTTCCTTGGGCACCATTAATTTTGACCATTTGACCTTGATGTTTGACTTACTTTTGAAAAACTTTAATATTTTCCATATCTTTTCAATGGTTGCTGCTAGGGCTTTTATGTTTCATAGCTATATTCCTTGGGACAAGACCTTACTTTATGTACCAACATATTTGATTTGCATTTGAGAAAGTTTAACTTTCGCTATAAGTTGCCATACGGGGCATCAGTGTTTCACAAGCCTATCTTGTTTTTTTTTTAGGTATAGTGGGTCTTTACTCCATGTTTTTATTGAAAAAAAAAAACAATTTTTCGCATCCTTTGGAATAAACTTGCAAAAATATGGAGTGAAGACCCACTGATACGGAAAAAATTGTGTTTCGTATGAATATGTATATAACCTTACATAGATTGAGCTTTTAATAACATATATATTTGCGACTACCTACACCCACTGCAAATTGAACTTGTCAGGTTAGCTATATTCTGATTATTTGACTGGTTTATTGATTGTTTGATTGAAGGCTTTGGTGACCTTGTGCACTGATGACTTGTAATGTATTTACTCATGGATATTATTGCTGGCTAGATCTGGGAGCGCGATTTTAATGTTTTCACATTATACTCATATACCTGATTTATTGCATTGAACATTTTTTGTATAACAAAATGTGTTTACACAGATACAAAAATTAAAGCTGGTACTTCTCTACGGTACGGAATCTCGGTTAATACAAGATTGTGTTATTAAAGGTTATAAACCAAAATTAATACTCATCAGAGAATATTTACCTCAGAATCGCGTTGATAAGAATGTACCTGCGGAAAACTAGATTTTGGCAGTGATGGCACTTTTCTCCAGAACAGAATTATGTTTTTGAAGTGATTTATTTTAATAATTATATGATTTTGAAATGATTTATTTTCTTAACAGATACACCAACCCGTCAATTTATTTTGTTTTACGACTTCTATCAATTGGTTAAAAGAATTCAATTGTGTATTCGATTCCAAACAGTTACCAAGATTTGCCATGTATTATGAATGTGTATTATGGATGTAGGTAATCCTTTTTTCTACAGGGCATTTTTGTTTTATCGTATGGTATTGTATACTTGTCTACCAGATTAAGTGTAATACACGTCTCTTTAAGGAAACTCAAAGTTTTTTTAAAAATATTTTTTGATTGTGTTTATGTTCTTTAAAAACCTACTTTTACTAATCTACATTCCAAATTGCATGGAAAATAATTCAAATTTTACTTGCTAAATTGTATGTTTTTAAGTGCATTAGACGATGGCTGTGCTATATTTGTTTAGTCGGGCTGTACTGCTGAAAGATTCACTCCAACATCCCTTTCTATTTTCTTGAAAGACATTGAACGAGGTAATTAACTGCGCGATTGTCGGATACCTAGCTGTATCTTTTAAAGCTTCAATGCAATTAAGTACAACGACACGATAAAAAAATAAACTTTAAATCCTCTTAAAAAGGACTGATGCAGCCTTCTTTGGTTGTTATGTTTAAGTCGGGGGACTTTCATGTAATTGGACGATTAAACCTTGGTGGACGAATAATACACATTTCACACAAATTTCGTATCTTATCCTGCATCATAAAAACAAGATGCGGCGATTCATTCAGGCGGCAAATTCCCACTCTATATATCACGTAACTGAATTGCAATATCACTTTTCTATTTGCTCATTAAACATTGGAAATCGATCAAAAATAATTAAGATATTACTGTATAGATAAAATTAAAACCCTGCTCTATGTCACTACTATTTATAACAAATTCAATATATCTTCTACGACTTTTGGATGCAGTTTCTATATGTAATGGAAATCAAACTGTAATTAATTTTTTGTTACCTTCTAAGCACAGAAAATACTAAAAAATGTGAAAGTTTGTAAAGCAGTTTGTATTGGCCTTTGTAGTGATAAGACATGTTTATCAGTAAGCTATCCTTTATGTAAAGTTATCCTTATTCCACGTGTAAGAGTGTAAAGAAAATTACTTCAAGAATCATAAAAAAGTGGGAATTTTTCTGTGAATACACTGAATTTTCTATTCCAAATATGTAAATCAATAATTAAGTCATGAAAAATCTAAGAATATTTCAAACAGGGGGATTTCAATTTTCTCATGTTTATCCCCGCGTAACAGAAATGGAGGGGACTGTGTGTGTGTGTGTGTGTGTGTGTGTGTGTGGGTTAGTTTGTCCTGTGCGAAACGGAAGTGACACCGGGATCGAATGTTGCCTGGATTTTAATTTATTCATCTATTGTCTGATCTTCTCATATTCCAATCACGTGAATAAAACTGAACGAGGGGATAATAAAATATAACATACAGTAGTGTATGTGTACAGTCGGGTTCAAAATTTTTGTTAACATCATATTTAGCTACGTAGCTTGAATTACGTAAAGTGAAAGTATCCACGATTATCACATCGGTATTTATTAAGCATATAAACATTTACTTCTTAACAGCTCTTGTCCAATCACTATACATTTAGCTACAAACATGTAGCTTACCCACGTACAGTGTTACAGTGAAGTCGCGAAATAAGGGTTGTCTCAGTTCTGATTCATTCATATGTATTTTATGCCATATTGTTTAAATTGAGAAAAATTAATGAAGCTTAGAAAAATTAATAAACACACTGGTCACAAATTGATTTTTCTGTCTGTAATCGACAGAATTTCGAAAATCAACGTTAACGTTTTTGTTCACTGCAGCAAGTCAAAAGTTGTAGTTAAACAATAGCTGCAAAGTATGGCACTTACATCCAGTTATAACTCAGAAAATGATTCATAATGATCACTGCTCAAATAAATTTACACCGATATTAATAAATCAAACTGTAGCAGCGGTCCACATACCTCATTACATAGACCAAATCAAAACTCAACATGCTTAATATTCAAAACCTAGTGTCAATTTTTATTTACTTAGAATTATAAAAATATTCTCCAAGGAAAATGCGTATAAAAGTAAAATTGTGTATCCCTTGGAAAAAAAAAATAATAAAATGAAATAAAATTATCCCCTCGCAACGAAGTTGGAGAGGCTATAGTAACGCTTGTGTGTGTGGGTTGGGGGTTGGGGGGCAAAAGTTAAGCAAGTAATAACTCCTATCAGGATTAATATGCTCTTTTGCAAGGCGCTGTTCCGCTTTGCGGTACCCTTGTTTCAAACTGAATCCCAATAAAGAGATGAAAATATAAATTTTAAGGAGAATGGAAGAAAAAAGATGATACCCATTTGGGGTATCTTAGTATGTCCTTAGAAAGCTTCAGTCTCTGGACATAAAGTTATTTTATATATATATATATATATATATATATATATATATATATATATATATATATATATATATATATATATATATATATATATATATATGAGAACGAATTTTATTTCATTTTGTTATTGATGTCTCCCGATCAGGAAAATCTGAAGACGTCAAAACCATGACGATTTTAGGAATGAGGTATTGTCGACATGGTAAATGGAAATTTTTTGCTGCAATAAAGCAGTTTTCATGCTTAAGAGATTGATATACAAATTAAATAAGATAAAAGGAAAACAAAATATTATAAACATTCACAGGAAATAAATCCACGTTCCCCAAAGAAATAATTATCTATTCTTACCTATGATAAATGATAAAATCAAAGTTATCCATAAGAACAATGCTCGAGTTATATGCATTAGTTAATATCAGATGCTGATATGGTATTTGTGAATTATTTCATCCAGTGTCGACCCTTTAGACAAGTAACACTATTGTTGTCCAACAATGTGCTGTCCCACTTTAAATCGCTCTACGAGTTCATAAATAAGAAAAGAGTGTTGATTTTAAATATCTTCTTGGTCACTGCATGGAATATTTGTTTTTCCAACAGTTTAATGATTTTCTATTTGGGACTTTGTATCATTGTATATTCCATTTCAAAGAGTCTTTGTTCTTGTATTAAATTAAAAAAAAAAAGATTGTCGAGTTCACGACAGTGTTGTATATATCTGTTATCCACTCAGGAACTCTTCCAATGAGGAGACGTGACGAGGCGGAGAATGAAGAAACAGTCACATCACTGTTATCTCCACAGCGATTGGTCAAAAAGAATCGTGAGAATTCAAATTAAATTGCCGATTTTTTGTATGCATCTCACACATTCACTCAGAACGATTTCTGTCGCGATTTGTGACGCAATCATTGAACTCATTGGCATACTTTTTATCAACATAATACGAATATGATGATCCTATTATTATGATTTTTCCAGTGGTTTCAAAACATTTTAGTAACTGAATTGAATTCTAAATATACATGTACTCTCAGCAGTAGTACAATTTCAAAATCAACCGAATAAATAATAAATGTTGCCATTTTAAATCGCCAATTTAGTTTTGAGACAGTATCTTCTTTTCCATTAATTTGTTATGAATGGAATGAACCAACCATGGTTTCAGAGAATGAGAAAAGGAAAGGCTTAATATATCATGACGATGGAAAATAATCAAAGCTTACAGAACTCACCTCAATGAATGTTAAGGCAAACTAATAGTCTAGTAGTGTGCATCCCTACATGCGACATTTTTGCAATTTTGGTCCAGGGATGGGTTTGCAGTTACTTGGGTATGGACATGTTTAAACTGGTCACTCATTGAGAAAATTCAGCATCTAGCACACAGGCACTTGTTTCGGTAATAAATTTTTAACCCATAGTATAATGTTATTATTATACTATGGGTTAAAAATTTATTACCGAAACAAGTGCCTGTGATCTAGCATACAAAGCAAGTCTGTTATAATTAGTGTGGATCCCTTAATGCAGCATTCGTGCATGATTGGTCCAGGTAAGCCTTATATAGTTACCTGGAAATGGACCTGCTAAAAAAAAACAAACTTTGACCTGGACACTCATCCGGAAAGTGTAGGTCAGATCTAGCATCCAAAGTAAGTCTGGTTGCGTGCATCCCTAAATGTATCATCAATATAAGTTTGCTTTAGGAAGGGCTTGAAATTAAATTGGAATGAACCTGCTACAAAATCTTTAACTTGGACACTCATCCACAAAAAAGAAGGTCAAATTCAACATCCGAACCAAGTCTAGTAGTGTGCATTCCTAGATGCTTCATTCATGCAAGTTCGGTCTACGGTAGGGCTTGAAGTTAAACTGGAATGAACCTGTTCTAAAATTACACTTGAATGAGCCTTCTCCAAAGACTTTTACCTGGTCACTCATCGAAAAAAAAACAAACAAACAAACAAACAAATAAACAAAACCATCCAAAGCAAGTCTTTTAATGTTTATCCTTTGATGTATCATCCATGCGAGTTTGATTCAGGAGGGCCTTATAGTTTCTTGGAAATGAGACCTGCCCCAAGAACTTAAACCTGGTCACTCGTTCTGAAAATGTAGGTCAAATCCAGCACCATTATATAAAACACAATATGATAACTAGTCCTATGAATATTCAGATGACCCAAGTATAAAAGAAACTCAGAGAGCCCTCTATTATTTAAATCTCAGCTAACAAGATTAAATACTAGTCCAAAGTAGGGGTGAAATGAAAGACAAGAGGCCCATGGGCCACATCGCTCACCTGAGCACATTGGCTAGGAAAAGGCTTTACTGTTCTTGAGCAGAAGATTTTTAAAGATTTTTTCCCTATATATTCCCTTGTTAAAAATTTGATCCCCCATTGAGGACCCTCCCTAACCCCCCCCCCCCCCATCATTTGAACAAACTTGAATCTACACTACCTGAGGATGCTTCCATATCAATATGACTAAACATGGCTTTTCTGTTGATGAAAAGATTTTTTCCTATATATTCCTATGTAAAAATTTGATCCCACATTGTGGCCCCACCCTACCCCTGGGGTTTATGATCTGAACAAACTTGAATCTAACCTACCTGAAGATGCTTCCATATCAATATGACAAAACATGGCTTTCCTATTCCTGAGAAGAAGCTTTTTCAAGTTTTTTTCCCTATATATTCCTATGTAAAACTATGATCCCCCATTGTGGCCCAACCCTACCCCCAGGGGTCATGATTTGAACAAACTTGAATCTACACTACCTGAGGATGATTCCATATCAATATGACAAAACATGGTTTTGCTGTTCCTGAGAAGAAGATTTTTCAAGTTTTTCCCCCTATATATTCTTATGTAAAACTATGATCACCAATTGTGGCTCCACCCTACCCCCAGGGGTCATGATTTGAAAAAAAAAAACTTGAATCTACACTACCTGAGGATGCTTCCATATCAGTATGACAAAACATGACTTTGCTGTTCTTGAGAAGAAGATTTTTGAAGTTTTTTCCTATGTATTCCTATGTAAAACTTTGATCCTCAATTGTGGCACCACCCTAACCCTGGGGGTCATGATTTGAACAAAGT